ATTCCGTGAACAGGAGGCAGCCAGGAGCTTCGTTAGGGTTGGCCCGAGGTTTATCTGCCAGATCTGAGCAGGAATGGCAGTCACGGCCTGCCATCCTTCCTTGACATATTTGGCGTTGGTCATTGAACTGGACTTGCCCCTCGAGGTTGTAGATGGATCATACTTCTACATGTACGTTAGGGCTGTACTGAATATTCGAATAGTTTTTTGCCGGTTGGAATATTCGAAAACAAAAAAATGTGCACACACACACACAGCTGTGATGTTATTTTTTTCGTAGAGTTGTGTGTGCTTTATTGTCAGGTGCCACAATTTTTGTTGACGTAACTTTTCTGTCGACGGTGGTTCACTGTTCTCATCCTTAACTAATAAATTTTCAACTTTTATGTTTTATTCCCCCCCCCCAAAAAAAAACCTTTATACTCTTTTGAACACTTTCAACCCTCTGAATGAAAATTTTCGTTTTGGGCACAAACAGATTCGCTTTGCGAGCAGACTGGCTCCTGTCCCATACATCTATGTGGATTGTTGTGCGGGAACTAGCCTTACCCAGCGAGAACAAAATTACTGCCCGGCAGCCAATAATTCAAAACTGTAAAGTAAGAGCATGAAAGTGTTTGATTGCTGCCCTTTTTCAGGATGCAAGACTCTTATAATGGAAGTTGTTTCGTTTTTTGTGCATTTTCAACAAATTAATGAAAGAAATGTATGTACAATGTATGTTCCAAGAAAATTAATCTCTTTTAAGATTTATTTGTTCTCTCTTTCAATTCCCTAAAAATACTGTATATGTACCTAAACCCACCAAATCCCACAAAAATATTCGCTTGTTTCCATGGTTTTATTTAATAAGTTCAAATGTTGGACTCTTTAACTTTATTTTCAAATTTGTTTGACGTTAAGGGTGCATATTATAATGACATTTATGTAATGTTTTGATACGCTGAACTGTGTTTGCATGAAAAAAAATTACACGAAAGGAAAACAAATTAAAAAGTAAATACCTGCAGTGGTCACCCTAGGATGTTTTATGCAGGATTGGGGGAAATTTAAATGGCAGCTTTGAACAGAGTTTTAAGGGAAGCAAAATATTTTATCAGAGGATAGGGAATTCAAAATCATTATGTAGCACAGCAGGTACCAACTGAGCACAGCATGCATTGCGTGCAGCATAAAATGCACTACATAACTACAGTGAAATGTGAACCACTATAACAAGTTCTTTTGTCTCCCTGAAAATCAGTGGTATAATGTTCCTTTTTATAAAAATCCCTGTTCAAAGTGAAAACAGTCCGTGATTGATTTTGTAATTTTCTAGAAGCCCACCTGCAATGCAGCACTAATGTTGGCTTAATACAGAGGTTCCATCAAAATGAATTTTACACGGATGAGGGGGATAGGGATGCATCCATTAGCTGCTCGGCTGACTAAAAGCCCACTCATAGCACTGACATCTCGTACTTATTAAGCGTTCATCACCATCAATTTGGCCACTGTCCTTGGAGAAGCTCACCGAAATTCAGGGAGGATATGTTTTCTTGACTGCGTAGTGTCAGTCAGGTTTAGACTTTCCCTGATTAAAAAAGCACTCTAAATGTCAGAGCCGGAGGTTCATTTGCTAAATCCTTGTCAATAAATTATATACTCACCAAGTAAATAAGGTGGAAAATCTGAGGTTTGAACGTGTGTTTTTAGCAAGAATAAATGGCAGGCAGTGTACGCTGTGCGCACAAATCATTTTTCAAAGATGCATGCCCTATGCTCTTCAACAAAATAACTTTATTCTCGTAACAAATTTCAATTTGTTTGTTTTCACGAAAAACAGTGGTTTTCCCCCCTGATTTTGGGCGTCTGGAACCTTCTTAAAATGGGATTTCACTTTGTGTGCAAATGAGCCCGCCCTGCAGGAGCCAAATTATTGTGTGGCTACCAATTATTGGAATTTTGTAAGGCCGTTTTTTTTTAATTACTTGGATTACGGAATTTTTGGGTCCCCATTTCCGGCGGCGAGCGGGAAATGAAAAAAAAAAAAAAAAAAAAAAAAATGGGGGCGCCCTATCATCCAACATGGCGGCGCCCATAGAGACATGAAGAAACAAAAACGGGCACGAGAATGAACAGTCACCCAATTGGTGGATCAGATCCGGCAATTGCAGGATCACGATCAGATGGGAACGCAAAAGGTGGATCTGATCCGGCAATTTGACCTGTTAACATCCGCCCGGTGCACGAGTGGCGCGAAAATGTTGCGGTCTCATGAACGAAGAAACACGTTTTCAGGCGTGTAGCTCATGTGGACATTTCCAGCGTTTACAACATGCACAATAAACAACCGCTGAACTACGGGCTAGCACCGCGCATGCAAAAGCGCACGTGGTATCCTAAAACTACACTATAGGCCTTATTTTTGTTGCGTGTTCGTCCATTACTAAACCTTTTTCATTCCTGAAATTTTACTTATTTTTCCATCCATAAATGACTCTGAGTCCACACTCACCAAAAGACTTCACTTTGGCACAGAATCATTGAAAAGCTTACGAGTATGCGATGGGAATAGTGCCGATAACGCGGTACGTACGGGGGTGACAAATCTGAAGTATTGATTATAGAAAATTGGAAAATGATGTCGTAGTACATCATGTGACCGTTTCTAACCAATGAGAAGCTTCAGAACCAGGGAATCCCTTATCGATGCATTGGTTTCTGCCGTGATGTCACACGTGAGCGGCTCTGTTGGATTTCACCTTTTAATTTATGCACGCACGGATCCTCTACGGATCCGTGATTTATGTTGGTGAATTCGCGTAATTTTTGTCTGTTAATTCTGATAGTGCTGTTTGAAAACTGACCCATTCTGGCCTAGCATGCAACCATGCAACAATGGCACTCCCACAGAGCGCGCGTAATTCCGAACTCAGTGACCTTTCGGACCCAACATTTCCTTACGAAAAGGTGGATCAAGCATAAGTGGGAACGCGACTTGCGGTTTCGTTGCGGTAAGATAACGATCACACCAAAATGCCGGATCTTGATCCGCCTTTTTCCAAATCAAGTGGGAACGCGGTGTATGTCATGTCGTTCGATCAAACCAGTACTAATACTATGGTTTACAGGCCTGGACAGCGCGCAATATAGAGTTTTTTGTACAATAGGCACTTTTTTTTTTTTTTTTTTTTTTTTTTTGGGGTAGTCAGAATCGACAATTTCCGGCGGCGATTTTTTTAATTTTTTTCAAAATTCCGATTTTTTCCGGCGGCGATTCCGTAATCCAAGTAATTAAAAAAAACCGGCCTAAAGAAGTAACTAAACGTACAGTGTACATGTACATGTATGTAGGCTGATTTTTTTTTTTTTTTTTTTTCATTTGATATCTCGTTCAAAGTGAAAAAAAAATTGGTGGTGAAAGTCGAAATAGCGCACGAACCCACTGAATCTTCAGGTGAGATTAACGCATCTGGGCGTGGGAACAAGACAGAAATGCCTCCTTCTTTTACATAAACTCCCCCATACAGCAATCAATACTATCTTTATTGCTGTTAGAAATTGGCAATATTCACAGTCAGTGTCAATGTCACTGTCTTTGGCCTGGAACCTTTTCAACATTTTTTTTTCTTCATATTACTTATGTATTAAGTACAATTCGCATGAATAGACAAAAAAATTGCCTAGCCACACCCACTAAGTAAATTTACTGCCAGAGAACCAAGACTGTAGGGGGCAGAATAGCCGACATGTGATTGAAATTCAAAATATTCATGTTCAGTTCTGTTGACTTAGTGTAATGAAGTGCAGCTGCTGTGTGTATACGATATTACATGTGACATCATATATTTATACGGTTAGTGACCCGAGTTCTGGTGTACACAGTGCATGCATAAAATTTATTTTGGCTATAAGTGAATAACAGTGTTGTGTAATACATGGAGAGGATTACATGTATAAGCTGTAAAACAAAAAAAATTGCCAGAGTGCTTTCAACCACTTCAATTTGATATCGTAGATAACAGATCACGCCTGTGTGGGTGTCTTCTCAATCTTTTCAGATCGAAAAGGTCAAAATCAAGTTACAGGGAGACTTTTTATTAATTGTTATGAATGGTCGATGGGAAACAAAGCTTAGATTAAAGATTAACATGGGACTTGAAGTATTTTGTTTCATCATGGTCAGTTCTATGAAAATTACTTGATACAAGGGACCTTGTTCCGTCACTTAAAAGCACTAGAAATCATAGAGCTCAGTGTAAAATGTGCACAAGATGAGCCCTACGGTATGTGTATGTGAATTTAATTTTCATCATGACTTTCATTTCAGGAAAAGACCAAAACGAGACTGGGCCTGCCTAGTCAAGCTGGACCTAAAAGTCTGAGTTCATGACGTTAGGCCAAAAAAAAAGTCTTCGGTTTCTGGTATGGAGCTTGCCCAAAAAGTGGTGCGGCGACGCGGCTTTTTTTTTTTGTTACCTGATTTTTTTGCTTCAAATGTCGGCTGATTGCAAATGGTGCCCGACTAAACTTAGTGCAAAAATATGGGAGTCCAGAGAGGCCACATAAAGCTTATTCTCGACCATAACCCAATCTAAAAACACGTTAAAATTGTGCAGCAGCAGGATTCCAGTCAAACCAGTGAGTTTGGCGGTTTTGAGACATCATCTTTCATTGATAAAAAACCTTTTTCATTTTGCCGACGCGCATGGCTACGGCGACGGGCGCGCATACCAGAAACCGGAGACTTTTTTGGGGGGCTTAATTGATACTCAGTGACTCAGTCAGTCAGTGACTCATTCTGTCAGTGACTCATTCAGGCAGTGACTCATTCTGTCAGTGACTCATTCGGGCAGTGACTCAGTCAGTGACTCAGTCAGTGACTCAGTCAGTGACTCAGTCAGTCAGTCAGAGGGCAGGAGGCTGGCCCTGCAGGTCCAGAAAAGAACAGATACGTAACATTCACTAAAATTTCATAATAACATTTACATCTCTTTTGAATTTTTGTGTGTGTGCAGGGAGGAAACAATGCGGGTCACACAGTTGTTGTGGATGGTACAGAGTACGACTTCCATCTTCTACCCAGTGGTATCATCAACCCCAAATGCAAATCAGTCATAGGTATGAATGTGGCTTTACAAAAACATGTTACAGAAGAGAAAGCATACACTTTGCGTGTAAATCACAGAGGGCACCAAACAAATCAAATCAATGTTTCATTTTGGAGGGGAGTTTGGATGTGAAAATTGGTTTTGACAAGTGTACAATATAAAGTTTGTAGGCAACTGAGGGATCAGGTTTGGGAAGTGGTACTTTCCGCCCCTTCCACAACTGTGGCCCTGGTTCGAATCCTGTCTGGGAATCATGTCGAATAGGTTTTCAGGCGCCCCCCCCCCCCCCCCCACCACCACCACCACCAATGCTGTGGGTTTTACCTGGGACGTTCTTCTTGGGTTTTCTTCCCACCACTATAACTTTCATTTTCTGCCTGGGGACCCCACTGGGTATGGGCTCTGCGCCCGAACAAGAGACAGCGCGTTTTTATCACTTTCGAGAGCCCAGTGGACAGGACACACCATGTGTGCGTACTACATGTAGTTCATGCGCGTATAGCTAGAAGTATGAGCATGAGCGTTAGGTGTCGTCGGCCATGTGTTCAAATTTCTCTCCCGGCCGTCTTTCTAAACTGTCCCTTTCTTACCATTGAGATACTTGTGCACAGAGCCAATAAAGTCTATAGATTTCCGTGGGCAATCCTGGCCAAATGCCAGATGTTTTTATCCTCGCCTTTCAACCGTGTGACATATGTTTGAGTCCCACCCAAGCCCAGCATGTGGATTGGGTTTCCTGTCTTAATCTGATATCATCCCCCCACCCCGCTTACTAGTGTTATGATACTAGTAAATGGGACCAAAAGAAACAAACAGAATGCTGAAGTTTCTATGTTTATTCTCAAATTGCCTTAGAATGTAGGAGAATGCATCATAGCTTTCAAAATTGTCCGGGCGGCCATGCACGCCTTCACTCAATTGCCCCTTTCAATCGCCACCCCCTCCCCCCTTCCTGAAAGCTAGATCTGCCCTCACTCAATCGCCCCTTTCAATCGCCACCCCCTCCCCCCTTCCTGAAAGCTAGATCTGCCCCTGAAGTGGATGTTCAACAGGTACATCAGCGGGGAGCCAATAGTCCTACAAGAAGCGTTTGTTGCGTATTGATTAGCCACTTGGAAAGCCTCATTTCAGACTACCTGATGGATTGGGCAGCCAACACTCCGAACACCACGGCGCTAATTAAATGTCGGCTTTGTTTGTCCCCAGGTAATGGATTGGTGGTACATTTACCAGGGTTGTTTGAAGAAGGGGCGAAGGCAACGAAAAAAGGCCTGAACGGTTGGACGGATCGCCTGCTTGTTTCTGACAGGGCCCACCTCGGTAAGATAGCGGTATTTGCATAGTTCATGAATGTCTGTAAATGTTAATAACTTGGGCCAATTTTTCATCACTCTGCTTCCACAACAGCCATCCCCTATCTGTGCTTAGGCCCAAAAAAATTTATCGCAATTCCACAAAAAAAAAAAAATGATTGAATAAAAAATTTGGCAAAAAAAAAAATTCCAACCGACCGACCCTATTTTTGAAAGGCATGTAATTGGAAGCAGAAATATTTTATTTTTCCGGCCTTACTGCTCCAGCACAGTTTGCACTTACACTGCCATGACTGCATGCAGGGAATTCTTACTAAGGCCAAACATCGCAAACAAAAAAATACCCTATTTTTAAAAGCAATAAAATGCGACCCCACCAAATTTTATTGCCTTAGGATGGAACAAAAGTATTATGACACCGACTTCCAATCAAAATTGCTTAAAATTGCCGACGGCCCAAACATTTATGAGTATTTCCAGCAAGGGATTTTTTTCTTTCTGGTATTATCGGAAAGAAAATATCAAACATTCTGATAGGTTTGGAAAATCAGAGACTTTTTTGGGGGGGCCTTAACGCTTGATATTTGTTTTTTATTCCTAATTTCAGTTTTTGACTTTCATCAATCTGTGGACGGTTTGCAAGAAAAAGAAAAGGGGAAAAAGAGGTCAGTATCACAACCTTACAATTTCACAACCGGTAATTATAATGCATACTAAATGTAAACATTTGTAATGAGTCCAACATTCAGGTACCGGTACGCGATCACAGCAGTCAAAATCAATCAAACAACTGTTTTTAACAGTTGAGGATTTCCTTGCTAATAATTTGATTTAGCAATGCTTTGCCTGGAGATGATTGATATGCCGGCTGTGCCTACCATTTACCTTTTTGTCTGTTGATGCAGTTTGACTAGTCACAGTGTTTAAATTAATGTGATCTGTGGCATTACATTTCAACCATTATGGTACCCCAACCGAAGCACTTCACAATGAAGGAATTAATAAAATGCTTCAACTGTGACAAAAGGTATTCCATGTCGCTGTTTGAAAAGTTGATTTGTGATTGTACGGGGAATTTGTTTTCCCAGGATACGGTCAGTCTACCACAAATGGAATGTGTACCTACTTCGTGCTGCTAATGGGACTAAAGTGGCTCACAATTACACAAGGGCTTAAATGTACCTGTACATGCATTGCTTGTAGTTAAAAAGATACGTTACTAATGCATACTTGTGTGCGTGTAGGTTTAAAGGACAGAACTTTAACCTCAACTACTCAGAACCTGCAAAATTGTTACTCCTGGTTTTGCAGTTGTAATTTGATGATGGATTTAGGACAGTAGCCCGGTTACTATTAATTTAAATGTGGACAGAAGTGTAGTAACGAAAAGTAGAAATTAAATGTGACTCATCGCGCAGTAGTAAAAATTTACACAAAGGCAGAAACTGAGCAGAATTATGTAGGGTTATACAAAAGAATGAAAGGTTTATGGGGCACAACCGTGGTCAAGCTCCATTATGTAATAACCACCAATGCACTGACTGGTCATTTTGCAAATTTGTCCTGGAGTATTTCGGAAAAATTTGCTCAGGTTTCAAAGCACAGCAGTTTAGAGCTGCAGCTTGCGATGTGTAGGCCTATGTATGTAGTGTAAACTGGCCTGCGCATTCTAATTGATTTAGGCACGGTGAGGAATCTCCTTGTGATGCACAGTGTCAATAAGCCTTATTAGTGCATCTCATGTACAGCTGTTCTGCAGTACAAATGCAATGTGCACTAGTACAACATCTGTCTCCTTTGTTTTTTGAACCTGTGTTTCACAGTATTGGTACAACCAAGAAGGGTATCGGCCCCACGTATTCCTCCAAGGCTAGCCGTTCTGGACTGCGGATATGTGACCTCATGGCTGACTTCAGTGCCTTCTCAGAGAAGTAAGTTCTACCAAAATAAGAAAAAAAATTTAAAATAGTTGGAAAGGCTGGAGTTTGATATGTGAAATGAGTTTTGATCTTCTGAGTTTTGGGTTCATAAATAAAAGCGTATTGAAATTTTGTTCTGTGTTTTTTTTAATTTCATCTAGAAAATTAGATTCCTTTTCTAAATTGTTACTACTAGCAATACCAAGTTATTCACTTAGCATGAGACATCAAGTTCATCAACTGAAGAAGAAAAAAAATGGCCTGTATTTAGTCATTTAATTCAATAGAATTCAATTCAATATTAGGTTTTGCCCTTCACTGACGTATAGAAACACTGTATACTCAGTGTGTTACCCCCTGAGTGAAAGTTGGAAGAAAAAAATAGGTTCGTTGTGGTACCTGCTGCTACATGAGATTCCAACCAGCCAATGGATCCCAGCAAGCTCGGTGGTGTGGTGGAGTGGTAAGACATTTGCACTAGAAAGCTGGAGGTCATGCATATGGGTTCGAGTCCCACCCAAGTGATTTTTTTTTCTCACTTACACTTAGGGGGTAACACACTGAGTATACAGTGTTTAAACATCGTTGAAAGGTAAAACCTATAGAATTTACATCATCCCAATGCAAATTTCATCTAATGAATAATTTCAAATCAGAGATTTTTGTTTTCTTCTTTTTCTTTTATAGATTCCGTTCTCTTGTCAGTACATACCAAAGAATGTTCCCTGATCTGGAGGTGGACATTAAGACAGAATTAGCAAGATATGAGGTAAGTTTTGATATTTTCCTCAAAAGATTCTGAATGTATACATGTCAATATCTTAATATTTTATCTCTGTGTTTCCAGTTGCTGGCCACAGACAGAACTATTTGCATTTCATTATTGTACGTACATGTAAGTCTTAAGTACCCTGACGAGCATTATGCTTAAGAAAATCTAGATATATGAAATGTTCAAGAATGTCAAGCTACACGTAACTTGTCAAAGGTCCACAGGACTCCTTACATCTTTCAATTTCCTTGTCCTGTGTTTTAGGAATTTGCAGAAAAGCTTAGGCCGATGGTAGTTGACACCGTCTACTTCATGTATAAGTCCCTGCAGGACCCTACGAAAAAGGTTGTTGTGGAGGGAGCTAATGCCACGATGCTGGACATTGATTTTGGTAAGTGCCCAGAATGAGCTTAATCCTACGGTTACGAAATGCCTCCATGCCAACTGGACACAATGTTTTCACTTCATCAAGCCCAATCAAAAATAAAAGTGGCGGTTTCGACTTTCAGTACGCATTGATAAAAGTCTGTGAAGTTTCTTGCAAGAATTTATGAAATAACTACAGTGAAATGCCCCTATAACAAACACCGCTGTAACGAACATTTGGCTATAACGAACAACACCGTTGGCTCCCAAAATAGTAAATTCTATTATAATGCACAATCACTATAACGAACGACCACTATAACGAACAGTTTTTTATGGCCCCACCGTGTTAGTTATAGTGGCGTTCTACTGTATATTTTGTTAGATATAGCTTTACACTACGTAAACACCATTGACATAAAAAAGCTACTTTGATGTTATGGAAACATCATGTTTTTGTTGTTACAGATGTTAATAACATTACATGTCTGAAATCAACTTCACACTCGCCATAACAAAGATGAATCATGGTATTCTTTGTTCCGTGTGTTAATGTTATAGAATATATGAACCTCTCTCTCTGCCTTAAAAACAAAAACTCACAATGAAACTTGCATTTTGTATGTTCAAACAAGATTCCAAAATGGCTAGCTAAAATCCATACTTTTAGCCCCAAAACTGACACACCACTCAAATAAAAGGTCTTGTCCCCTTTTATTTGATGCCACATGTGAGGTTGTGATGCCTGTAATTCTGAAGATTTCTTAAATTTTCACTTTCCAACCATGTCCACATTGGCGAGGAATTGCCGACATCGAAATTTCAAGCCTCATGTTATGTATTACTGCTGGAATTTACCTACCTCAATCCCGCACAGTCCCCAATAACATTATGAATCTTTAAATATTTCCAAATACTGGGGGCTGAAAGTTATACATTCTTGTTTGTGCTCCATTGCAGGCACGTATCCCTACGTAACGTCGTCCAACTGTTCTATTGGGGGTGTGTGTACCGGTCTCGGTATACCAACCAAAAATATAGGAAACGTCTTTGGAGTGACCAAGGCCTATACTACCAGAGTAGGAGATGGGGCGTTCCCAACAGAACTGCACGACGTGAGTTTGATTTTAAAAAGGAACAGTAAATTATCTGTAAATTGTTTTTCCATAAATCATGCTGAATCAATTTGGGGGATTCACAATGCAGAGCGCCACCAATAGTTTGCCACGGAGAGTTCATTTTTCCCTGTGCATTGTGGGAGATGGTCGACAAATTCGCAGCGCGGGGACATTTGAAATTGTTCGTTTTTTCCGGTCAGTAGGTTCGTAAGCGTATGATTCAAGTATATATTTGCCTTTTTTTTTCTTTGTATCAATATGGTGATTTTTTGTAATGCGACAGAACGCTATGCCCCTATCTGTAACATAATAGCTCAAGTTGTCTACTGACACTCATTCAAATGGGCCATATTTTGTAGACCGTAAACTTGAAAAGTTGACTTTCCATGGCAAACTCTTGGTGGCGCCCTGCATTGTGAATCGCCCGAATTGAATAATTTAGTATTCAATTATTTTAATTTCAGTTCAATCCAAAACGAAAATGTTAACTGGCAAGCAATAATTTTTCAGCAAAGTTTTGAAATCGATCTGCCCTTATGTCTCTGTTCCTAGGAAATTGGCGATTTGTTACAAGAGCGGGGTCACGAGTTTGGCGTAACGACAAAGCGGCGTCGACGTTGTGGTTGGCTGGACGCCGTACTGCTGAGATATACGAACGTGATCAATGGATTCACTGCGTAAGTACGCAAAGTCAATGAACTCTGGGCGCGAGTGCTTGATACATTCCCAATTCTGTGTGTGTTAACCCTAACCTCCCCAACTCCATCAAAATCCATCCCCCCATTTTGGTGGATTTTGGGGGACTTGGTCCTGCAGGCGTGGTTTGACTAAATATTGATGGAGTATGATGGACTTGGGCCTGCGGAGGCCTAAAGCAAAGCATGCATTGGAGGCAGTGTGATTGATGGATTTTGGCCGACTTGGTCCGGTACTTAAGTAAAAGACAGGAGGGAGTGAGGGTTAATCCAAGGAAGCGTTTGCAGAAAGCTTTAGTAAAGAGAAGATTTTTTTGGACTAGCTGACGTAATATGTTTACCAAGTGGCTTGATGTGATCACTCTTAAAGCAAAGAGTTTTTTCCAAAGGATCTTTTCAAAGGATTTTTAAAATTGAGTTAACCAACCTACAGGCCAAAGGCCACTTGCGATGGCATCTTTAAAAAGAAAGTATACAATGGAATAAAAAAGCAAATGTGTTAAGTGCTTTGAATTGAAAAAGCAACTCCCGTCGTATCATTGTCTGCAGTCATGCCGGTGTTTGGTTTGTTGCGATTTTTCCCCTGCATTCTGCAAAGCATGACATCTACATTATATGTCACATCTTGACTTTGTCCGTACAGTTTTGACACTGATGTTTTCCCCTCCATCTTATGTACAGGTTTGCCATGACCAAGCTTGATATCTTAGACGTTCTGGATGAGATCAAGATTGGAGTGGCTTACCAACACAAGGGCAAAGAAGTACCGTGTTTCCCAGGTAAACATGAGCTAACCCTAACCCCCTAGTAGTGTCTCAAGACTACAGGGTGAGTAAAAAAAAAACGAAACCCAAATGTCAGGGACCATTGTTTTAGTGAAATTCTGCATGTAGCACTTTCAAAATCTAGGACATGAAAGCCCAATTCATAAGCTTTCTTTTAGTACAAGAATCATTCAAATCACTCATGTACTTTTGAAGTTACAGAGTTTTAAACACAACCACCGTTTTAAAGTTCTGTCCACGGATCACAAAAAAGTTGTGCGTTCTTTCAGCAAAATGAAAGCAATTCACACACATCCTTATGTGATTTGTTTTCGTTTTGCTAAAAGAACACTGAACTTTTTTTTGTGATCCCCGTGGACAGAACCTTAAAATGGTGGTTGTGTTTAAAACTCCGGAACTTGAAAAGTACATGAGTGATTTGAATAATTCTTGTGCTAAAAGAAAGCTTATGAATTGGGCTTTTATATCCTAGATTTTGAAAGTGCTACATGCAGAACTTCACTAAAACAATGGGCCCGACATTTGGGTTTCGTTTGTTTTTATTCACCCAGCACCCTGCTCAATCTAACAGAATCCCACTGTGCCTTATTTTCAGTTGTCTGCTGGATCCAACAGAGTCTAACTAGACATTATAATGCGGTTCAGTTGCCTGCTGAATCCAACGTGTTGCAATTAGGAGTGTACATCATGGGTTTACTGCTCAATCCAACAGGCTCCAGCGGGTATATGATATAGTTGGATCCTGTTGGATTCAGCAGGGTTAGGGCTTTCGAGCAGCTTTCTTGGCTATGCCTACTTTACTCAGAAAATCTTTGCGTACTTCTCAGAATTTTGTGCTTATGGTCGGCATATTCCACACACAAAGCCTAGAATGTTGATGATAAATGCAAAATTCGGTGGTAAGCAGGGCCATAAAATTGGGTTGTGCAGTCGATGCATTTTAACAGGGTTCCTGTGGCCTGGAAAAAAAAACTGGAAAAGTCATGGTATTTTATTACCTATTTCCAGGCCTGGAAAAGTAATCAAATTTTGTAAAAAAAAAATGACAGAAGTCCAGGACAAATTTTGTGAGGGCCAATTTATTTTACAATTTCAAACTTTGCATATTCAAAATTTAACATTCGGAAATCTGCAACACATTTTGCTGAAATTTTGCTGATTTTGCTGAAGTCGTGGACTTGCACAGTGTGAAACTTTTGTGAAATTGTCATAACTGAAATGTTGCAAGGCATAAAATGCTGCGCAACGTACGCAATAAATTGTGGCGCAAGTGGAGTTACGCCATTGCATAAAGTTTCGTGAAATCGCCTGCTGTACTCTTTGGGATTTTGATTTTTGGTTCCAAGTTTATTGGAAATGGGCCAAGTGAAGTCTTTGACTTTATTTTTGTATATTATTTGTTTTTATCAGCTCATCAGGATGTCTTGAAGGAGGTGGAGGTTGAATACGTTACCATGCCCGGCTGGAAGAGCAACACGGAGCAGATCCGAAACTTCGAAGATCTTCCACCAAACGCTCAGGCCTATGTGATGAAGCTAGAAGAACTAGTCGGTGTCCCTGGTGAGTATGGGCTTGGAGCGCGAACAAGAGATATCCAGTGGGGAGAAACACCGCGTACGTGTACTGGTTTGCGCACGTTTGTCGCAAAGTATGCATGACCGATTTTATTCTGAATGTACACAAGGCCATAGGAACTTTGCACGAACGTCGTCAGGCGTCGTCAGCAATGCGTTCCAGTGTCTCTCCCAGTGGGCTCCCCCAACTCTCCCTTTCGTACCGTTGAGGGGGTACTTGTGCCCACATAGACATATAATAAACCCTAGACACGACATTAGCTGCTTTTACGTTGTAAATTCTGTGAGCTAAACGAGCTGCGTCACGCGGCCTGGCGCGTTACGCGAAATATCATGTGGCTTCGATTTACGCGCATGCGTAAACGTGTCTTCCATGTATTCCATGTTCAGGCGAGCGCCAATGCACTTGTGCGCCACTTAGTTTTTTCCCACGTGCGTACGGGACTAAAAGATTTCAAGTAACGTGCGCAGTGGGACCGCTCACTTGCGCGACGCGTCACGCCTGTGGTGAGTGTTTCGCGTAATACACGCAGCATTTTGCTCACAGGCGAAATAGCAAATGTCGTGTCGAGGTTTTATTATGTCTATGTGTGCCCATTGTAATGGATGATAGTGGCAAGGCACAGGGTACAGGTACCAGACATGTACTCTTTGATGGCTCAATAGGTTGGCACCAGCTTACCGTCTACCAACTTTGTTCAGTAATGATAAAAGGCCACGTCCACATTACCTGGCTGTGGCTGTCAATTACAAATGCACCATAGAAAGAGGCTGAACCACTACTCATAGACTTTTGATTTATTTTCTGGCTATAGCCTAGTCTTGTTCCAAGAGTGAATTTGGCTTTTTCCCCCCTTTAAATGCAGCATGTCCCTGGCAAGCGCGGTCAAGCTACCATGGCGGTGCAGGTTGCTATCAATAAAATCAATCAAACCAAGTCTTTGGAACTTCTGTAGCGCCTGCTAGGAAATTCCGAGCACACCTCGGGTGTGCTGTATTCAAGCTAATGCATTCCCGTGAGTCATACTCGGAATTTCTTGGGTAGCGCTACCAAAGTTCCCAAGACTGGACTGGATTGATCTTGTTGATAGCGACCTCGACCACTGTAGTAGGTTGACCGCGCTTGCCAGGGACGGGCTGCATTGAGGGAAAAATTCCAAATTTAGTCTTGGAACCAAGACTAGCCATTGTCAAGTAATGTGGTTAAATAAATAATGAAAGGTTTTACGGAAACACCATGTGCGAATAATTTCTCAACTTAGAGAATGGTTCTGAAAAGAACCAGAGGTGTAAACTCGACGTTCTGGTCAGTATGCTCTGACCGTCTTCAGGAAACCCTTCATTATTTCAAACCTTTCATTATTTAGTATCTCCACCATGCAAAGCCTCAAATCTTACTAAGTAATGTGGTCTTGGCCAAAGATGATTGAAATAGGCATACTCTGGGATTCATCTTTAAAATGAATTTTTCTTTTTTTACTGAATTCAAGTTTTGTGCATGTCCTTGCCTTTTTTTTCTGCAGTAAAATGGGTTGGAGTTGGAAAGAGCCGGGAGTCCATCATCACACGATTCTGAGGCAGTGCTTCCACCATTAGGCTGTTGATTTGCCAGGTCCAAACACAGTCTGGCTCTTGAATTTCCAGGATTGAAAGTACCTCAGCAACTTCGGTCCTTTTATTATATTTTTTTTAAGCCGTAATATGAAACTTAATGTAAGGCATTTCCAAGACGATTTACATTAAGTTTGTTTATACTCATGAGCAGGTAATAGCATTACAGAGTATACTAACTGTGTGTATGGTGTGTCGACATCTCTGATAAAGAAATTGTGTATTTCTGTCAGGCTTGGAAATGGAAAACACATTGGTAAAAAAGTTGATGAAAAGTTTGTGGTAATAGTGGTGAATGGATTGTTTATTAAAACAGCTGCTGTTTTTTGGCATTTGTTACATATTAATCTGTATGACGGTTAAAAGGTGTCACTGTTGATAGATTTTTGGGTGGTGCTGTTGTTGAAACATCACAATTAGTCTGTGATGTACTTTGAAAAGCTCCTCCAATTTTGGAAGAGTGTTTAACTTTGTCTCAAAGGAAGTGTCTCGAAGGAAAAGTTTGCAACTTTGAGCCTCACATATTTCTTTTTTTTAAAGTAAGAATTGAATAGAAGTAAATTGTATAATGAGTAATTTTAGATGCACATGCAGAATGCAAGATATCCGCTAAAAATACTCGAAATTGTTGGCCATTTGGAACATGTTTGCTAATGGCTATGGCTAGTCCAATGAGAGTGTCATTGGCAAAAGCCTAAGCCAGAGCCCAAAATGCACAGGACTCCATTTTGAAATGTAATTCAGCTTTTGAAAAAGAGATATATATTTAGAGAAGCGATACATGTACAAGACATTTGAAATATATCAAGTGTTGTACAAAATGTATCAATTTTGAACTGTCAAATTTTCAAGTTGGGGGGATTTAAAAAAAAAAACCAATTTGCGGCAAGAATCTCTTTCAGGCCATTCTTATTAAGCCAGTTGCGAGTTAAATTTGAATACAATCTGGAACGCTGACTTAATCCAATGATTTGCACATTTTAACTTTGCATTCTCCTGACCAAAGAGACTGTTACTATATCACGTGATTCGGGGCAAGCCTTATGCTAGCAAGCCCCGGCATGGCCTGGTGTCTTTGTGCCATTCTCACCCATTGTGAACAATGTATTGGTGCTGAGCGTCTCTTACGTAACTATGCAAGAGCTTGCCCCGAATCATGTGATTCGCAACAGTGTCTTTGGTCTGGAGAATTCAAAGTTAAAATGTGCCAAGCATTCTGAGCAAGTCAGTGTACCAGATGTTTTTCAAATTTAAATCCCAAAGGGTATAGGTTACTCACAAATGGCTTATTGGCGTCTGCCCGTTCAGGCCTTTCCATTCTTCACACAAATACAAATGCAATATAAATTTTAAGACCATCTAAATATTTTTTTTGTTTGCCCAGATTCCACAGAGTTGAAATTTGTTAACGATGACAACGATGATGTGCATGCAAAATAGGAATTAATCTAAAATTGAAATCAGACATCAGCTGCATATGAAGCCTGAAATTGTGGAGGTTCACTTCCGATGCACGATACCCTCGGCTGCATTCGAAATGTAACAATTTATTTACTTGGTTCCTAAAAGAACTTTTTATAAGTAACCTATTTTTCTGTAAATTTATTTTTTCAATTGGTGGAATTGTCAATATGTAATATTACAAGATTGGCCAGCGAACTGCGTTTATAAAACTTGAGTTTAATACTGTGAAGTGTAGGAAGTACCTTAAACTTATATTGTGTTTAAATGTGTGTTCCACTTACATGTGTTTTGTCTGTATCTGTGAAATATTTACCACTTGCACGTTTATTTTGGAAAGAATGTAGTATCCAGACGCCACTGTTTTGAACAAAGTCTATGGAGAGTCAAGAAAATTTCTAAGTATTTCCTAACAAAATTGGAAATGTTTCCCAGTCCCACATTCATGTCTTTTCAACATTTTGGCAATGACTGACCTTTATTGAGATGATGTATGAAGAAAAAAAGAGGCGTCAGGTTGCAACATTTTTTCCTTTATTTTAAACATGTATAATTTTACCATTATATAAAATGTAGACTTTTTGTGTAAACATCTACTAAATTGGATGCTTCAAGCTGTGGTCGTTATATCTGATCATCAAAATGCATTGAAATAACTCCTCAAGGTCCGCAAAGAGAATTTATTTCTTTCCCAACAATAGCTTGAAAATTGCTTTTGTGACATGCTTTTTTGCATAACATTTTTTTATAAGGGGCAAAACAAAGGATTTGGCTGTAGATAAATAGTTTCTGGGGGTAAAAAAACCCTGCAGTATCTGCAGGGTGTCTCACAAAAACAATGGACCGATTGGAAAATGAGCACTTATTTTGAATTGGCCGTAACTCAATAAATAGTTACCCGATTGGAAAGATTTTTTCGTTGTTGAAAAGCTAATGGACTATACTCTCTAAATATGCATAGATATTTGCGATGTATTATTTAAAAAGCTGTGAAAAAGGGGACGCTTTGAGGGTTCGTTTTTTTGTGAGACACCCTATATATTAAACGTAAGCCAGTGACTTAGTTGGCCTAATATATCTTCTGTGCAATTTGTGTAGGCTCATTGGTTTTAACTATTCAAATATACCTAACTAGTCAGTGTCTCAAAATACATTGAAGGAAATATGAAAATCTAATAAATCTTTGGAAATTTATCCGTTGAGTTTACTCTTTGCACTGAGCGCACTCTTTCCTTTTATAAAAAGAATATTTAATCTTGTAAAATGGAATGGACATCGGCTTCATTAATCACACTGATGTAAAGTAATGGATAAAATAAATCATGGATGCTAGAAAATTAGATAACTTTCTAGTCAAGTAGTGCAGAATGGCTTGTTTATTCCATACTTACTACAGCTAGTTCCAATTGTAAATCAAAAAGATTGACCGTAGGCGTCATGTCACACTGCTTGCCATACTGCATTCTGGGAGCCACGTGGTAAACTGGCGAAGTGAGTAAGCAGGTCATGGGTTCGAATCCCAACTGCGAAAGCTTGTGATTGTTTTCTCGAAAGTTTTCAAGTGACATAGCATATACCTTTATGTCGGTGAAGGGCAAAACCCAGTTTTAAAATTTACAGTTTGGCTCAAAATTGTATGCTTACAAAAGGGACTGACCACCACTGCCCTGATCACATTGCGCATGTGCTAATGTACAGCTTGGGTTGTTACTTTCTAATAGGCCTTTTCACACTTGACACATCTCTGGTTTGACGCAGGGTTGAAAACATGCATTTCACACTTAAAAATTTTCAACCCTGCGCCAATCCTGTGTAAACCCTGATATTGATTTCGAGGGTTCCAGACCAGGGTTGAAATTTTCAACCGGGTTGAAATTCTCGCCAGGGTTCAAAACAGTAGTAACCGAGCGAAATAAGCTTGGTTTGCACGAAGCAAGTGTGACATGATGCGCATTGAAAGCGGGGTTGAAAAATAAAAAAAACTTAACCCAGAACGGCACTGGGTTCACCCAGGGTCGAGTTCAACCCGGGTTGAGAGGCTCTAGTGTGAAAAGGCTTATAGCGGTACATGACTATTGTTGCATGTTACTGTGAGTGGCTAGCTCTCTACAAACACAAGAAGAATTTTTTTCAATTTCCAAATAAAAAGATGGTGGTGGATTCTTATACAGTGGAAAAAGCAGTCTGAAAGTGGCTGTGTGTACATGTACATTGCAGTATAAAACTTCATTGCCTGAACAAAATTTACAACATGGTTGACCCATGATATTTTTTCCTTGGCTCCGAAAATGCAATGTAGGAAACCATGTGATGTCATGTCCAAGCTGCTCTTTAACTTTGTAGTTTCTTGAGCTTGGGAAATTAAGCAGTTTGATCTTGCATCTTTTGAGGGGGGATAAGGCAAGTTCCAGCATAGAACCGAGTGGTACATGTACATGTCTGGTGTGAAACTTGTGTTGCCTCACTGAGCAAACCATTCCATTTTCATAATATTTCACTTTAATGAAATTGTTATTGTCTTTGATTATAGTTGATGTTTTCCAATTTCTGAGTTTGTGTAACATTTATGCAGTAGAAATATTTAACTGGAGTGCCTTGTATTACTTTTATTTAAAACAAAATGGCTTTTGAGTTTTACTTTTTGAATTAATGCAGTGGGGTTTATTTGGAGTGGCGCCAACTATTATTGGTCACGTTATTGTTGTGAAAAAAAAATGGGTTGTTAAAGGTTATGAGGGCTATGGTTATTATTTTGTGAGGTAATTTATATTACTTCTGTCATTGTAAAAAATATCCTTGAACTTTTGGAAAAGTCATGCAAATACCTGAGTTATAAAGGTCTTGTATAGGACTCAAACAAATAAAAGTGTCAATTTCTCACTTTTTGTGTTGAAGACTAATAATAATGTGGGGCTTGTATACCGATTTTCACCAAAGCTTCACATCTATGACCCCTGTTCATCTGCCCACGAGACCAGTTTCCTGCAGCAGCTTGAGATCAGCACAGTCTGGTCAAGGGCGGATCCAGAACACAGTTTGGGGGGGGGGGGATTCTAGATGCTCTGTGGTGCGATCTGAGGCAATTTCTGACCACTTTAACCAAAATTGTTCGAGGAAAAGATGGTGTGCCTTTATTGCGATGTCACTTAACGGGAATGTACAACATTTGCTTTTGCTGCAATTGTCAGAAATAAATGGATTTGGAGGATTAGTATGTTATAGCAAATATCGTTAAACTGACTTGATGTGGGTTTTTGGGAAAATCCAAGAAAATCAACCATATTCTTGTAGTCTGGTTTCCTGACCCCACTTAAGATGAAACAGAACAATTTATAGACTTTAGGGAATTGTAAGGTCAAAGAATCAGTCGAGCAGGCTTGTATCCCTTGACATGTGTGTAATCAATTGCAAAGAAAATGTGGAATAACTATGACTTAGGAGCACTTTTTGAAAAAAGCCAGGTTTCTCCAATGCTGGTCGGCGGACCATCGTTGGAAAAATACAAGTTTTCTTGAAAATGTCAGCACACCAGGAACCACGATTTTACAGGATGCTTTTGACTCTCAATCCCTAACAATCCTGTAAGAGATTTCGTGATAATTTGATCATTTAATTTTTCAATGCTTGCAAATGTATCTTCCCTTAAAAAAAAAAGTTGGTTTTTTTTTGGGGGGGGGGCATGGCCCCCGTTGCCCCCCCCCCCCCCCCCCCCCCCCCCCCCGATCCACTTTTGAATTCTGGTCGCTGCAGTCACAGGTACATGCTCATACTTCCGAGAGGAGAGACGAATTGTAGTGAAGTGTCTTGCCTAAGAACACAAGTACACATTCTCACAATATACAAGAAATCAAAAGTTGGTCACAAGTTATTTCTTAACTGAAATGAGTTGTAGGCATTCCTTTATTATTCATCCTTGAGATTGAACTCGAAAAACTAACCAATTTATTATCAATGTTTGCAAAGACAAAATATGAGATGTGAGCTTTCCCATTCACAACTTGTGTAAACTGGAAGAAATTGTGTGTTGTGAGAAACTTTAAATTGATGATTGAGGTTTTTGTGTGTGGTAAGATATCATTTCCCCCCCCCCCTCCATACATTTCTTTTTTGGCCTGCAATTGAGAGAAACCATATGCCTTCACAACTAGTGAAGAATAGCTCTGATATTATTTTGTGAATGTGATGTTATGTTACAATTACAAAACAAACTTGAAAATGTATACAATAAACGGTTTATTTATATTCTATGTGTTGAAAATTTTGAATAACCAAATCAACTGATAACACTTTTGGATGAAATTACTTCACATTTGAATAATTAACATTCTATTAAAATTAAATTGATTTTATGAGCAAACGTCTGAAAGTTCTAATATAAAAAAATATTTTAAATAGCCAAAAAACAGAGTATGTTGTTTTGATGTTCGATTTAAAGAGTCTTATGAACATCTTTCACGCGTCACGCAGGGCCACGTGACATTATGAGGTGCGATATTTTAACAACGAAGACCAATAGTCTCGGTCCGACTTGAATCAAGTCTAATACAAAAGTAAATACACTTGGAAATTATTGGAGAAAGGAATTGTGACACAAACACATGTTTTCGCGCGGTGAACCGAAATTTTACCGGGAAAGTCGGTGCGCATTTGCCATATGTCTGCTGTTCACGAGTAGCGCTTCGATTTTTCCTTCGTCGTAATACGATTTTGTATTGTATTTGCTGGTATTTGGTGTCTGTCATTTTGAAATTAGACGGATATGGGGGTGACTATCCTTTATTACTTGATGGTCTCTTAATTCCGGCAGTTTATGTGTAGAATTAGATGATGAAACGTCGAAGTTCGAACGTAGCCTACGCGGCCCATATCATGCTTATGTCTATCGCCATGGCCATGTCATGCATGTCGACGGCGATCGTGTAGTGTAGGGCCCCTGTTTTGTTTTGATCAAATTAGAGTAAAAATGTTTTTTATTTGCTCAAAAATCACCTTTACAATCAAAGCAGACTTTTCTCAATTCTAAGGACACCCGTTTTGCAATTATGACATGTATGAAAAGTTTCTTGGGGTGGGGGGGGGGGGGGGGATAATGGGATGGCGTTGGTTAATGATTAATGCATTACCCTAAACTAACATTTTGGGTTGGGTCAGGTCGGTTTGTCCATCATTTTAGTCGGGTCGGTTTCAGTTTTGCGTTTGAGATTTTCGGGTCGGGTCGGGTCGGGTCAAAACCATTTTGGAAAAACCTGAAATAAACCGAATTGAATCGAAACAGAATGGAAATTCACATGGTGCATTATTTAGTGCAGAGTCACTGCGCGCGGTGCAGTGTGACTGAAATGTTTGCGGTCTGTCTCGATCGGTCTAACATGTAGACCCACCATGTAGTGAGTAGGTCACTGCATGTTCAGTTACTGAAAGCCGATATTTTTTTTACGCGAAGCGGGTCAGTTCAGGTGCAAAAAGTGGACACATTTGCTGAACCCAGTCCCAGATATTCAAGGTTTTTCCGGGTCAGTTCGGTTTCGGGTTGGTTTTCTTTGAATTGTGGTCGGGTCGGGTAGGTTTTAGCGTAGGTATAAAAGATCCATTGCACCTGCGATGAAGGAGTGGTCAGTGTATATCACTGATGTGGTACCCTGTGTCTTGTGGAACTGTGTTGTGCTTGTCCTGCTTGTAGATTTCCATGGCCTCGCGGACTTTACAATTGCCGTTTTCATGATTGAAGTTTCCATAGCTATGCATAGGCCTATCCTAAATGGTTTTGTTACCTTGCCATACTTATTCCTGTACATGTACCTGTTTACAAACTTTAAACTAATTTTGGAAAGGATGAAGCATCCTGACCCCTCTTTACAAACAAATAGCTACGAAATTGTCATCTTAAAACTTACCAACACCCCTAATCGAAAACCTTTTTTTCCCATCACTTTTATCTCAGAGGAAATCTGCCAAAGGAAAGGAGAAGAAGTTGAAAAGGAAAGAGGTAAAGTAACGGTTTAAGAAAGCTACAAACCTTCCTTGATAGGTGATAGGGGCAGTTTAAAGAAAAATAATGGTGGCTTTAAAAGATTGTTTAACTCATTCCCTCCCTTCTGCCTCCAAACTATTAGGGCTAAAACATTAAGTCATGGCACAAGTAAACAATACATGTACGTATCGCAATAAAGATCCAAATAATTGTTATATCATTTTTAGTGTTTGTCATATTATTTGCAAAATCTCTGCCCTTGTACAGGTAAGTTACAGGGATCAATGCCAACTTTGGGTGAAGTCTCACCATTTTCAGTATACTGAAAACAACATTCAAATTACGTGTTTACGTACAAGTTTGAAATTCCAATGTGTCAGTATTCTAGATTACCTGAACAGTATGTGTATCAGGGTTCTCCCCAGGATTTTTTCAAACCTGTGGGGGAAGTTTTGTTGTGATTCACCAACCTGCAAAGCCATGGCGTGGGGTTCGGGGCCCGCTTAAGGGCCCCGAAAATTTTTGAACTTTAGAGGCTCTCTGGTGCATTTTAGAGCAAATCTGGGGAGTCTTTGAGGAAGATTTTCCCTTAAAATTTAGAGGAGATCATGTGATATCTTTTGTAATTAAAGAAAAAAATATATCAAAATTTTTAACTTAAAAAAAAAAATCAACATTTCAAAACCTGTGTAAAAACTTCCTGATCTAGAAAGTATGAATTATATTAACAAGCAAGTTTCAAATTAAGAAATTAAGGTGAAGAAAAATATCACTTTTGCTTCCGATTACATGCCTTTCAAAATAGCGTCGGTAAGTTGGAAAAATTATTTCGCCAATTTTTTGGGCTGCTGATTGAATCATGGAGGAATAAAAACACTTGATTGAATGGAGCATATTGAACAAGGAATCATGTAGTTTTGTGCCTGGATTATTTTCCTTTGCACCACGAAAATTATCAAGACTGACCATCAAAAGTGATTAAAACTTGCCTCACCTAATTAAAAATATATTTGAGGTAGTTGATTCCACAATATGTTTAACGTACATCATGGCCCCCTCGCGCGGCGCCGTCAACATTCAGTCTGGCCGGCTGTACATCGCGCTGTGCTCACAGCGCAGCATCAGTGTGCATTACTGAACTGTGTACGGCCCATCCCATGTGGCTGAAAATTTTGCACCACTGCTTCTAAGAAGCATGCTACGCGTACGATGTTTCGCCATACGTTCGAGCTTTGCAATCTCGTCATTTTAATGGAAAATACATACACAGAAAATAGAGATCACGTTCTGAGAATTAATTTGCAGAAATTCTCTTTCTCCATCGATGTTTGTTTGGTGTTTTTACGATCCAACTTCGGCCGAAATCATCATGTATGCACGTACAAGGCAGTAGTCACTGGTTCCGGTCCTTCATCATAGCATACTGTTAGCACGCGAAGGGAACCAGTGTACCATGCTGAATGCGCTAATATACAGCTGGGTGCTGGCGGTCGTCGCGAAAGACCCGTCTTCGTGTGCATTTTGATCACACATGCAGCATCAGAAATACGGGATTTTTGTCAAGATTTTGAATGTCAAGATGAAATAATGGCGTATGAAACGATAATGTTGTGCATTTTAATGTCTTGTGTAATAAATTATATTGTGCGTATCGGGGGCTGAAAAATGTGATCGGCATTTTTGTCGGCGTATCGGGCCACAATTCCAGCGTATCGGGCCGATACGCACGTTTGTACGTGGGGAGAACCCTGGTGTATTATCAAATAATGCATTGCAATTTATCAGCTGAATCAACTGGGTTCGAGTCCCACCCGATTTGTTTTTTCCAACTTTCACTCAGGAGGTAACACACCGAGAATACAGTGTTTACATGTACATGTATATGTCGGTGAAGGGCAAAACCTAATAGCGATTTATCAACTACATCACCTATTCACCCCTATCAAGAATTTCTTTTAGAGTTACTAGTTAGTCTGTCAAACCAAACAAATCTTGGAAAATTGCCATCTTCAATCTCTCATCCTAGCCCTGCTCTTATTTCTCAAGATCTGCCATCAATCTAAGGCCGACTCAAGCAAAACAACAAAAATAGTTTCTTGAAGGTGTGTGGGAAAAAGGAAGAACTTTCCCTTTGGCTTCTGAGAGCTACTCTGCAAGGCCGTGCTTACGTTTAACATTTCCTTAATTCATGTTTTCTGATCCAGGAGCAGGCCTCCCTCGCTGCTTCTCAAGCCGTTGTTGATGCTGCTAATGCGCTTGATGATCCTATGGAGAGTCTAGCACCATTCAAGAAATACAACAGAAATGGGTGAGTTGTCCATGAAGTCCATGTTGTCATCAATTACATTCATTCACTTAACTTGCATCTTTTGGTAACCATGACAATAATATAGCATGGTAACTAAGGCCAAAAAAAAATTCTTCTTCCGAATACATGGCATTTGAGAATAGGGTAGGTACATGTAGGTAGGGCATTTTTTTTGGGGGGGGGGGAGGCAATTTTTTGTGGGCGATCATATGGAGGTGTGTGCATGTAGTCAAGGGTAAAAGGTAGTAATTGATGGTTTTCAGGATTTTTCCCATCATTTTCCCCTCAAAAATAGGGTAGGGGGTGGGTATGGTAACCGGAAGCAGAACTATATTTTGTTTTGCCTAATATTAACCTTGACTCCCCTGGTGTTTTTGCAGAGAAACATAACCCTAACAGTCCTAACTTCTCCAGAATCCTCCACTATGTACGAAAACCTTTTTTTTAGGCAAAGACTCTAGCTTTCAGGGATCATCAAACCTCATGTAGTGTAATGGTGGCATGATGGCTCTACCCTCAATCCTTTAAAACCCCCAGATGATTTGGGGATGTTGAAGGTTTAGATGTATTTCCATTTCAGGCTGAATCTGACGATAGACTGCTGCCGGAGCACTAGTCTGGATGAGCAGACACTAGACTGGGCCTTCAACCTCACCAAGAAAAACATGCAAACACTGTGAGTGCGCAGAATGTTTTTTTTTTCATTACCTTAAGCCGGCATGAAGGGTAATTAAAGCCACGATCACAAGCATTGAAAGCACAACTTCAGAAAGGGTACTTTTCAAGATTATTGAGGGCGCTATTCAAGAAGACAAAAAGGCCACTCTTTGAGACACCTATCTGGTATCCACCCCATCACTTTCCATGCATAAATTAGCATAAGTTTAATTTCAAAATGTCACATACGTGACCAATCAAAATGTCACCGTGACAACAGAACAATTCAGAGAGTAAAACTATCCCAAGAATGGCCCCATATATGAAGTGTGTGATGTAACATTTTGATAGCAGAAAACTTAAGAAGGACTGCAGGAGTGCATGGGCATCCCGCATTCCAAAAATTCATTGTGGAGAACGCTGTGCCTGTAGTTAATTACACAGAGAGACATCCAGCCTGGGCGAAAATATTTTCAGAAATAATACATGCTAGTCGGCATAGTCAAGTCCATCCAAAGTCCTATCAATTCCATTACAGAAAACATCTCACCTCTGTTTCGACTTTTCCATTGCTGCTACATGTCCCTTCCCTCCCTAGAGTCTTTCGGCGCTACTCTGCAAATGTAGGTAAACAGAGGTGAGATGTTTTCTGTAATGGAATTCCTAAAATCCAAAGGGATTTTCCATTCTAGTAAGAAAATACTCACCTCTGTTTACCATCCCTCCCAATTTATTAAAAAAAAAAATCGGAGTCTTTGTGTAACAGGGCTTTTTAAGGGACATGTAGTGGGCGCGGAGGGTGAGGCTTGGGCGCTATTCTTTTCAGCGAATGCTTGTGCGCATGCGCGCTGATATGCAAATGTAGGTAAACAGAGGTGAGTGTTTTCTTACTAGAATGAAAAATCCCTTTGGATTTTAGGAAGTCCAGCATAAGTCAAATCACAGATTCTCCAATCCCCGGCATTCCTTTGTTAGTGTTCGTTCACTTTACATGTGACTAGACAATTGAATTGATTTACTTGAGACTAGACTTGTAATGGACTCAACTGCTAGTAAAGTGATAACGAATTAAGTTTGCCGCAGGTTAAAGTAATTAAAGTAAGCAGCAGCAGTAATTCGCTGGCATAGTCGTGACGTCACTCAGAGGTCAACTCTGTGCAACCAGTTTATACTAGTTCATGCGTACTGCACCGGCCCAGTGAACACCGTGGTTTCGCTGTGGCTGTTGTAAATCCGTTTCATAATTGGCTTGATTCTCCTCTTTGAAGCAAAAATGAGCACAAGTGTGGTTGTAACTGGTGTGGTGACAGTCTGCTGAAAGGCAGTCAACCATTTTCAGGTACTAAGTTGTGAAAATATTCTGTAAAAGTAGGATGTAACATTAGTGCATAAGGAACATGCATGAACCGTTATCAAGGAGGAGGTGACGTCACCTTTTCTCAGCGTATACTGATATCCTTTGCTTATCATCATCTTCTACCTTAGATATGAGGCAAGTAAGAGTGGATGGAGGTCCAGGGAGAAGAGAGACGAGATGACGGATGACCGGGCGTGGTACCTCATCGCTAGGGAAACAGATGACACACCGGTCGGCTTGATCCACTTTCGCTTTGACATGGACTTTGATGATGAGGTTGTGTATTGGTAAGTATTTTACATCTTATAACTAGTTTCATTACCATACCTGCTGCTGCATCAGATGAGAACCAGCCAACTGACCCCGGTCAAGTGATAAGACGTCTGCACTAGTAAGCAGGAGGTCGTGGGTTCAAGTCCCACCTGAGTGACTTTTTCCAACTCTCACTTGAGAGGTACCCGCTGCAAAGTACATCAGATTCGAACCAGCCAACTGATCCTGTAAGCTCAGTGGTCAAGTTGTAAGACGTCTGCACTAGAAAGCAGGAGGTCGTGGGTTCGAGTCCACCCGAGTGATTTTTGTAACTTTCACTAGGTCAATGTCAAAATAATCCTGGCGCGATCTGGTTAAGCAGCGCTATGAAATTGGGCCCAGCAGATTGTAAATCTACAAGGTTATTAACTTATGTATTTGACGGTAGTTGAGTAGTTCTTATTTGCACTTCAACTTTGGAATGTCTTGTAGGTTCTGGCTGAGCATGGTTGTTAAATAATGTGTATTGAGAGGCGAACATCCCTTGGGTGGCATGGGTGACACAGTGCGTAAAGTGCCCGCCTCTCACTGCTGTGGCTCAGGTCCGATGCCCAGCTGGGGTCATTTTGAGAGTAGAGCTGTTTGTTGATTCTCTCCTGTACCACGAGGGTTTTCCTCCCTCCGCAAAAATCAACACTTTTGATCTGGCTGTGCTCCGTGGTTAGACGTGGGTCTTATGGCGGCTGCCCAAGGTGCCTTTACATGCCTTCAGCTCGACCACGTTGTAGCTGCGGCCTTCGAATTCAGCTTCTGCTGCGAGTAAGGACGATTAGCTTCCAAAATCTATTTATTTAAATTGTTTTGGTATATTTACCCCTTTTTCTTGTCCATGCAGTTACGAGATTCAGCTAGTTGAGTCAGTCAGAAGGAAAGGACTCGGCAAGTTCCTCATGCAAATCCTATCTCTTCTTGCTCACAAGTGAGTTTTTTTTTTTTAACGTTTTTTTTTCGTTCAAATGTCGGCTGATGACTGCAAATGGTGCCCGACTAAAAGTAGCGCAAATATGGGAGTCCAGAGAGGCCACATAAAGCTTATACTCGATCGTAACTCTATCTAAAAACATGTTAAAATTGTGCAGCAGCAGGATTCCAGTCAAACCAGTGAGTTTGGCGGTTTCGAGATATCATCTTTCATTGAAAAAAAACCCCACTTTTTTTCATTTTGCTGACGCACATGGCTATGGCGACGCTAGCACATACCAGAAACCTGAGACCTTTTTTTTGGAGGGGGGGGGGCCTAATGTGTGGCTTTTTCATAACCATGAGTACTGAATATGCCAAATATACTGAATATTTGAATATTTGATCATCCACTGAAAAGCATTTTGCAATGCGAATATTCTAACAATGTGAGCAGTCTCTAGAAGATGAAGAGAAATGCCTGTGATGTCCTATTAATCGTATAAGTTTGCATCTTTAAAATCTTTACCTTGGATTGGACATTTGGGAGACATCCCCATAGACTAAGGCTGGCGCATGTAAAACGTGCCTGGTGTGTTCCGATAATCGAATACTAAATTATTCGAAAATGCACAGCCCTAATGAGTCATTCAATTTAAATTACATATGTTTCAGTCTTGTCCAACATCTTGAACAAACACAGATACATGTACTTTATTTTACAGGGTGCATATGAAGAAAGTGATGCTGACTGTATTCAAGAAGAACTTCACTGCTTTTGAATTTTTTAAGAACACACTCAAGTAAGTATTGACCACTGTTAGGCCAAAAAAAAAAAACGTCGGTCCCTGGTCAGCGCGCGCGCGTCGATTTTAATCATGCGCGTCAATCTTTTTTTTTTCCAAAATGTTCCGCGGTAGCTCCAACAGCGCCCTCTATTGCTGCACCTGCTCAAGTGTTTTTTACCAAAGAGCACCAAGGAATGGGAAATTGCACCAAGGCAAATGATCGAGAGCACCAAGGCAAATTATGGAGTACACCAATGTACATGAGGACGCCAAAAAAGCAAAATAGTACCCCACCTTGTCTGTACAATCCAAGCTTAAAGAAAAGAAAAAAAAGCAAAAAAAAAAAAAAAAAGCCGCGTCCCCGCGTCAATTCTGGAACTTTGGTCTGACCAGAGACTGAATACTAATTTTTTTTTGGCATTATGTACCCTGTGCCAAAAGCTCAAAAGTTTCAACTTTGGGATGAAAAAAAAAGGTCAAAAATTCAGCCTCTGGGAAAGCTAATTTTGAATTTGAACTCAGGTGAAGATTAACGCCGGCTGGATATGGGACTTAGATTCTTGGTAGTTGGTTCATCTCCTAAATATTCCGTGGGAGTTTATACAGGAGACCAGAAACACTGGGGCAAACCCCTTCTCTTAGTGATAAGTGTCACTGGGTTCTTTTATGTGCATTGGATTACACAACACACGGGACCTACGGCTTTACGTCCCATCCGAAGGACGAAGCAATAATGGTTAAGTGCCTTGCTCAAGGGCACAAGTGTCCACCTGGCGGGCTCAAACCCACGCCACTGTTGCCTCTGAAACACCAGAGCATGAGTCCGGTGTTCTTTACCCGCTAGGCCATGACACTCCACTTAGATGTGAACCAATGGGCTCAAAGAGTTGTAAGAAACCTACATGTAGGTATGCCTTGTAACCTAGACTTACTTGCAAATACAGTTTTGAAATGGTAAATTATTTACAGTTGTCCTTCGGACCATAGAGCCAGGACCCAAGGAGTCAGAACTCTTGGGCGATTTACATTTTGACCATTAACATTTCAATCCCTCGGGAATGTCCATAGCTAAATCACTGTGACCGCAAGCCTTGCCATTCAAAGCGTGCATGCAAGCGGCCTTTGAACACGATGATCGCCGCCGCCTTTTTAGTTGGTAACCAACAACCTTCCTATGTGCTGTATAATAAGTTGTGTCACTTGGCTATTCTTTTTTGAAAAATATATTTTACGACAAGATAAGCTTTAACAACTGCGCAGTTGTTAGATGTGAGTTGTAAATTCAAGTTATCGATGTACAGTTGTTGGTCCTTGAAAGCGCTATCTGTCCCTGTAATTTGAAGATAAATTGGATTTTTTCAGATAAGTTATCATGTCTTTTCGGACATTTTTTAATGAATTTTAATGAATTTCCATTTATGGAATTTGATTTTTTGGGAAATTTCACAACTTTTCACATTAAAGGTATATAGCATTTTGTTCGTCATGAAATGATTGTTTCAGTGATGTTGACCACATTGTTAGCCAGTATTAGCCAACTCTAAGGGCGGATCCAGGGGGGGCCAAAGGGGGCCATGGCCCCCCCCAAAACGAAACCAATTTTTAAATTTTTTATGTGACATCGCAATAAAGGCAGGCAATGAGTACACCACCATCTTTTCCTCAAAAAAACATTGGTTAAAGTGGTCAGAAATTGCCTCAGATCGCACCACAGAGCATCTAGAATCCAAAAAAAAATTTTTTGGGGGCACCAAATTTTTTTTTGGCCCCCCCAAAAAAATTGTGTTCTTGATCCGCCCTTGGCCAACTCTGAACAAACACTTTCAAAATCATTCATTTTTGGCGATGTATGACAACTGCGCATGCGTATTTACCATGTATTGTCTACAAAGCAATGCAAACTCTTTCCTCTAGCATTAGTGAGCGCGGATCTCTATTGAGCAAGCTGGGTCCAGGTGCTTTTTACTGTTGCTTTTGAGTGCAGCCACGATCCTTCTTTTATTGTTTTCTTCAAAATGACAGCATGCCAGAAGGAATAATTTCACAAAGAGTTTAGTATCATTACTATCTTTAAACCAAGTAAGCTTTTTCGCAAGAATTTGGTTGGTTCCTTTTTAGATAGCTGCAAATAGTCCAATTTATATTTAAAAGTGACAAACATAGTTTGCAGAGGGCAATGACCGTCTATTGTAAGGATGAGGCATAACATTTTTGCTGACGCAGACAGAGAAAACATCTGGGCCCTAATGACTTAAACAAAACTCGATGCCTTGCGTCATGAGCTGATCAATCCAAGACCGATTCCTGGCGTATTAGAGCGCGTCCAATTTGCCTCGATAATTCCCGTGGTGGGATCAGTGCAGCTCGGTAATTATGCGATAATTCTCGACCAATACTAGAGAGCGCCCCTAGAGTATTGAAGCTAGTGGCACAGAGGGGAAGTGCCTCAAATCCCTTAAGTCCAGATGTCATTAGAAAAACTCATCAATGCATGGGCAGCTTAAGTCGGGTTTATACCGTCAAGTACAAAACAAACTTACTGACTACCGCTTGTTAGTTGTTTATTTCAGTCCTGAATCATTGCTACTATTGTATAAACTGTAAGGGATATACTTAGATTGTTAAAACACTGATCCTGCACACAAGGATATATGACTCATCTGAGCTTGTGCACAAAATGTACGGAACGGATTGTCTACATGCGCGATATACCGCGTCCGCGCATAGAACACCGCATAGAACATGTACTTGTGGAATAATGCGCGCGCGCCATGACCGCCGACAGCTGGTGTCCTGACAGAAATTTGACTACTGGAAGACTGCAGTTGCACGCCAAGTCTCGCGCACGCAAGATGCGCATGCAAGACGCGCACGCAAGACGCGCAAGTGCCATATCACGCCTCTAACCAGAAATTTGGGGAAGTCATTTTCTGTCAGTATGTTATGAAATACATGTACAAGTAATTAAGTGAACACGAAAAATGTAATTAAATGAAGGAATAGGAATTGATAAATATAAAATGTGAAGTGCTCTGGCAAAATGAGATGGAAACGAGGCACAGAAAAATGGAAAAACAAAAAACAAAAACAAAGGGGGTTTACTTTTGTTGTATATTTGTAATCTTTGACATGTCTGCTACACACAGTTTCAAGAAATAGTTTTAAAATGGTGGAATAAAAGCGGTTTTAAGAAGAAAAAAAATGGCATATTTCCATTTTAATGACTACAAAACTCGAAACTTTAAAGGCCTTATTCTCAGTATTTTACTTTTTTGACATGTCGATCAATGCGAACTTTGCACAGCCATAACTTGTTAACGGAATGTCCGATTGATGTGCAACAAACGGTATTTTATAGAGTATTTTATTAACTTCCCTATTTATCTGCAAACCCTCATTTCGACCTCTGCCCAGTTCTGTCTCATTTTGCCAGAAAGCCTCACAAATATCAAGAAATGTCACCAAAAAAAAGAGTAAAACAATAATCATCCAACCATGTCCTCAATGTATATCAAAAGCAAGCTGCACATGTAAGAACTTTTGGAGATCATCTTGATTTTAGTTCAAATTCAGCCCCTGTTTTTTCACTACAAGGAAGCGGGAAAGGAAAGATACTTAAATGATGTCCCTATGGTGAACACTTATCTCTGATCAGACTCTCTTCTAGTCATTTTGAGGGAAAAGCTGGGACAACAGATCAAAGCGGCTTTTCTACAAATGCCATAATTCGGTGGAGAATGTTAGTCTCTTTTCCCTGTTGGTTAAATGCAAAATAGATGCAGTTGTCATACTCTTTCTGGCTGAATATAAATTGATGGAAATGAAATCAAAACACATTCAGGATGAATCATGTTTGTACTATGAGTTGATTTGGATGAATAACAAATGTCAAGAGTTTCCTGAGCATAACATGGATTAAAGGTAGAGTATATCTTTTTTTTGGGGGGGGGGGGCTTTTTTTCATTTGAAGCAACAAAAGTGCTTAAAATCTATTTTAAAAAAAGAGCTTAACAACTAACCTGATGAAATTTTAGCTCAGTGAATGTTGTATATTCCGAGAAAACAATATTCTAGGATCTCGATTCCAATTTAAAAGTTGCCGAGTCATGTTTTAAATTGCACCCGAAATCAGCATGCAGGACACGTTCTCATTCAGCCGATTGCAGCTACGCAATGTCACACACTGAACCAATGAATTCTAGCTTCACGCATGCGTTGTGTCACTTTCAATGCTTGTGCGCACTCATTCACAGCTTCGCCGAATTAAAAATGAACTATCAACAGAAATTTCCAAAGATACGTCTTTAGACACATCTTTGGAAATGACCTTCTTTTATTGTTTCTTCAAAATAACAGCATGCCAGAAAGAATAATTTCAAAGGGAGTTTAGTGCTATCACTGTCTTTAAACCAAGTAAGCTTTTCAACAATAATTTTGTCAGTTACTTTTTGGATAGCTGCAAATGATGTACTCTACCTTTAATGTCATATTTGAAGCAATTTTGTCCCCTATGTGTTGGATTTGCAAGAAAAATATGCATGCTTTGGGAATAGAAGTTTAAATCTTTTTACTTTGTGCAAAAGAAGTTTCATCCAGTGGTATTAGAAATCGGAAATTTCAAAATCTGGTTATTCTGATTTCTTTTCAAACTGAATAATGGTTATCCGATTTTGCCTGAAGCTCCTGTTCAACTCACAGTCATGGTTAACAGCAACTGATGAGTGAGGTACTGCATGCAATGCCCTCCATGATGATTGGGTGTAACATGCGGGATTACAAAAAAAACGCTCCAAAAATAAAAAGAAACTGGATTTATAGAATGCCAATATACCATAGGATACAAGGTGCTATAACAAAGAAATGGAAAAGGATAAGAAGACAAGAAAAGAGGACAGCCAGCTACGATTTGGGGGAAAAGTTGGGTATTGAGTGCCTTTTTGAAGGACAAAACATTGCATGAATTTCTGATGGGGATGGGTAGGCTATTCCATAAGCGGGAGGCGGGTATGGAGAAGGCCCTGTCACCAGCCTGTTTACGTGACTTGGGGATGACAAGGGACTCTCCAGCACAAGAATGGAGGGTGTAAGAACAGCGCCGTAATATTGAAAACAAAATGGGTGGGAACTCTCTGTTCAGTGAAATGGGCAGGGTATTCTGCTAACGAGTGAATGCTGTTACAATCAGAGACCATGGAGTAAATTGGGGGATATGTTCCAGAATTGTTTTCTTTAGCTTCTGTCACACAAAAATTGTTAGTTTCAAATATCCGCCTTCTAAAATCAAACCGAATAGTAGAATTCAAACTGAATTTTCAAGATATCCGGATTTTTAATCCCACCACTAGTTTTGCCGTGACTTTCTAATTTTTACCCTTAACAGATTTGAGATTGACGAGACCTCGCCCAGCATCTTTGACCCGTTGGAAGAAGATGAATACGACTATGAGATCATGAGCAAGGCAGTGCCACAAAAGAAGGTACCTCAACCAAGACAGGTGTGCAGAGACAGGTGTTGCACTCAAGCTGTGCACTGAAAGAACAGAACAAAAACCAACGAAGGACTAACGTTTATTTGCTGTTTCTGCAGCGAGGTTTCACCGAGAAGTTTGTGTTGTATTGTGTTGAATTCATCTACCTTGCGTGTATGTAACCTGGAAAAATGACACACTTGGGGGAACTCGTACAAACTAAGACTCTATGGGGATTAACTAACAAAACTAAACTAAACTCAGGATCTTTGAAGAGAAAAGTCGCGAGGAGACTGAATTAATAGGGACAAGGGACACAATTCTAGATTTCGAACAAAAAAAAAGACAAAAAGAATTTATTTACAAGAACTTTCAAAATGACCAGATAATTATAAAACCAAGACCACGAAAATCAAGTAAGAGCAAAGACTAAAAACCAAAACTTAAACCTAAAAAAACCCAAAGACTTAAAGAAACTTAAAAACCAACTTAAACCAAAGACCTAAACCGAGTTAAAAACCAAAAGTAGTTAACCAAAACAGTGTTGTATAAAGTGGACCTTAAAGACACTTCTGGCAGAAATCAAAGCAAATGACTCCAACAAGCAGACAAAACTAAGCAGGACAGGCACTCCAGTTAGGAGGAAAATATATGCATGTGACTTGTCTCTGCTGATCTGCTGGGTGAACTAAAGTGGCTTGACCATGTGGCAGCTTATATAGGGGGGACATGTGGGCTTAAGTAAACAAACAGGGGGTCACACTACTGAAAGGGGGGGGGGGAATCTTGAGTAACTAAAACGATTTCTTTTTGTTCTAAAGGGGAGCTACTCCTATATACTATACACTTCATACATGAAAAATATACAACCAAAACTGGGCCCTGCCACATGTACACCCATTCCAAGTTCGCAATTAAAGTAATTGCAACTTGGATATTTTTGTAAATTAGTCATTTGAAATATGCACAACTACTTTTATTGTGAATGTGCACAACAGTGTTGCATGAGTACTTTTATCCGAGTACAAAGCACTGCCAAGTACCAAGCTATCAAGTACATTTTGTACCCTTTGCCTCTGAGTATTTTAACCCATGTGAATGAGTTCAGGTACCAGAGTCCAATTAGTTGGACCTTCGGCAAGTACAAACATTCTCAGAAAGTACTCGAGTTGTACTAGTGTACGAGTATGAGTTTGAGTATACGGACTACGAGTACTACAACACTAGTGCACAAGACGATATCCTTTGGCACCAGTGGGTTCACTTTGGGTGCGTTTGAGTAGCTGTAAAGGCAGACGGGTTAGCCACGACAGCCGGGCTAATTGAACGCTCAACCGCGGGCCATCACGATCCTCACGTGATGTCCGTAGCCGTGGCCATAGCTACTGACAAAATGTTCGTTTCTGACTGGGTCTAAGTTTGAGATTTACTGCTTTTCAGTCAGTTGCAAAACTCAAAAAAGTTGGGCTGAAATTGCAGCCTCTAAAGTCGCAGTGAACTCAATAAATACTTATTTCCACCAGCCAACAGCGAATAACTGCCAAACAGGCTGAGGAAAAAAAAAAGTTGACTTTTGGGTCCACTTGAGATTTTCACCGTCCGGCCGCCATATTTGTCCATTTCTAAGATTGAACAATGCATGGGTGTGACATATTTCCACCAGTGACTCTGCTCACGAGCAGTGTCTGTGGAAGCTGACCCTGGGGAGCCCCCAGAATGACATCAGAGCTAATCGAACGGCACGGGGCCCGGGTTGATCCGGGTGAGCTACTCGAACGCACCCTTTAGTCAGTACCCCCCCCCCCCATACTCCGTCAATGTAACCATTGAGTGGGAATTGTGAACGGAGTGCATACTGTCAAACCTTGCACTGCCTAGTGCAGTATGCAGTCTGTAATCCTGATTCATTTAAGGGAATTGCCATTGATTGGCAATGCCCTTGGTTTCTGTGGAAATCAATAGGCAGTATAAATTGCTTTTAGCAAAGGAAAACCATGACCTTACTGGCCGCTCTTGCACTGAAATTCAAGGCCTTGCAAATTGTGACCTAACATATCTTGGGGTGGGGTGGGAATTTTTTTTTTTTACAAGACTACATGAACTGTATGCTAGAAATAATTGTTCATGTGTGTCTTTGTGATCTGTTACACGGTACCCTGTGGAGACATGGGTATAATAATAGGGAACAAAAGACTGAATACGCCTCCACGGGGCAATTTATACAGATGAATACGTCTCCACAAGGTTATCACGAAATAGATATATGGATTTGACTCAAAAATTGGAATTTCCAAGGTGTGTTGATCTGTCACAAATTGAAGTATTTTTATGTAAGGGATATTAAGTCCGAATTTCAGCCCAGGAAATTAATTCTGGTTAAAGTAGGAGCATTTTGAAACAATTTGAGTGGCTTTACAGCCCGTTGTTGGTAGATGGTGTCATTTGTAGACCAGGGAAAGATAGGGTGAGGTAAACAGTGTGAGCTAATTTGACTGGGTTCCTTTCCCTTGGATATATTTTGTACTTAACTCTTTCAGTGCCAAACTCGTACATGTACGAGGTATATTTGTTAGTCCAATAGCGCCAACCTCGTACATGTACGAGGTAATGTTCGTAAATGTTCGTACTTAAAATTGCCAAACCTCGTACATGTACGAGGTAGAGTAAATATGTTATCAAAAGGGGGCGCTCTTGCTCTTTCTAATGGTACCATTTTCATGCATGTACGACCTGTATTTATTTTTTCATTCGAGTTCTTGCGAGAGGGCGCAGTACTAAATCTCGTATTTTCTGCAAAAAGTGCGGAATCTCCCTGTGTTCAGGCCAGTGTTTCAGGGTGTATCACTATGTTTGTGACTACTTTTGACTTACCAATATATCAAGGATATACCAGAGAGCAACAACAACAAATTTAGTGAGTAAAACCTATTTACTTTTTTTTTTACAGAATTTTGAACAATTAACAAAAACGCTCGAAGTTGGGCGCTTTAGGGTTAAACTTTTCAAATTTCGCGGGCACTGAAAGAGTTAAAAAGCGGGGGTGGAATCAGCCTATAAAACCTCTGTTGTATGTGCGCATGCAACTTTTTTTTTAAATTTAAGAATTATTGCATGTTTGGGATGGTCCTAATGTACATCATATGCTTTATTGTGAAGGGCAATTGTTTAAAAGAGTCCATACTGAAAAGCAAAGTTTATCTTTTAATAGTTGACAAGATGAGAGTTTATTTTGTGTCTGTCTAAATAAGTCGTAATAATCTCTGTAATCCCTGTTAGCCATAAACCAAGTTGAAAATCATGTAAGTTTTTCAAACCAAGTACAGTTGGTAATCACTGTGATTAGTAACAGGATTTTTTTTTAGGGGGGGGGGTGTCGAATGCCACTTTTCTTTGAAAATTTCAGCAAAATATATTTTATTTTCCTTGTAAATGATGTGATTATTCAGTATCTGTGTAAACAGACCGTCAAAGTGCCTTGGCTGCTCAGTAGACACTTGCTTTACAATAATTATGTCGTTCACTTTTGACTTGCTATATTTTTCTCAGGGCAAAACTTCAAATTCAATACAAAAATTGTTCTGCTGTTTGCACACAGACTACACTGCTCTGGTAAACTAAGCAATTAAACACGGCCGAATGTTTAAGCATAAAACATTTCTTCCATGAAGGAGGACATTTTTGTGCTTAACATAAAAAAGGCGAGTCACAAATTTGGCTTGACAAGTATTTGGCTTGACAAGTATGACGAATCCCCAAGGATCCTACGGTATACTACATATTGTCTGGCCAAGTTGGAATGAACATGGATCATGTATACCATTATTGACAAAGTCTTCCTGTATAAGCAGTCTTTTGTACCGAACATGTAAGTACCGGTGGGCACTGAATAAATGTTTACCAAAATAAATTGCTTTTCTCAGTGAAACGTTTGTAAGAAATACAAGATCAACAGAGATTCTGTCCTTTCGTCTCCACTTCTCTCAATAGCAGTAACACTGTAACCATATCTAGTTTAACAAAACAGAATCACGATTATTAGGTCACGATCAATCTCACAGATTCAACCACCCCCCCCCCCCCATCTCAAATGTGTCGCCGACCTATATTCTTTCAGGATTTCACAATCTGCAGATCGAAGTGAAGACGAGAAATCGAGACACTTAAAAGCCGGGGAATCCATCAGATTTTCGGCTATTTCTTGAGAGATCTTATTGAGACGGGCTAGGGCAGGTGTTCATGCTGCGTAGGGATCCGGTTACCGGCTAAGAACTGATCATTTCAAGCTGTAGTGTGCGTGAAAATATTTGCCCGGTGGGCAACCATTTTGTTTTTGGCAGACCCATTGCCAGAGGGTTTTCTGAGGGTTTCATTCGACCCCCTCACGAAAGGATAGCAATCTGGGTCAATTACATCCAGAGGTGTTGGGCATGTGAAGTTGTTTAGCAGCAAAGTTTTGGGGAAAAAAATAAAGGATTCCTGCCAGATTGTTCAGCTATTGCTTTAACTGATACAAAATTCTCAACAGTTTGTGCTTAACCCTTTGTAAAGCACACTTGAACATATTTTTATGGAATTGTGCTACATACATGAATAAATTATTTATTTATATAGAATAAACATAACTATTGTTGAAGATAATAATATTCCCCAAAAAGAATTTTTCTACTGAAATTTATAAAACAAGACCACAAATTAACAAACACAAACCCTCTTTAAATTTTTTTCACAGAATGTTTGTTTATTCATTTACTTTTCGTACTTTTCATCAGATTTGTCTTTCCAAAAAAAAAAATCATCCTTTGTGTAAAAATTACAGGATTATTTATATCACGTCTTAAAAATGATCAAAATCAAAACAAAATCTGTTAAATGGTGCACTATGTTAAAACTGTTTTATATTCCACGATAATTGTACTGTTGTAAGTGATTCTAAAAATCAGTACTTCCTAAAAAAATATTCAAGTGAAATTTTAAAATGTGTCTTATAGTACTAAAATTGTCATGTTTACAACCCCATCACCAGTTTGGCCATGTACTATACATATTTTGTTTGTATCCAGATGTTATATAACATCACAATGCTTTCAAAAATCAGTTTTTTTTCATCGGTTTATTTACATTAGATTGACAAAAAAATAAATGCGTCAATTATATCAATACAGATTTTAAAAAAGGGAAAGAAATTCTTGACATGTCATAAACGAATTGGATATTTTTAAATTGTACATTTGACAACTGGATTTCATACACAGTCGGAACACTTTAAGTAAGTAGAAGCTGGAATACGACTGCATCTGAATTTATTGGCTACAGACAGCATTATACAACGTCTGAATAAATCCCCATCATCTGATTGGCAGGTCTTTGATCACATGTCACGGAGTTATTCTTCCCAACGCACAGCGCGGCAGCAGCACGGCAAAAATTAGAAGCTCCATTCCACAGTAAAATGCAGGCATGGAGCTGGGAAGTTAGAAAAACAAGAAAATTCCAAACCACACAAGACTTTGTACAGTGTTTTTCAATTTGTAATGGCATTCATGAGAAGTAAAAACAAAACGAGGAAATCAGCAGATCTGCGGAAAAGTTGGCATGCTTGTAAATGGAAGTTCCATCGTAATGTCACACTTGTGGCGGCTTTGACCAATCAGATGACGAGAATTTATGACAAGAATTTATTAAGGTGTTGTATAAAACAAATAATGAATGCTTCACATTCCTACTATGTTTCATATTCGTTTCACATTCAGTGACAGTTTGGATGTTCCATTCCACTCGGCTACGCCTCGTGGAATGGAACGTTCCATCTGTCGCCTCATGCAATTATTCTTACCATTGCACTCATAAACATTCATTATTTGTATAACACATGTGCCGATGTAACAAAACGCTGGCACAATGCTTTCGCCATTGAAGGGGGCCTTCGTCATTGCTCGGATTTGTCTATACATGTAGCTAAGTAATTAGAATGCAGCCTATTTTCATGTTTCATCCAGTTTCAGGCACCGCATGTGCAACCACATAAAACACTGGAACCATAACAGTAACGGGAATGTGTGCAAAACATTGCATGGATTTTGTGCTCAAGTCGTGAAGTCTATAAAAGCAAAACACAAGCTAGCTCTACGCTCAGCCAAACATTCTCAAACAAAACACAACTGCAAAAGTAGTGGTGCAGGCCGTTACAAAGTGTGCCGCCAAACTTAAATACTAATTCGGACCAAAGATAAAATCATTAAAAACTACCCTCACGTATGTACACCGAGTTTAATAATAACATATACATTTGTTATGAACATCTATCAAAAATGTTTTCCAGTCACTAATAATAAGTACAGTTTTCCATCAGTATAGGCAGCAATGGTGATTATCACAAACACTCTATATCCCAAAGTTTCTTACAACAAAGGTAGTACTATTTTTGGTACAATATATTAAACACATACATGTAATAATAGAGTACATACAGTTCAAAGAAGTACTTTTTATATTTATAGTCACATCTTGTTAAAAACAAAAAAAAGGACAATACACCCTCATTTTTTTACAATTTTTTTAATCTTGTCAAAATACATTTGTAATTTAGCCCTTGATAAATTAAAAGCAGTGCTAAAAAGGAATTTGAAGCAGGAATAGAAGGGATGGATGTTGAGAAGGCAAGTCTCAGAAACAAATGCACCATAGCAGTATTTCAGTAGCAGTTGGACAATGGAATCTTAAAGGCATATAGGATCATTTGCATAATTTGTCCCACATGTAACCCACCAAAATAAAGGATTGTACTGGTACTAAACAACCCGTGAAATTATTCTGTCTGGCTGAATGTCGTATAGAAGAAATCAAGAAAAAGTAGGTGATTTCCAATGATCAGTCACCTGACTGATTTTTGGAAATAAAGAGTGCTATGGACAAAATCATGTTTTGTGATCAAAAGATTGTGTGTGGTTTTTCACTGTTTTCTCGAAAAGTGTATTATCCACTGAGCTGAATCTTCAACAGGTTAGGTTTTGAACATTCTTCTTTGGATTTTGAGTGGTGTTATTATGGGAAACGAACAAACTGCATGAAAAGCAAATGATCCTATATGCCTGTAAGTTGATTGAGCCAGAAACTCACATTTTGAAAGGGGGATATGAAATTGAAAGCTTCCGGTTTTTCTGTCTGAACTATTTCCCTCTAAAACTGAGGTACTTCAGTACTACAAATCTGCTATCAGTAGTATATGTGGTGCACTCATGAACCCTTTTTTTCTCAAGTTGCATACCCTTTACACCTCCTCCTTTAGGCTTTAAATCTCCTCACTCAGGGAATTTTTTTTCAATAGCACCAGATGTGCCTTCACAAGTCTCATAAAACTATATACCCCATAATAAATTCATGACAACAAATGTGTTAAAAAGTTAATAAAAATGTACTGAAAACGATGAAGTTAAACACCTGTTGTTTCTTCAGTTTCTGGTATTATCAACTAGGTATTATCCCAATGTCACACATACCAATGAAACATTCAATAAACTCAAATAATTTGTCTTTAAAATACAAATTTAAAAATCGGCTACTAAAAACTGAATACATAAAATTAACTTTCTCAGGGCTCATCATTTCAGTACTATTTTGTTTGCAATCACAATGTTTTGTATATTTTTTTTTTAGGGGGGGGGGGGGGTTATTGTGATAAATTTCAGATTGGGTTCATTTGTATGAAGCCTATCTGCTCAAATTGGAAGTGAGAAGGTTTGAAGTCTTGCTGAATGTATTGCAAAAAGAGTGGCTCTTTTACATGCAACACTATCCTACCCAGAGCACTTCAATTTGCTGAGCAATGGTTTTTGCTAAGAGCAAGTTCGGGCGCGAACTATAATTAACTATAGTCCGACAAGCTTCCCTCGGATAGGTGGACTACTCTAGTCGACTATTTGGAACCGGAACCACGAGTCACGGTTCCACCGCTGGTTACCATAGCCAAGCGCATCATAATGAACAGCAGGGACGTTCGCACGTTGCTAAAAGTGCGCAGGCGTAAAATACGTCACAAATCAACTACTAGTCAAGTAATGGTCCTCGCCCAAACGTGCTCTAAGCGGCGCCATGACTGCTGTACCGTTCCTCCTGGGTGTGAAGTAATGACTCATCACAAATTAGTCCATAGCTACGGTACGTAGACAAAAAAAATGTCTGTGCAGCTGTCAAATTCTGGATTGAAACACATGGTATCTCAATACATCTTCCCATATGTCCAGATGGAGAAACTCAGGGACTGCCTTGTCTCGAAGCTCACAATCTGTCTCTGATGCTTGCAGGGAAGATATATTAAAGCTAGACACTCATTGGATAATGATACCGAGTGATTGGTGACCACAATCAAAACCAATTTAACTGTGATCTGTACAGATCAGGTCTCAATTTTACGGTTCTGCTAACCACATATTTCCGTGCTTACCAAGTTACGGTCACATTTGTGCTAACGGCGCTAGCAGAAAAATTCTGCGCTAACCCTGTAAGCACAGAATCCTTACTTACCGGATGTACGCATGCGCAGATGCCAAAATGCCTCGCTAACCTCTGAAACACGCTTACCGTAAGCACATAATTTTCTGCTATCCTAAGCAGGAATTGTTCGCTAACGGTAAGCAAAGCCATGAAATTGGGCCCTGCTTAGCACAGAAAATGTTGTCTTAGGTTACCGGCCGTAGTATCATGCAATGAATATTGCTGGAGATTGGTTTTCTGCCAAAATGTTTGCTCAGCACAAAAAAATTTGCTCCATGGAATGGAGTACCGAAGTGGATACGTCATGTGTGTGAAAGACATTAGTGCGAGGTTCAGACAGTGAACAAACACGCACGCTTACTCCATTCGTTTGCACTACACTTTCTGGTTCTAAATGACGTCACACTTCGGTACTCCATTGTGCCCCGATCCTATCAGACAGTCATGATAAACACAGGATTCTCTGCTATTAACAACAGTACCTACATTTCACAAAGGGTGAATAAAGACAAAGTGAGATCAGCACAGTGCAATAACCTCCCTCAGGAAATTGACATGGAAAGAAGCATAAGCTTTTACTGCAGTGACAGTCAATACTATGTGGCCACTACCAGATCACCCTAAAAGAACACGGGGAATTTCCAGCGTTACGAAAGGAAATGTAATGTCAGTGACAGAGCCAAGTAACCATGATACCTAATACATGATTCAGAGAAATGATCCAAAACTCCTAGTCTGTAATCTCCTTGACCATTAATATTTATAGATGATGGATGTATAAGATTTGAAAAATACATTTTCAGGCTTATTCACTGAGCTCTTTAATGCTCCGTCATGAATGTTACAATGTCACTGCCCCCGAGCAAAAATGCACACTAGTTTTAAACATGCTTTAACGCATCAAAATTAATTCGTGTTTAGTACAGTACAGCAGAGGTTTAAAATTTCATCTGTAAATTTAAAATAATAATAAAAAATATTCACCTGATAGTAGGTCAAGATAATTTTTTGTACTGTGATTATGACTTATAACTACCGACTACAATTCAAGGAGAACTGACAACCACATAATTATAAAGCATATAAACAAATTTAAGGTACGAGTTAAAATGTGTGATAGATACTGAAATAGATATTGTAATAATACTACTCACTTAAGGAGAATAAAGACCGTTCTTACAGTGATATGAGATGGGAAATAATACAACCCATGTGATTCTGGCCCTAGGAGATCAAATGTGGCACACGCCATATAAAACACAATGACACACACCACTGGAGTGCAATACTCATATCATTGGTGCACAGAGGGAACTACCTTTTCCTACAAAAGAGGAAAATCATAATTGATACAGTTAACGTGACCTACTCTCAGAAATAAAATGATTAAAAGCGAATAATAGGTTCTGATCATATGAAGTCAAAGCACCACATGACCATACGATTTCCCCCGTGATTGGCCACCATTGCAGTAGGCAAACGTTTGGTTAGCAACCACATCGTGCATTATGTAAGCTACAGAGCAGGGCTTATTTTTCATGTAAAACAACCGCGAGTTCTTTATCAAATGGCATAATGGTCACGACCGGTACCTGTGCCGTGTACGGTTGTCATAATCGTGTCGACCCAACCACTAGGTATTGGCTCCACATTTTTCTCACAGTTTTTGCCATCTAACACAGCTTTGAAGGCTTGCCTACTACCTACTGTGTGCAGCGCTATACAATCTTTGCCTACTACAATGGCGATGCTGAATATCCAGTACCCGGATGTAGGCCGCGGGTCAGTGAGAGCAGTTCTTAAAAAAAACCCAAGATTTTCCAAGATGCAAATGCCAGCAAAAGAGCAAGAGCTAAATCATTACAAATCGTATATATATTTCAAACTCCATTCTCATTTTCTGCGAGCAGGTCAAACGTTATCTTATTCTAAAAATTCACCTGATTAATTTTTCTTAAAATTTTTGGTTTTCAATGTACACATTCTAAAAATAACTTTTTGTTATTTACAACTAATTATTTACCTTGAAAAGATATTTCTGATTAAAAAAATGGATTGGAACGGTCTACGTCAGCCCAATTTCACAGAAATGCTAAGCACATCAGGATCTCGCTAAGCAAAACCAGGTTACCAGCCAAATATGTCATAATGTTGTATGTAGTTGTGGCTGGTTCCCCGACTGATATGTGCATGGTGAGCTTGTAAGAAAGTTTATGTTGGATTATGTGTAGATACTCCTGTCACTTAGGGTTTAGCATGGAATATCAGGGTAAGCAATGTAAGCAGAAAATGCTCAGTACATGGCAGAGAACTTAGCAGCACCGAGAAAATGGGTCAAGACCTTTCCGTATCCAGTTTTTTCCAACAATCAGCACAGCAACTAATTTTGGGGGACAGATTTATAACCATATACAAGACTGATTTTGAACTGAAGACAGACTACTTATAAAGGAATACACAAACAGCCACCGCAACTTTTCCCATCTGAAAAAAGTTTATCGTACAGAATGAGAACAGAATGTATCCCTCGCACCGTGCGGCTGAAAAATGATAGGATTTTTAGGGAATACATCCTGGGTGCTTTCATAGATTGATCTCAAACGCCTTGGTGGCATTGGCAAATGGATTATTGGCCATGACGGGTGTCTGGTTACTGGGGAGGGATTCCCACCTGGCTTCAAAGGAGCTGGAGTAACCGTTGGTTGTGCCGGCCTGAGCGCCAGAATCGGGCAATGTTCTGGACAGATCGGACGTCCAGCCTCCACTGATGCCCACGTTGCCACCGGCGGTCACGGGTTGCTGCTGCTGCTGGGGCCGGTTGGGGATGTAAACAGGTGCCGTGGCACTGTTGTTGAAATTTCCCGCTGGGACTTGGGCCATGGGCTGGGCTTCGTACGTCGCGTTCTGCAAGTGGATCCCTTGGTGGTGGTGACTCACGCTGCTGTAGCCGTTCTGAACAGGTGACACTGCCGCTGCGTTTGGACCCATCCTCTGCTCTCCAGCTGGGCCCAGCCCCGGGGGCTTAGCTGGTACTCCGTAGGGGGTGGAGACCGTCTGAGAGGTCTGTTTGAGCCACTTCTCGGCCTGAGAGATGCCGTTGGGGCCGGCCATCTGCGCCGAGGCGGGGTCCCAGGGATTGGGGCCGACCTGGGGCTGGGGTGGGGGAGCCCAAGGGTTGGTCTCTGGCTGTGCAAGGACTGCAGAAATAAAAGATTAATGTCTGTATTACAATGTATTACATTGTGTTTAATTACTAATGTATCAATATAACCCTAGAGTGCTCAGGTGGTTTCAGATGCTATAGGCAGGGCAGTTTTGGGTGGTACAATGAATAAAAGGATCAATAATTGTTTTTGCAACAAGGTTGAGATCAGCAGGCATTATGAACTCCTTTTCATACAGGATTGAATGAAACAAGCACATAGCACAATTCAAACCTGACAAAGCTTTGTTTCACAAATCATTTACTTAAAAGTATAGAGGGAAAATTCCTGCAAAATGATATTGACTATACGGTATCACAGGACATTATATACATGTAGGAAATATTTGAAAAGCAATTTTGGTTCCATTTCTTTGAAACAAAACAAATTTTAAAAACACTGAAGGAAGCACCAAGACAATATGAAAGTACTTTTTACAAACGCTTTTGAAAGGCTCAAGTCTAAAAAAACCTAGACCATCCCTTCTCTTTTGCAAAATGTAAATTGATAGGACAGCTGCACATTTACAGGTTTCATCATAAAGTTCTGAAATTCTTTTCACTAAAAGAGTGAAATAAATAAAGTATAAAAGTACAAGACGCTAGTAAAAAAAAAACCCACAATGTTAACAGAACCTCTAGAGCTGGCCGCTTGCCACTAGACCGTCGAGACCTCTTAGACATACAGACAACCTAGGCACGGCTTTTAACTTATAGCGCCCTCGGGACATATATACCGCATTTCGCAAGCGCATTGTCTGACTTCATCATTCACTGTCTCCAAACATTTATCTGCAGTCTCTGATGGTCCCGCTACGCTGGACGGCGCAAGCTTCGGAGTGGCTTTCATTTGTTTTTGTTTTTTCATTGGGGGAAAATGCAGTTGCTATCTCTGCGGAGTTTGATTCACGCACTCTGAGCCAAATCCCATCCATCTTCATGTTGTGATATGGGATAACGCGTTCCTTGGGAACATTGATGTAATCTTTAATTTTCTGAGTGCATATTTGTGTGTCCCGATGTCTATTAGCAGCTTGTTATCTGTAAGAAGATCTCCCCGCATAAAACCTCAACTGAAAATGCATGGGTAGTTAAGATTCCAGTGTACATACACAGGCATGCAATTGGGAATTGAGAAAAAACGAGGAAACTCCAAACCACACAAGACTTTGTACAGTATTTTTTCAATTTGTAATGGCATTCACGACAAGTTAAAAACGAGGAAATCAGCAGATACGAGGAAAAGATGCATGCCTACATTGTACATACATGTACATGTATGTATAATTCTCTTCTAGTGAAACCAAACTGATAAATTTTAACTGATTTTCATGTCAGCAACGGCAATTGTGATTGTTTCTGAAAAACTATTTTTGTGTACAATCAGGGGTGAGCTTGGGGGGAAATGAAAAAAAAAACCCGAAATAATCAGCAGAGGATTTGAGGGTTGCCAAGAGCCCCAGAGCGACGTAGGGTCTACATGTGTGGTACAAGTTTATATTTGCCTAAAGGTATAAGTACCACTTACAATACCTGTTTCTTTAGTCCTATATAAAATTTCATAGGAAAAAAAACCACTTAAACGGTCAAACCTTAAGGCATTCCCGATTTCAAAAGGATTCGTCAAATATCTGCAAATCAGGAAAAACTCTGACCAAAAAAAATTCTTGACATCAGAAAAAAATCTTGACAAATCTAATCCCCACACAATGCAGAGTCAGCTCCATTGGGGACTTAAAGGGAATGTACATCATTGGCTTTTGCTGTAATTTTCAGAAATGAACTATTTGAGGGGTTAGGCCAAAAAAACAAATACTCGGTCTCTGGTCAGCGCGCCCGTCGATTTTAATCATGCGCGTCAACCTTTTTTTTCCTCAAATTAACACGGAAGCTACAACAGCGCCCTCTATTGCTGCGCCTCCTCAAATTTTTGTACCAAGGAGCACCAAGGAAGGGGTAAATTGCACCAAGGCAAATGATAAAGGGCACCAAGACAAATTATGGAGGACACCAATGTATAATGAGGACACAAAAAAGCAAAATAGTACCCACCTTGTCTGTACAATACAAGCTTGAAAAAAAAAAAAAGCCACCAAACCCCTCCCCCAAAAAAACATGGCGCATCAATTCCGGAACTTCGGTCTGACCAGAGACCAACTATGTTTTTTTTGTTGGCCTTAGCATAATAGATCAAATATTGTTACACCGACATGTTTGAAGTTTTATGTTCAAAAATGATGGAAAAACCAAAAAAAAACAAAAGCGTTCAAGTAGTCTGGTTCCCTGACTCCACTAAAGATAAAATGGATCAATTTATAGATGACGGAAAATTGTAAGGTAAGGGCACCAGTCTAGCTGGCCTGCACCCGTTCATGAAAATGTAACCAATAGCAAACAAAATTGGGACTGAAAAAAAAAATGGTAAATTTGGAGCAGTAGTTGAAAAATAGTTTGAAATGTATACAAAAATACCATTTTCTTGAAAATGACTTCACACCAGGTGCCATAATTTTACAGGATGCTTTAGACTGTCACTTACCAACATCCTAGTAAGGTATTTCGCAAAAACGTGGTAGTTTTATTTTTTGATGTTTGCAAATGTTGTATACATGTATTCCCTTTAAATCTAATATGTTTCTTCGATTTACTGACAAGGCGAGTCATATATTTAAGAACGTCACTGCTTTTTCCATTAGAAATGATGAGCTCTCTGGTCAGCAGGTTTTTATAAATTGAGATTCTGCGTAGAAATTGAACCTTGTTTATTGACTGAGTTGGTAATGCAAAGAGGGCCATTAATCACTTGTTATTGCCTTCTAGCTCAGTGTTCAACTCCGACTGTATAAGTTGATTACTTTGGCCTTCCTGTAATATGAATGCGTGCGCTTAATTTGTTCAGTTTTTTTTTCTTCTTAAGTTAGGTGATCAAGAACAGAACCTAATGAATATTTTCTATGATGAGGTAACTTCATAATTTGTGTCTGCAAGTCCGTTCAAGAAATATCTTGAAGTGAAAAAAAAATCCAGAATTACGAGCAATGTGCAAGCTGTCATATGATTGAATGTGTGAAATATGTCAACCTTATTTGTGACGTTTTCTGGCAAAAATGAGACACAACTGGGCAGAGGTTGAAATGAGGGTTTGCAGGTACATGTATTTAGGAGGGAGAATAAAATTCTCCTTACAATACTGTTTGTTGCACTCCAGTCGGAAATTCAGTTGACAAGTTATGGCTGTTTAAAGTTTGCACTTATCGACATGTCAAAACGTCAAAATACTGAGAAAGTGGCCTTTTTAAAGATTGGAGTTGTGTAGTCCTGCAATGCCAATTGGTTTTCCTTAACAACAATTACGGTATATTCCACGATTTGTATACTATTTCTGTAAAAGATGTGTGGTAGACATATCAAAGGTTATAAATCAATCAATCTAAAAATTGGGGGAAAAAATTTAAAAAAAATAAATCTGAAAATCAAAAAAAATCACCCCATTCCCTTTTTCTTCATTTTGCTCCACTATGGCCTATGCCCAGTTCCGTCTCATTTTGCCAAAATGCCTCACATTTTCCTCAGTAAAAGTCGGAGATAAACAACACTAATATGGAAGTATTTTTTCTGCACTGTCAATATGTTTGTGTCTTATTACTCCTAGTAAGGCCCCCCAAAAAAAGTCTCCGGTTTTTGGTATGCGCGCGCGTCGCCGTAGCCATGCGCGTCGGCAAAATGAAAAAGTTTTTTTTTTCAATGAAAGATGAAAACCGCCAAACTCACTGGTTTGACTGGAATCCTGCTGCTGCATAATTTTAACGTGTTTTTAGATTGGGTTATGGTCGAGAATAAGCTTTATGTGGCCTCTCTGGACTCCCATATATTTGCACTAAGTTTAGTCGGGCACCATTTGCAGTCATCAGCCAACATTTGAAGCAAAAAAATCAGGTTAAAAAAAAAAAAAAAAGCCGCGTCGCCGCACCACTTTTTGGGCAAGCTCCATACCAGAAACCGGAGACTTTTGTTTTTGGCCTAATGAAACTGCAAATTCTTACATCAACATACAATCCGACAAACCAGCGACAGTCACACATACATGTACATGTACATGTATGTAATAAAACAGAGGACACATAATGTCATACATCCTTGCAGGGCCAAGATTGATGGTATCATATTTAGAATGAAGCATCTCTGCTTGTCACCATTAGGCCTGTGGTAAATGGACCTTATCGGTCAGGTAATGGAAGAAGAACGCTCAAGTCATTCAAGTTAAAGGCGTATACATGTAGGATCAATTGCATGTACCAAATCATTTTCAAAATTATTTAAATTAAAGATTGCACTGGTACTTAACAGCCCGTGAAATCGCTCCGTCTGGCCTGCAGGTGTCATTTTCATGAAGAAGAAATCCACAAATGTAGGTGATTTCCAACGATCAGTCAATTGACTGATTTTATGGAATAAGGAGTGCTACTGAGTAGACGAAATCGTGTTTCGTGAGCGAGAGGTGGTGCATGATTTTGATACGGTTTTCTCGAAAAGTGTAATACCCACTGAGCTGAAACTTCAACAGGTTAGGTTTTGAGCAGTCTGTGTTGGATTTTGAGTGGTGATATTTTTGGAAGCAAACAAAATCCATGAAAAGCACATGATCCTATATGCCTTTAACCCTAACCCTCCTCAATCCTCTAAAAATCCTCCTGCCAGTTTTGGACGATTTTAGAGGATGAGGATGAATGGCAGAGATGTATAGCTTTTTTGTGGAGGATGCGTTACGTCAAGCCAGTAGGCCATATCCTGCATTGGTTATGTTCAGCCATGCATAAATCAGCCCTGTGTTTTTCTCGTATTTCATCCACACTGCTTCTAAATGCCAAATTGCACTGCCTCAAATCATAGCAGTAATTGGCAGAGGATTTTGGAGGATTGAGGCAGTGGTCACCCTCCACAGACTAAATTCAAGAAAATAATGGATGATTTTGGAGGATTGAGGCTGAATACAATTGTTTCTTGGTGGCAATTGGAGGATTTGGCAGGATTGAGATTGCATCCTAGCAAGAGGGCCTAGGGGGTTAGGGTTAAAGGGAACATTTGCAAATTTTTTTAAATTTTTTTTAAGGACTGTCACCAGGTTGTATACTTGACAAAGAGAGACCCATCCCCGTTGATAGAAATGGCAAGCTTATGCCTTCACTTATTAACTGCATTGGACAAATTTATGACCATGCTGAGAACGATATTGTCTTCAAGCCACCATGTTTTCATGTCTGAGTGAGCAAACGGTTTACACACCCTGTTTAATAATTTACGGCACTGGCTGTCTGGACCTGAGCATGTGAACAGTCGGTGAGGCCGTGGATAATTTATTGGCTTGCATATTGGAGAGCCAACCATTCTTTTTTAATGGATTACTCTTTTAGCAGTTGGCTCAGTGAATTCTTTTTTTTATTTCTCTGCAAAACTTAAAGGGAACATACAATGTACAGCATTTGCTTTTGCTGCAATTTTCAGAAATATGGATTTGGAGGATTAGTTTGTTATAGCAAATATTGTTAAACTGAGTTGCTTCACGTTTTTGGTTCGGAGATGCTGGAAAATCCAAGAAAACCAAGCATGTTTTTGTAGTCTGGTTCCCTGACCCCACATAAGATGAACCTGACCCCACGTAAGATGACACGGAGCAATTTATAGACTTTGGGGCATTGTAAGGTCAGAGAATCAGTCTAGAAGGCTTGTACCCCTTCACAGGTGTGTGATCAATTGCAAAGAAAATGCGGAATAACTAAGTATGAAAATTTAGGAGCACTTTTTGAAAAAAGTCAGTTTTCTCCAATGCTGGTCAATGTCAGCACACCAGGAGCCACGATTTTACAGGATGCTTTGGACTGTCATTCCCTAGCAATCCAGTAAGGTATTTTGTGATAATTTGATCATTTTGTTTTTTGATGTTTGCAAATGTTTTATCTTCACTTTAAATATATGTTAGATGCACATGAACATATTACAGTTTCTGCATTCATGATTCTTTTTTTATTATAATTTTTTTTAAAGAGGTAAGACAATACTTGTTGTCATTTCAGTAAAATTACAAGTTGGATGTATTCAGCTGAGGTTCATGAAAACCTTGACTGTGTTGAACCTATTGCATCAATAGTATTTGACACACAAGAAATTTCATACATGACTTGACTCGAGGCTCTATTCATTTCCTTTGCCAATAAATCCGTGCACGTATATTCATACTTATTCAATCGATAAAAAGAAACTTGAACCTCTCTACAATTGGAGAACAACAATATAACCTGTAATATGACTTGACAGAAGTAATGACTTGTGAGTGACTTGCCTTAGGGAAAAACACGGACTTGAAAGGCATCTTACATGTCTTACACTCTGGAGGCACATATGTGTGAGTAAGCCTTTGTATTCAAAATTTCAAAGTTTTAGCAAAAACCAGTTCCGATAACAAAAAACACAAACGGACATTTTAAACCCATTTTTAAAATTGCATGAACTAAAACTTACTGAAATTATTACATGATGTGTACACAAAAAGTATTACCAAATGTGATGCGATCAAGCTACATCATGTACATGAGTCGTTTGTCAACCCTGGTCAAAACATTTTTTATTACAGATTTGAAAAGACCATAATCTCAGCATTACTGCTGTGAAAACCCTATGCCGCTACCATCTTTAGTTAAAAAAATATGGAAGTGGGAACACCTAGAGATGTGATGAAGTGATGTGATGAAGTGGCCGTATTTTGGCCTGTATCTCCAAATAAAATTTTCCGACAAACAACTCATTTAGCTTGATTGCATCACAAATATTGAACATAGAATGTACAAAAAAAGTTTGTGTCCTGTATTGTATCTAGATGGACTTCTTACACGAACATTAGAGAGCGCTTTTAACCACTTTGGAGAGCCCAATGGATGTACACACCAAATGCACGTACTGGTTCAAACGTGTAAGGTACAAAATAATTTTTACTCCGACTGTGCATAAAGACATAGCGTCTTTGCCTGAGAGTCAGGGTGTCGTCAGCAATGCATTCGAATGTCCCTCCCAGTGGTATCCCCCGACTCTCCCTGTGTAAACGGTTGACGAGGTACTTGTGCACTGAGTCCATAGACCCAATTTGATAAACGTGTAAACTGAAACCCGGTTATTGAAGATGTCTCAACATTAGCCTAATTCCATGTTGTAGCTCTTTACACATGTGCAGGAGGAATTTCACCAATCTGTCTCAGAATAACATGCCATACACGTAACGAGGAAGCTTTGCTTTCAATTTTGAGAAGGTTGTGTGGGGGGAGGGAGGGGGGAATGGAGTTCCCAGAATCAATCAGGGATGAATGTAATAGAGATGACATTAAATTAGATCCAGCTGCTCTTGGTGACAGTCGGTCGCTGAATGTCTGCGGGCATGGCAGACACCTTGAAATGGCTGTATTCCCTATGATGTTTAAGAGTCTGGTTTATAGGGGGAGAAAGTATTGATTGGAGGGTCTGGAGAGAGTGGGGAGGTTGAGGGTCTTGCTTTTAAGAAGGGTTAAGTGCAGGAAATTGGAGGGTGGAGGGGGAATGTTGAATGGTGATAGTGGGGCTAAACACACGACCTTAATTGTAAACGACAGAATGAAAAGAGGTTGATGGACAAACTACATGGATGTCATCTGACACGTCTTAAATCTGGGCTTATTTGCATTTCAGGCAGTTGTGCTCAAATGATAGGGTATAACTGCATAATTTCTTCAGAAGTAGTGACAATGTACACGTAGTTCTGCACAGGATACTATGTTCAACATGCTTTGAATAATTGCTATTATTCCTTAATTCCTGAGGAAATTTATTGGCAGTAGTACATGTATTGTGAAGCTTTTGTTTAAAAACTGCAGTTTAGCAGTTTATCCTGCAATCAAAGACTTTAATGAATTTTTGTCCACATTTGCAAAGAAAAAATTTCATACAAGGTCATTGTTTAGATTCTATTTATAGGTAGAGGTTATCATTTGCAGCTATCCAAAAAGTAACTGACGAAATTAGTGTTGAAAAGCTTTGGTTTTAATAAAGATAATAATGGCACTAAACTCCCTGTGAAATAATTCTTTCTGGCTTGCTGTCATTTTGAAGAAAACAATGAAAGAAAGCCAAATCGCAATTGTTGAATTGAAAACGCGATCCTTGAATATTGCTTTCATCGGAATATTCAGCATTCACAGAGCTAAAATTTCATCAGGTTAGTTGTTAAGCACCCGTCTATAGATTTTGAGTACTTTGGTTGCTTCTAACGAAAAAAAAAAGGCACAAATGACAAATGATGTATTCTACCTTTAACAGCATCAACCTACCTTGTTGTGTTGCCATGGGGTGCCGTGTGGTCACCATGGGTTGCTGAGGCACAGGATGCTGCTGCAAGGCGGTGGTTGGCTGGGCCGGGATGGCACCTGCAGCTGGTGGCATGACGTTCCTGACCTGCGGCTGCTGCTGCTGCAGTTGGGCAGGCTGTGCTGGGTAGCCCTCCTTACTGGACAACTCAAACAGGCCGTCCGAAAGCTCCTGGCACGCGGCCGAGATACTCACGACCTGGGAAGGCTGTTGCTGCTGCTGTTTGAGGAATGACTGTTGCTGCTGCTGAGGTACTGGTCGCTGCTGTTGCTGTTGCTGTTGTTGCGGGAATGACGTTGAGGCAGTTGGACTGGTTGGAGTCCCAAGCGGGGAGGCTGCGGATTAAAAAAAGAAAATTCTTATATTACTGACATGGCATTAACCCTAACTTCAAAGGCTGTATGAAAAATCAAATATTGAAATTGGAGGATTCAGCATTGTAATGGACCTTAAACAAAATGACATCACGCTTTGTTTACATGTGGGCTTTCCTATGAGAGCGAGGCTGGACGCGTCCCGTCTTGCTCTCATTCAGCCAAACTGCTCGTACCAGTGGCCAATGTCACGGCACTGCTAAGCACAAATATTTGCTTAGCACATAAAAAGACCGGCTTATAAAAGCAGGTTACCAGCCAAAACTCCATGTGATTTTCATGCTAAGCAAACAACAGCTGAATACTAATCACACGCAATATACATCACATGGAGTTTTGGCTGGTAACCTGCTTTTATAAGCCAGACTTGGGTTCCCAGCTGAATCACGTGTGTAGCGTAAAAAAATATTAAGCAATATTTTCTGCCAAGCAGCTCTATGAGATTGGGTCCCGGTTACACACACAAATCCTGTTGTGAGGCTGCGTCCCAATTACTTAGCTACGGCTGGAAATAACACGCAGGTCTATGGGAAGTGGCTGTAGCCACTTTCATAGGCACATGTGTAATTTCTAGCCGTAGCCAAGTAAGGTCATGTCTGAAGCACTTGGCTACGGCTTCAAATTACACACAAGTTTATGGCAAGTGGCTGTAGCCACTTCCCATTGACTCGTGTGTAATTTCAAGCCACAGCCAAGTAATTCAGACATGGCCCAATTCGGACATGGCCTTACTCTCAAGCCATGCAAGAGTTTAATCCTTCTAACTAAAGCACATGCTACAACAGGTGCAAATGCCGGAAGCCAAGCAGCAATTACTGCCACCGGTTTGAGTCCAGTGCACTAGAGAGAATGGAGTATATACAGGTAGTAACAAGTGAAGGATGAAGGGCAACATGCTACCCCACTATTTTCTCGCCCACGACCATGCGCAAGTTAAAGCACAACTGTGGTTCAACTAGAGTGAAATCTCGACGCAAGGGAACAGGTTCAAAAGTTGACTTAAGCAGAGTTTTGAGTTAAAGGGAAAATACAACATTTGCAAACATCAAAAAATAAAACTACCAAATCATTTTGAAATACCTTGCTGGACTGTTAGTGAATGACAGTGTAAAGCATCATGTAAAATCATGGCACCTGGTATACTGTCATTTTCAAGAAAAGTGGTATTTTTGTATCAATTTCCAACGCTGGTCGGCCGACCAGCGTTGGAAAAAACTGGGTTTGATTTTTAAATACTGGCCCAAATTGACCATCGCACTTGTTTGCAATCGATTACACACCTTAGAACGGGTACAAGCCAGCTAGACTGGTTCCCTGACCTTACAATTCCCCAATGTATGTTAACTGCTCTGTTTCTTCGTATATGGAGTCAAGGAACCAGACTACAGGAAAACGATTATTTTTCTTGGTTTTTATAGCATTTTCGAACCCAAAACCTCAAAAAAGTCAGTGTAACTATATTTGCTATATATTTCCAACCCCCCAATTCCATCCATTTCTGAAAATTACAGCAAAAGCAAATGATGTATATTCCCTTTAAGCAGGGTAGTGTATCACTGTTTTGCTACTGAAGGGAATGGATTCTTTGTTTGACTTAACAGTTGTTTTAAGTTATCCGAGTTTGACTTATCGAGATTTCACTGTAAGTAGTTGATCTCTCCTTGCAGAGAGCATGTGCAATAGACCTTATGCGTAGCTGCCATCTTGGAGGGCAATGCCTTTGTTGTGCTGGGATAACACACGTGTGAAGCTTTTTGGTGCATTCATTGTTACTGAATTAAAAGAACAAAAGATGCCCTCTAAGATGGACGCCACGCGTGAAGTCTAAAACAGTTTGCTCAAATTACTCTAGTCACTTGTCAAATTCCATATTATCATTAACATTTGCAAATTTTGGGGGGCTACTTTCCAGTTGTCGCATTTTGCAAAAAGATATTTCCAAGGGTTTTTTTTGTCCTAGTGAAAAATATTCAAAACTTAGGTTAACCACAGTTTGTGCTTAAGCTTACTCTATAAATATTCAATTGATGCGCGGGAATAAAAACAAAAAAACCCAACACAATGAACATGCACAGCTCTACTGTACAGCAATATTGTCCCTCCCACCTTTGCCGTATGTAATAACCTTAAAATCCCGGGATTTTATAGTCCCGGGATTTTATAGTCTGGGCAAAAAACATTTACAAGGTCTAATAACTTGAATATATACATTTAGAACGGCCTTGAATGATTTATGGACGTTTCATCTTTTATGGATGGGAGATGCATGGATATTTCTGAGAGAAATATTTTCCAGAAAGCAAAGAAGGAATATATTCATATCCTGCAAAAACAAAACTAGTTGTCAATTCAGTTTCTCAAAAAATGTGGTAAAACTCATCTGTTAGTGGAGGCGAAAGTAAAAGCCAAATTTTATTTTTTATTAATTTTTTTGGTTTTTTTTTTCCAGCAAAAGTAGTTCCATTGTAACGTTACCATAACTGTAAGGAATCGTTTTGTACTAAAATGTAAGGTACGAATGTCGAATGACCCTTTGAGCATATCCAATCAATATTATTGATCTTGTTAAAAGCTTTCTAAAAATACCCTTTTTATTATTATTTTCATGACTTGGGGTGAAATTCATTCCATATGGTACGAAGCCAGTAATATTCACGTACACACGTTACACGTACACAAGCATGGCCAAACTACAGTTTCAAGTAAAATTGTCTCTCAACGTGAAAAATTTGCGCCAAAACAATGAAGTCTCAGCCTTTATATATATAATTTGTGCACATTCAGAGCTAGTTTGGGGGGGGGGGGCTAGTAATGCCATTCCACATGCCTTAAAACAGCTGATGATACAATCATAACCCATTCCAACTAAAACTAAAGCTCATTTCCAATCCAAGTTAGTGCACTCACAGAGAGCTCATAAACACATAACACATGAACATATAGCAGCCATTCCCAAAACTGAAACCTTTTTGGTAATATATACAAGACAATTTCATACAAAACGACAGAGCTGAGCCCAACACAAAAGTGTCTACAAGGCATAGCAACATAAATAAAATCTTTTATTGAAAGCTGCTTTTCGGTTTATGTATTCAGTCTGTCTAGTTTCCATCATGTATTACCACAATGTGTATCTTTTATTAACTATGGGCCTGACTAGGTCATGTGTGGAGTGCTGTGGCCTCGTGGTCTGCAGCATTGAATTCGTGGTCTGCAGATAATTCTGCAGGTTGTGGGTTCGAGTCCAGCCTGGGGTTATGGTGCATGTGCCCTTGGGCAAGGCACTTTGTCACTCATTGCTTCTCTCCACCCAGGAGTAAATGGGTACCTGTGAGGGCACAGATGTTGACTGTGGTTGATTTTAGCTGCGCTGTGCCGAAATGGCAGCATCATGCTGTATACTCCCCACGGAGCCGAGATTGTCTTTGGAATGCTTCATTAGCCCAATGAGCAGGGTAATAATGATGTAGCGCCTTGAGCACCAACACTGGTGTATACCTGCACTTTATAAATACACATTATTATAATGAAACTAAAATAGACCGAGAACATGTTTATGAACAAGCAGCTTTAAACAAACAGATGGTTTTGCATTGTCAAATGTATACACACCTTCACTTTGTTGTTCAATTGTCTCTTCTTCTGAAGGCACTTTGGCAAGAGAAGACATACACTAACATATTTTACATTCTTACACAAATGTAACAGATGAAATTTATAGCCCAAATCAGGGACCAACTAATGCATAAGTTACAGTTAAAAACCCCTGCCTCTCAAAAAAGTATTTAACAAAAGAGCCCCCCCCCCCCAAAAAAAAACCTACAAAAAAAAAGAAGAAAAAAAGCTGAATAGTCAAGAAAGATTTTATCTCTTCAAATCGAAACATAAACCACAAAGGGTATCCTGACTAGGTGCATGAAATAATAATAACTGTTAAGTTGAACTAAGATATTGACTGGAGTAGGGTTTGAACCTGCAACCTCCGGATTGTCGTTCCAGTGCTCTACCAACTGAGCTAGCAAGCCCTATGTTGGCCGTTCCCCAGTTTTGTCAATGTCTTTGTTCAAGGGCCGCTAGTTTGTAGCCAGTGAATTTGGCTGCAACAACCACATGATGAGTATAGTGATTTAAACGGCAAAAAACAAGAATTTTTTATACTGCTGGAACATTCATGGTGAGACAGGTGGTTTTAGTCTCAGGAATGTCTGTGTCTTTTGAATATAACACAATTATTTCTCCTTACATGTACACTGTACATGCGAAAGTTCTATCCGTGACTAATATGGATTGATCCAATTTTAAAAAAAAAAAAATATTATGAAACAGCCTCTTCTAAAATCCTGGCTAGAATTTCTCTAAATTACCCCATATACATGTACATGTATACACATGTACATGTAGTGTGCAGCCATTTTTGTACATTTATTCATTTAACAATTTAAAGAGTAAAACATCTTCAGAGTTGCGTTCCCCATGCTATTTTCGAGTTTCTTCCAGAAAAATAGATTCTTTTTCTCAATTGCTATTTTTCTAGTAATACAAAGGTTGTTCACTATTGATTGAGACACCGACCAAAAAAAATCGGTCCACGTTCAGTTATGGTAAATTTATAAATAGAATTTTTTTTAAGAGCGCAAGAATGCTACTTTACTTGAAACAAGAATTCTGAGAGTAATCTCATAGTGGTTTGATTAAAATACGGCAAGGGCACCCTCGTAAAGGACGAAACTCATTACTCACTTTCAGGGTGCGTGTGCAGCACGTTCTGCTGTCGCTGCAAGGTCGAGGGCAGCTCGTTGAGCCGCAGGGATAGCTGGCGCTTGAACGGCGACTGGATGTTCAGGTTCGGGAAGCCGCGGAAGGATCCCTGGCGCATCAGCATGGCCTCAGAGGCGTGCTGGCGGGGCCTGGCAAAGGGCATGTTGGGTGCTGGACCGGCCAGATCTGGGATAAAAAGAAAAAACAAAAAGGGACATCAAGTAACAATCTTGTTTTTATGAGTTTGTGAGGTTCTGACAAGAACCGGTGAAACACAAAATTTCAGACAGTATGCTCTGCCCGTTGTTAGTCTCCTGACGACAGGGAAAACTTGTTTAAAAAACATAGTCAGGAGACTGACGACAGGCGGAGCATACTTTCGACGTTGAGTTTCCCTCCGTTCTTTTCAGAACCTCAGAAACACACAAAAGAGGTTTGTCACATGGTGCAACCGGAAATTTAATTTTATTTACTATCTTCACCACGCAAATCTTCTAATATTTCAAACCGTCTTCATCTCTCATGAAGACGATGAAAAACTTGCCTGATGTTATTTTAATCGTATACATGCAAGTCGCGTGGTTTTATTGTTTGTCAAAATCCACACTTTTGTCATAAGCCACGCATGATTTGAGAGATTCCATGAGGACTATTAGCTCAAATTTCTTCTCTAAAAATCGGTCAAATATCAGCCATTCCACTAATGTACCTCGAAAAACATCTTGATACATAATTGATTTCAATATATTATTTTTAAATGTAATAAGCCATTTGTCAATTTTCAAAAAGTGCAGACGAATGCAATTTCCGATCGCATCAGCAACCAGTTTACACTGGCACATGTACAACTTCATTTAAATAGTTGAATATTCGATTCAACTTCATTTGAATAGTTGAATATTCAATCAAGTCCAAGTTAGAATAATCAAATACTAAATTAAAAACACAGCCCTATATACCACACCCCAAGGGGGAGGGGGGTAGGGGGGGGGGTGGATGGGCGTTGCTTGCTCCCTATCCTCCTACCTTGTTCCTGGTTCTCTTTCTCATCCTCCCTGGCTGCGGCTTCCTCCATCTGCTCCGTCATGGTGGCCTGTCGGAAGGAACCCTGCCGCGTGAAGCTGGTCTTGTTGACGTCAAACTCCACTTTGACGCCGCAGAGTTTGTCCCGCTGCTGCTTGCGCTCCAGGCAGGCTGCGAAGGCGCACCCTACAGCATGACTCAGCCGCTCTCCCTACAAGTTGAAGAAGAAAAAATGTATAATAATAATCTCAATAATCGTTTCAAAGACCATCTCTGCTTTCTGGCAGCTGAGGTCTAGGCAATGTTTTTTTTTTCACTTGGATCCTTAACTTATTTTTCAGCCTTTGCTATTTTAGTACTAATTTTAGGATGGATTCACATTTTTGCATCTACAGATAATCATGTACTCCTCAGTAGAGCAAGTCAACTTGGGACAAAATGTCTTGCCTTTTTGAAGGACACAAACACTTTTAACACTGCAGGCTGGACTGGAATGCACAATCTGCAAATTTACCAAGACAAGCATGAGCTGTGAACTCTTGAAACCACAAAGCCAAGGTCAATGCAATAACATATATTTTAAAATGACACTGAATGCCTGAAAAGCAATTTTCTGTCCCTCCCATTGCCTTCAATTTCACTCATCAATAGTTCTAACAGAGTTATTCTGAATAAAACAGTGATATCAAAACTTCAGTTTTACACCTGCTTGAGCAGAAAATGTTACCAGGAATTGTTTGTGGTCAAACGCGAGTTTCATATTTTTGTTTGTTGCTTGAGTACATTTATGAGTACATATTATAACGTTCAACTGGTAGGACCAATACCTAAACTTTATATAGTGAGTGCCTAAAATGACAGAAAGGGGCCGGGGGGGGGGGGGGGGGGGGGAGAATGCAATATTCTCTTACCGGTTCCCTAAGCGAATGGAAACAATGACAGAGCCATCTTCTAGTAGTTCCATCCCTGCATATATAGGAGAAGCCTTTATCGTTGTGTCTATCTGGAGCACAGAAGGAGACCTTCTCAATAGTTTGGTCAACGATCAACCCCTGGATTAGAAATGAACGCAAAAAGACAGAGAGAGAGAGAAAGAAAAATAAGAAAAGTGGATGTTAATCTGAAACGTTCTTTTTGTTTTCATGAGGCAAAATGCTTCATGTCCTAATTATAGCGAGGTTTCAGATTCTCATCAAAAGAATTTTGCTTGAAAGCAGTTTGGATCAAGTTCAAATTTTCAATATCACAGGATAGTGAAAAGGGCAGGAAAACAGTGCTTTCTACTGGTATGTGAATCATACATCGACATGTAGGAATTAAAAACAAACACACTTCACAGGCCACTCGTGAGTGCCTATTAGAGGGTAAATTGCATGCATGAACGGCTTTGCAGGAAGTCACGTCAAGAGCTGCACAACAAATGGCTCACAGTACACGCGACCAACATCAATCCATTCATGTGCACACGCATGATGCACACAGCCATGAGAGGACTGCAATCTCATGGGTGGGTCAACTGTGGGTGCATAATGGACACAGGGTAACCCTACCGGTAACTTCCTAGCGTCTTTTACTTGGAACTTGACCAATTCCATTAAAATCCATCAATCACTGTGCTTCCAGTACAAAACTGTACATGACATAATGGAATCCACCACTGACGCACTGGTTGACATTCATGGACTTGCTACACACATGGCTTTTATCACAATAGCAGTGCAGGAAGCTAGGCAAAATCCATCAGATACCCCTAGCACTGCTTCAGGCCATTAGGCCCAAGTCCATCATACTCCATCAATATTTAGTCATGCCAGGCCTTCTTGACCAACTCCCCCAAAATCCACCAAAATGGGGGGATGGATTTTGATGGAGAATGGGTGGTTAGGGTTAAGGCAATTTTGACAAAGGAGATAGTAAATGATACATAATGTCTTTAATTTTGTGAAAGTCTGTCACAAATTACAGCATTCCTTGGGTCCTCTGGAACAAGAACTTCCTGCTGAACATAAATCATTCCTTGGAATTATTTGACTACTTACATACCGTACTATGTAGACCGCATTAATAATATCTCTTAACCAGTTCGCATAATCGCGCTAATCCCTGGTGTCTTTTGTACACACACACACAAAGTCTGTGAAGTCTGTGGAGGGGGAATTGGCCGTGCACGGCCTACTGTTCTACAATTTACGCTCCGGTGCACACCCCAGAGTATTCAAACATAATGAGGTTTCGACAAGAAATATCTTACAAATACTGTTGAAATGACTGCGAATCAGTATTTGTGGCGTTTGGCTAGATATCAGAAGTTGGCTGAAAAAAATTGCCCTTTGCAAAAATCTAAATGTTTTTGGCAAAAATATTTCCGGCTCGAAGTGGAAATTAAGGCTCGAAATTCCTTAATTCCTGGTTCAGGAATTCCCTTGAAACTGAAAGGAACTTGTACTTGTACAGGCAGCCATGTCTGTACATGTACAAAATATGTACTAATAAATGTATGCATCACTGTATGACAGCACATATAATGCAAAGTACAGATGTACATGAATATGTAACCACCAGCAACATTGTTCATATTTTACAAATGTAGATCACGATCATGACATAGCAGATGAACAGAACACATCCAAGGCACTGCACAAGTGCACAAGTACATGTACGCCACTGTTTTTTATGTATGTACATGCGTGCCAACTTTAACTCATCCATGCCCTTAGGGTTGCCAATGTTGCCTGTTACATAAAACTCATCTGTTCCCATCGATCACCTCTATCAATCTTCAGGTTCGTCTTGCACTTTTCAGTGCGCACTGTCAAATTTTCAGGGCGCTTGGCTGTGTCATCACGTATACATGTACATGTAATAATAATAATACGGGTACTTATATACCGGTAGCTCGCTTTTAACAAGATCCTAATGCTTTACATTATGTATGCATACATGTATGGGTGCCGGTACCAAACTGAAAGATACATATTTTGTACATTACATAAAATATGCTTAGCTTTTAATCAAATCAGTCTGTGAGGCTATGCGCTAAAAATATGGCTCCAAGTGAACCCTTACGCACAGCCACCCTGAAACCATCCATTGATGAACACTGCGAGACACCATGGAGACACACTCTACTGCGCAATATGTTCTCCATCAGCCAGCAATTCCGTAGGACTGCTTAATTTTACTAAGCCACTTCTTCTGACCCAATTCCCCTGATAAAACAAATCCGCTAGAACAGCGCAGGCTTCTGCGACCGCAAACTGTCTGCTCGCAAGAACGTCTCTACGCTTCATTTGCCTCTTTTCTTCATCAGTGTTATCCTTTGCTTTTCAGGTTGTGCTGTTTTCCTCAAAGGCATTGCAATGGACTAAGTAGCCTGCAATAAATGCTGAAGATGCAGCCTTGTCAGAATTGGGCAAATGAACAAGACGTGTGTGCGTTTTCACATGTAGACAAAAAAAAGACCGTACTTGTGCCATAAAAAAGGGGTACAGGTGAAATCTTATAAGCTGCATAAGAACATGTGTGTAGACTGGATCCACTGTGCATCCATTCAATACTGCTGAGCATGTACATGTACTTATGCACATGAACATGTTTACGTACACGTACGTATGGTACATGTCTCAAAATTAGACAATGAAAGCTGGTTCAGACTCCGCTCTAACACGAACTTGAAATTATGACGTCATGGCAAGTATTCAAGTTGAAAATTTGCAAAAATGTTATGCATTTGAATTTCTCTTAAAAAGTCCCATGACATCATTCTCTTTAAATCCCAAATGCTGATTTCAAAGAAAATTTAAATTTCCAGCAGGGACCTCATTATGTAAAAAAACAAAGATTTTTTGTATCTACCCTAAAAAAAAAATTAAAATTCATGGCTTTGACTTGGACACAGTTACACGTATGTATCGTGTACAATGTATGTGTGATGATCTCAACACTTGAATGACGGACTTCGGTTGGAATTTAACAATGGGCACACATGAGTTGGACCCAGTTTGCGGGTTTACTAGTTTGGTTGGAAGATGCAATACCGGTAAATGTACATGTACATTTACAATGTACCAGCAACTTAAATGATGGACCTTCTGTTAAAGCAATTAAAATGGAAATTGGTAACCGGTAATTGCTCATTGCTGTGGAATTTAAGTGAGCCAACGGCTTATCATGGAAATGGAATTTTACATTATCAAAACAGTAGCTCAAGTCCAAATTGACCGATGGAGAAATACTAATACTGTAAATTGACAAAATTTGCATTTCATGAATTATGTGCACATTAAGAGGGAGATTTAACCAAAAATGAAATTCACATTGAGTTAATTTCTCCTAAAGTATACATGTAGTTTTGTGTAATTTTAGTACATTGTAAATGATGCATGAGAACATTCTGCATAATTCTAAGCCAATTGTTTTGAGGTGGGGTAAGGTTTAAAGGGCCATGCGATGATTTTTTTCTTAGGAACACATTTTGTGCAACTTTCTACTCCTCTTAAATTGATAAAAACTATTTGACATCCCTTGTTGGTTAATTTTATTGAAAAGTGCACTTCTTACAACATTTAAAATTGTCCATGCTTTTCCGGACAAATGAGGGCGCTGTTACTGTGATGTCATTTCAGGAAGACACTGTACAGTTTAGGGGTCTTTGGTTCAAACTGTGAACCCAAAATTTGTCCAATGAAAACATTTGTGAGAAAGGTTTGCTCATTGGCTTACTGCCATGAACTGACACAACAACGAATCACCAAAGAAAAGAACATTTACGACTGTAAAATATCCAAAATTCTAGCAACTTTTTGTGCTGAAATAGCTGTAACATTGAGGTTTCTGCCCAGAATGACATCACAGTTTTGCTCATGAATATGGAACTTTGCACTTGCATAAAAACAAAAAAAAAGGCACCAAGATGCCCTTCAAAATGGCAAAACAAAAATAGAAAATCTGAAGGTAAAATGGGACACAGGATTGTATTAAAACAATTACATAATGTATTACGGACCCCTTTAATACTCAATTTCTTATTTACATGTATAGTGAAGCACGTAAAAAAGCCATTACAAAGCTAAAATGACCGCGCCTTTACCTTCTTTATACACAAATGTATGCAGACATTGTATGTAGATGACAGGCTTTTCAAAACCACATGTAATTGCGCGTATGACGTGGCATCTGTTTTCAGTACCATTGTATTATTAAAGCCACTTGATTGCTAATACCATGAATACATGTACCGGTACGGTACGCCCTTCATTACACGGCGAGCCATTCAGCGGAAATCAGACGGCTTGGCGTGACTCAACCAATCCAATAGAGCCCAGCCCATGAGCGGACAAACAGCTCACCAGAGAGAGCGAGCGAGAGAGATCCTTGCTATGCTGGTGTATTATGTTGCCATGGCGACATTAACCATAATGGTTTGACATCAATTGCATGGAGGTCTCATGATTAGCACACCGAGTCCTCTGATGGTCGCTAAATTAAATATAGTTAATGTGCAGCGGTGCAATTGCACTGCAAAACATTCATTATGAGGTTTGCCTTTCGTGTCTAATGGCTCAAAATGACATTATGAAATAACATTTGTATGAATATGCAGGCATGCAACTGGGAATTAAGGGGGAAAAACAAGGAAATTTTTAACCCTAACTCCCTAGGCCTTTTTGCTAAAATGTAGCCTCAATCCTGCAAAATCCTCCAATTGGCCTCATGGAAAAATAGCTTATAGCCTCAATCCTGCAAATTCCTCCGTTATTTCTTGAATATGGTCCATGGAGGGGTGACCACTGCCTGAATCCTGCAAAATCCTCCGGCTATGTCTGTCAATAGGCTGAGGCAGAGTCAGTGACATCCTGGAGCAGTGCGGAGGATGTCAAGTATAATCAAGGACTAAATTTATGCACGGCTGAGCATAAACAACACAAGGTCCGGCCCAAGACCTTGACACAGTGCGTACTCCGAAATCAGCAACGCACTTTTGCCATGTAACCTCAATCCTGCAAATTCCTCCAATTTGCAAAAAGGATTTTGGAGGATTCAGGGCGGTTAGGGTTAAAATACACAAGACATTGTAAAGTGTTTTTCAATGTGTAATGGCATTCATGACAAGTTAAAAAAAAAATGAGGAAATCAGCAGATCCGTGAAAAAGTTGCATGCCTGACAATTGTTTGTATTTGGTTGATCCATGGCAACAGCAGTGTGATATTATACAATGTACCTAAAACCACAGACCAACATGCACTCTTCGTATCGCGCTATTCTAAGATGCGCGCGACTCGTGCTGCAAGCACGAATAACGGGATTACCATTGAAAAGTTTGTGTATGCCATGCTCATTCCATCATTGCTGCGTGTCAGGTACACGTATAAAAATGTAGTATTAAGATAAATTTGTTATCCAACTCGCGCTTTTGTGACACGGAATTCATGTATTCCGTCTTCCACTCGCGCTCCTAGGATAAAGAACCGGTAATAGGCCCCTATTATTTCATTCATGCTTCCATCTGTTCAGCTTATGAGTAATACTCTGCCCCAAAACTAAAAACTAAAAACATTACAGGAAGATACATGAAGGCACATTCGTAGGCAACACTTCATACATGTACATCTACAGCTACCGGTACCTCTATCTGCATAACATTTTCAAAATTTGCTTGCCCAGTACAAAACAAACATCTCTAAGCCAACATTGTGACAGTCCTGTGGGCAACACAGCATTGATCAACAAAAGTAACCATCAATTCCGGCTTTCCTGTCCTGATCCCCAGAGGGGAGAGGAACGGAGGGATGGGGGATGGGACAGAAAGAAAGAGCGAACAAGGTACGGGGCGAGAGACTCATCTGTTGTTGTCGGGACTCGCAATCGAATCTAGTGAATTAGCCCAACGGACTTTGCGCGGTTGCAGGTCTGGAGTAACGGGGGAAAATTGGCCAACTCTGATCAGTTAGCTTCTCTCTCCCCAGCGACCTTTTTCCCTTAAAGAAAATTCCCCACAATAAGAGCTCCAACTGCCTCCGCGGCTGAGGAATCCGTGGAGGAACGGTGGGAGAAAGTGCACAATGACCCGCACGGGGATCAATTTAATGGCTTGTTGAACTTTCCAGCGGGGGCAAAACTGCATGGGTTAGATCATGTTTATGCACCGAAACAGTCAAGCATAAATTCAGGTAACTGCATTCATCTCATTTTGGAGAAAACTGGAATATGCGTACAGTACATGCATCAGGTAAAATAAGAATGCTGACGTACATTATCATTACTTTTTAGGGATACAATTATTTGAAAAGCTAAGACATGAACCTGTATGGGATGCAATATTCGAATTCATTTATTTCTTTTTTGTGTTTTTGTACAAATGTATGCTTCGTTTCCACGCCGACACTAGAGCCTCGCAAAAAAAATTGCAGGTCGACGTGCTGTGCAAGCATGTATTTATACATGCAATGCATATGTACAAATACAAAATGTACATGTACAAGCAGTCATCACATTGTCGTCTTGTGGAAAATCATCCGTACCCAGGTCAACATGCCCTTACATTATTATCAAAAAGACACTACAGCGATAGGCTTATATTTCACGGCAGCGCTGTGCCTTAGCAAGATCATATCATCCTGTGACAGACAAGAGCCATAAGAGGTAGAATATTACATTACACCGCACTTAATATGAGGCTCAGACACCCAGCCTCCGTTTGCTCAATCAGCGTTGTATCAATTTTTGCACATGGGGGATTTCGAACATTTCCCCCCTAACCAATTTGTAGCATGCCTGAGGTGAACACATGTACGGATAGTATGTACCGTAGTTGTAGTTTAGGAATGCATGACATTTCAAGAGATTTGTAGGGATCAATTTTCAAGCATGCACATGTAGGGTTTGTAATTTGTGCATGCTTGTATTTTAGTAATCAAAATGCAATTATTGTTACATTGTACTTTTGTGGGAGTGCGCGCAGTGGACTACCTGTATATCGATTTTCCCATATGTAAGTTCTGTCCACTTTGTCCGTTGGCAATAATATTTGTGTCTCCCAAACACTACACAGTGATGTACATGTCCATGTATGTAAACATGTGTGTACATATGTCCATTGCACATTCCAGCCATGTGTATCGTGCGCAAATTTTGCAAGCACTTTCTTGAAGATGAACAACTAAGGATCTTGTCAGGATTGACAAAAATTGCCACTTGCCTCCATATTGACAGTCTTGAAATGCATGCTGGGAAAACTGCCTATTTTCACTAAGAGCAATTCCAAAGGGACTTTTAATGCTCTTACTTTGGAGAGTAACTTTTAAGAACACTGCATACGGGAATTTCAATCAAACATTTTTGACAATTTTGTTTTCAAGATGCATACAATGTATACCATCTAATAAACATGATAAACAGCAAAGGTATAATGATAGATGTATGTGAATGACCAATTCAAAACAACACTAGGTTGAAAGCAGAAATGGACTTGAACTCTAACCTCCTAGGCCCTTTTTTTTAGCTTAAAACTACATGTAGGAACCATCCTCCATCCTCCAAAATCATAGTCTGTTATTCATTTCTTGGATATGTTCAGTGGAGGGGTGACCACTGCCTCAACCCTTCACAATCCTCCAACAATCACTGTGGATGGTATCCACTAGAAATGTTGGCCTCACATTATGCATGGCTGAACATGCAGGGCACAGCCTACCGGTACGACTGATCTAATACACCGTGCCCTCTGGAGACGTGTGTACAATAGGGAACAAAAGATTGTATACATCTCCACAGGGCAATTTCTATAGATGAATATGTCTCCACAAGGTTTTCATGAAATAGATAAATGGATTTTACTCATATACTAGGAATTTCCAAACTATGTTGATCTGTTGCAAATGGAAGAGTTTTAAGTAAGATTTGAGGCTTTGCATGGTTGAGATACTAAATAATGAAAGGTTTGCGGAAACACCACGTGCGAATAATTTCTCAACTAAGAGAATGGTTTTGAAAAGAACGAGAGGTATAAACTCGACGTTTTAGAAAAGAGATATGAAGTCCAAATTTCAGCCAAGGAAATTAATTCTGGTTAAAATAAGAGCATTTTTAAACTACACTTTCAAACTTGAAAACTTTAGTACACAAGAACAAAGGAATGTCTCCACAAGGATACAAATTCCAGTATGCGTGTGATGCAATGTGTCCTCCAAAATCAACCGACACTATCTGCCATTATTATTATCAGCCTCAATCCACCAAAATCCTCTAAAACCGTCTGGTTGATTTTGGAGGTTTGAGGAGGGTTAGGGTTGAGACCTTGTTCTGAACCAGTGACCTACAGGTGTACAGTATATAAACTGCACTTAGTTGAACAAAGAAATTGACTTGAGCAGGGTATGAACCTGTAACCTCCACTACACCGTACTGAAGCTCTACTGTAAGTGTGCGTGCACATACATACATGTAGAACTAGCAAAATTAAGAAATTCAGAGGAAACTTAGGGAAGTCTTACCTTGCTTTCTTCATCTACAACTCTCAGTCCATCGGATGAAACCCACAAGATGGCCCTTACTTTCTTCTTGGTGTTCTGAAAGGAGGCAAAATCATACATATTTTCAACAACAAAAAATCCCAAAATGAAGAGCTTGGGGCTTGCCGTTTCTGCTTGGGGGGGGGGGGGGGGGGGGGGGGGGGGGGGGATCCTTTTTGGTTCTCATATTATTTTTTTTGGCCTGTCAAGTAGAGTCGTTTGGTCGAAAATGTATTTTAATTACCTGTAGTGAAGTAGGGTCGGTCGGTCGAAAAAAGAAAAAAAATCCTGAGAAAAAAAGCAGTTGCATCCGTATTCATGGCTATTTTAAATGATGGTACATGTAAGTGCTTATTGTCTTGAGTTTATCATGAATCGATAACTGGACAATATTATGAAAACATCTTGATAAATACATCTACATGTACCGGTACACCAAGCAACTTGTGTAGGCTGTAGTGGCAGCAATGACATGTATATTAAAGACACCTACAATTGAAATGGCAAGTTTTTGGTACTGGAGATTTTATGCTTTTAAGTCTTAGACTAATTCAGTCCATCGCTATAAACACCACTTGTTAACATGTAATACTATTTTGCAAAATTGATTTCACCCTCTAGAACCGCTGTGAAGTTTAATCTACAACGCCTTAGATTTTTTTTTTCGATGTAATATGATGAGAGGCAACATTCTCTAATCCTCTGGAATTCACCAATGGTCGCTACCGGTACGTACATGTAGTGTACATATACATGTACATGTAGTGTACATGTACATGTATATGCAGTACTTCGCATTACATTCTGGTTTTCATTTTCAATTGGTTTTCAAATAACACATAACACAGCCTGATTGCCTGAATTTTGTATACATTCATTATTTGTTTGTTCTTTTTTGTTTATGGGGTTCCAGACAGGGTCGGGCTGTAATACAACAAAGGTTTATTTTTCTTGGATCGGAGCCCAAGGTCCGTCAGAATTGAGAACCAAAGAAATGACCACAGAACCTGTGCTATGATCACCATTCTGTGCATACCGGTACTGCACTGGTAAAGAAATTCAGTGCTATCTTCGTACATGAGCAGGTTAATGGAAATAACGGAAAAAAAAACCCAATCAGACTCTAATCTGTTGGGGAAAAGTACGGCAGCTTCTCCATTAATCCTAAGTATCAACATGTACAGTGCGTAGTGTGTTCATATTTGATGTCAAGACAGCCTCTTTTCTAATGTATTGAAGCACTCCATTCTTATTTATGAAAGAATTTTTTTCTATTGGCCACGATTTCACTATTGAAAGGATTTTTTTTTTGGAACATTCTTTTGAAAATAATGGCCTCGAAAAATGCATTGTTGGGCATTATCAAATAAAATCACTGTACATTGTACACGTACATGTAACGGTATTAAACAAAAATTGAAGATATATTGCATCCTTGATAGTCAATAGGTCTCTCTCAAAGATGGCCATCTCTGTAGGAGAACTGCAACTGAGTATTTTACGCACTCAAGCACGCATTGCGCAGTGTTGAAAATGTTCCAAACACGTGCGCTTGTTGCTCGAAACGTGTTCGAAATACGACACGGCCGATGGGCGTTATGCAAGCTGACGCTCAAAATGCCGATGCACGTGGCTGGTCTGAAGGAACTGACGTCATTTGAACGAGACCTATTCAGTAAATGTTGACATGCAAATTCACTTACAAACCATATTGAGTTATAAACCTCTTTACATGTGCATTGTACACGTGTTTCAAAATGTATTATTTTCTTTCAATTAAAAAACCTTCCCACTGCCTCGAAAATGTTCAAAGACATTTAATTCATCACAAACAAAAGTTGAATCCATTGCGAGAATGAAAACACCTATTTTTCTTCACGTTGCGTCTCAAGGGAATTACTGGAGGCAACGGATGGAAATAATTCAATCTAATCTCCTGCTATGTGTGTTGTTTCTACAAACAACCCCTAACTTTAATGAGAATTGAGTTGATATTATTTTTTTATTAAAGGTGCACACCATACTTGATTGGTTACTGCCAGTCATGAGTGCACAGGTTTTAAGCATGGTGGCTTTGAGAGCTGTATGCACCTTTAAAAAGGCTATATACTTGAGATTGATCTATTTATTGGAATCAAAGGAACCAAGGACCCAAGATGACAGTGTGTTTGTGGATTCAGCCTTGGAACATCTTGGAGGTCCAAAAAGGAAGAATTTTCCCTCCCCCTCTTCTTATAGCCATAGTGCCCCTTGACAACTTTCCGCACCGAACCAACATCATTTTCTAATTCATTACCGCACAATTCTTCCCCACCCCACTGCCCCTAGGGCTTACCGCATCCACAACGACCGAGTCCAGTAATTTACTAACAGTTGGTTCGGTAGCTTTGAATGTCCATGTACATGTACATGTACATGTAGCAGTTCTACTACATGTATCATTCACCCAAAGTGTCTTCTAACAACCTAGACACAATTGAACATGTGTTGAAGTTTGCATACATGTAATGATGGATATATTCCTAAATTTAGCTTCTTCTTTTTTAAAGGGAATGTACATTATTTGCTTTTGCTGCAATTTTTAGAAATGGATGGATTTGGGGGGGTTAGTATGTTATAGAAAAACATTTTATACTGACTTATTTTACGTTTTGGGTCCGTAGATGCTGGAAAATCAAGAAAATAAATCGTGTTTTTGTAGTCTGGTTCCCCGACCGCACTTAAAATGAAACAGAGCAATTTGTAGATGTTAGGGAATTGTAAGGTCAGAGAATCAGTTGTACCCCTTAGAAGATGTGTAATCAATTGCTGAGACAATGTGGAATAACTAAATATAAAAATATAAGAGCAGTATTTGAAGAAAAGTCAGTTTTTCCAGCGCTGATCGGCCGACCAGCATTGGAAATTGATACAAAAATATCACTTTACTTGAAAATGTGAGCACACCAGGAGCCATTGTTTTACAGGATGCTTCAGACTGCCATCCCCTGGCAGTCCAGTAAAGTATTTTGTGATAATTTGGTCATTTATTTTTTTGATGTTTGCAAATGTTGTACATTCCCTTTAAGGTCACACTCAAAAAAGGACCCATTTGAATCTAAAAATTACTGCATGGCATGTGGTATTAAAAGCGTTGCTAATTAAATTATAATTTGGTTCTTCTGAGAATTTCGGAGTTGCTGGCAACTACGAATTATAATTTACAGTAGTTGTTGATTTGCCCACAGCTGCAACAATTTTATGAGGTACATGTACTTGTCAGGTGTGAGTATTAAAACCACACAAATTAACTGCCAATGCATCTGTGTAATTTGTTTCTACAGCGTTCAGTACCAGTACATGTACTGTACATCCAAACATGTACACTGCAGCTTACTCTTTTCATTGATCAGTTAAAGGGAATATAGGCCTATATAAACAACATTTGCTTTTGCTGTAATTTTCAGAAATTGAAAGATTTGGGGGTTAGTATTATACATGTACTGGTACACGTATAAAAATCATGTTCTGTAGTCTGGTTCCCTGACCCTACTGATGATGACAACGGAGCAATTGATAGACGTTGGGGAATTGTAAGGTCAGGGAACCAGTCTAGCTGGCTTGTACCCATTCATACAATGTAGGTGTGTAATCGATTGCAAACAAAATGCGGAGTAACTAAATATGGTAAATTGGGGGCAGTATTTTTTTAAAAGCCAGTGTTTTTCCAGTGCTGGTCGGCAGACCAGCATTGGAAATTGATACAAAAATCCAACTTTTCTTGAAAATGACAGCACATCAGATGCCTTTATTTTACAGGATGCTTTAGACCGTCATTCACTAACAGTCAAGTAAGGTATTTCATAATAATTTGATGGTTTTGTTTTTTGATGTTGGGCAATTCCACACCAAAGTGGACATGACACCAAAAAATTCAAATACATGTGACTTAAACAAATTTGGCATCAAATGAAAGCTAAAAGTCTATATTTTCAAGATTTGAAGTCGGAATTTTATTTTTTATACATTTCGGTACCAAAAAATTTCGGTAATCCTAAAAATGTGATTAATAGTGATATGAAAGTATTCTACCAAAACACACACAAAAATATGTACTAATGCCATCAGTTTCTGTCATGAGAAAGTATTGGTCTTGAAAAACCGACTAAAACTTGTTTTTAACAGTTTGCGTAATTTGCTTCGCTTCAGTGACTTCTAATATTTTAGCCTTCGAAAATGTCCTTCCGTTACCGAAAAAATTAATATTTTTAATTTATTTTTAAAACTTGCAGAATGAATGCATTGAAAGTTATTGTGCAAAGCAAGTTTAGGTAGGCCTTCAATATGACATGATAACTGACACTGCTGTACTTCTCGTTTTTTAATTACAATTAATTAAATCACGTCCTTCCGTTACCAAATTGGTAACGGAAGGACGGTAACGGAAGGACAAATCGTATTTTTATCAAATGTTACGACATTTGCGCTCATGTTTGAAAAATGAAAATCACTGCAAATACATGCATGTATAATGAGCATTGAAAGGACATTCATGTGACCCACCTTCACAAAAGCGGGATAAGCAGGGCAAGGTGTTTATTACAAAGGAAGGCACAGGCATGTACAACATGTACAATGTACATGTACATATATGCCGATGTACCAGTACATGTACATGTATGGAGTTGTTGCAGAAAATCAAATCATAAAGTTGCTGCCATCAGCATTCATGGACAATAGAGAAAGATACAAATTCTGTGAAGCCATTCCAGAAGCAAATTAAGTCAAAAATGAGATGGCAGAAAGTACTGGTACTTTGGGGCACTTTTATTCAATTTACATGTGTAAGACATGTGAGGTGCAATCTTTGACAAATTATGCCCAAGTTAACAATTTCAGTTTGGATGTTTATAAATTAATTGTTACTACTCTAAATCATTGTAATTTGATTTCAAACATTGATTTTAGAGTTCAATTAAAAGGAACACCTAACTGAAGCCATCAGTTCTACCGGTAGATGTTTTTAACCTTAAATTTACATGTAGGCTGGTCGCCCCCTCCCCCCCCCCCCCCCCACCCTTTAGGTAAACCACTGAACCGACCGGTATTATTATTAAAAGTTGTTGGTGAACATGTAACCAATATACTCAAGTGCTCAAATACTGTGTATTTAAACTTTTAAGGATTGAGGTGATGGGTTTGAAGTCTATTTCTGTAGTTGTCTTGTGTTCGTGAATTATGTGTTTTGGGTGGTTTTCGTTTTTTCTTTTGTTATCATTAATTAGCAGGCTTCTATCTTTATCTCAATGGTTTCTTGGGTATAATTATTTATGCCAGGTCTGCATATTGTTGATTTCACATTCAGTTACACATTTCAGCAATTTGTTTCACTTGTATAATTAGTGTAAATTAACATTTTGTTCATGTTATAATTGAGTAAACCTTTTGTCCTTCCGTTACCGTCCTTCCGTTACCAAATCATAATCTGCTTAAAACGTTGTAATTATATTACCGAAACACTTAAAGTCAAATGAAAGGCGGTATAGTATAGATAAAGCTTCAGGGATTCCATTTCTCACCTTTAAAATATAATTGCCCCATAAAATTCACAGAGTTTACGCAAAATGCGAGTAAGTTGGAAAACCCTTGTCCGTTTTACCGTCCTTCCGTTACCGACCTCATTAATATTCATAATTCATAAACGGGAGGCATTCATGCCCCCCAAAAGTGTGGAAAATGAAAGTAGCATTATAGCAATACAATTGTGACATTTGTTTGCTGTAACTATGAACAGTGTCTGTGATACACACATTTGAAATTTTGTTTAATGAGTGAAAACGTCCTTCCGTTACCGTGGAATTGCCCTGTTGTATCCCTTTAACATACAATGTACCTCAATTATATTTTAACCACTTTGACTCTCCATAAAGCTATGGTCTCAACAAATAACATTTTAGACTATTGCGATGCTGTGCAAATTGAGATGGGATACTAACTGCTCGATTAACATGGGTCCAGTACAAACTGAGTGTGCAGAAACACTTACTACATGTTTCCTATGCAATTTCAGTTGTTAGGCCAAAAAAAAAAAATATTCGGTCTCTGGTCAGACCAAAGTTCCGGAATTGACGCGGCAATGCGGCTTTTTTTTTTTCTTCAAGCTTGGATTGTACCGACAAGGTGGGGTACTATTTTGCTTTTTTGGTGTCCTCATGTACATTGGTGTCCTCCATAATTTGCCTTGGTGCTTTCGATCATTTTCCTTGGTGCAATTTCCAATTCCTTGGTGCTCTTTGGTAAAACAAATTGAGGAGGTGTGGCAATAAAGGGCGTTGTTGGAGCTACCGCGGAACATTTTGGGGAAAAAAAAGATCGACGCGCATGATTAAAATCGACGCGCGCGCTGACCAGAGACCGATTTTTTTTTTTTTGGCTTTACTTTTTGCTGGAGTATATTTAATTCTGCAGAGAACTTGTTGATGAGGCTGTTGTGCAAAATTTAAAACAACACACAAACAGAGGAATATGCTGCAGCTCAAAGACATCTCATATGATGCTAGAGTACGGTACATTGAATTCCAGGTTAAAGGGAATGTGTACATCATTGGCTTTTGCTGTAATTTTCAGAAATGAACTATTTGAGGGGTTAGTATAATAGATCAAATATTGTTACACTGACATGTTTGAAGTTTTGTGTTCGAAAATGCTGGAAAAACCAAGAAAACAAAAATGTTCAAGTAGTCTGGTTCCCTGACTCCACTAAATATAAAATGGATCAATTTACAGATGCCGGACAATTGTAAGGTAAGGGAACCAGTCTAGCTGGCCTGCACCCGTTCATGAACATGTAACCAATAGCAAACAAAATTTGGACTGAAAAAAATGGTAAATTTGGAGCAATAGTTGAAAATAGTTAGGTTTTTCCAACGGTGGTCGGCCGACTACTGTTGGAATTTTTTACAAAAAAAAAACATTCTCTTTAAAATGACTTCACACCAGGTGCCATAATTTTACAGCATCCTAGGAAGGTATTTCGTAAAAATTTGGCAGTTTTATTTTTCGATGTTTGCAAATGTTGTATGTATTCCCTTTAAATGTGTTGCTCAACATTTCATGTTCGAACAAACACGGATGGGTACAATTCCGTTGCTGGCACTGCCTTGAGGTGTATCAGTAGTCATGTTACTCAGCGCCTTTTCTTCACACATGGTCTCAAAACAGTAATCATTTCAGAAAGAGAAATTGGGTCATGCATGCAGGCGGGCCGGATCTAAACACGTTTAATCAGATTGGTCGGATCCCCAAAGCCGAGTGCTTTTATCACTTTGGCAAATGGCTTTTCCTCTCTCTATATATATTTTTCCCCCTGTCTTTGTGTATGTGGAGGGCGGAAGCGGGGGAGATTTGGTCATGTGGAAGGCGATTTTATCAGTGTGATGCGTCTATTCATTTATATCCTATACATTTAAATGGCACCTTATGGTGTACAAAACAAAAAACTTTCAGATTCTACTACATGTATGTTTTCACTTAGGCCCCCCAAAAAAATGTTTCTGCATCCAATTACATGACATGCGAAAATAGGGTAGGTAGGTAGGGATTTTTTTTTTTTTTTACCAATTTTTTTGTGTACGATCATATGGAGGCGTCTGCGTGTAGTCAAGGGTAAAAGGTATAAAGTGATGGTTTTGGGTGTTCTTTTCTCATTTTTCCAATAAAAAAATTCGGGTAGGGGCTGTCAAAATAGGTTAGGTAGGGAAACTGGAAGCAGAACTATTATTTTGGTTGGCCTTAATACACGGAAATGGAAAACACGTAAATATCCAATGTCAAACATTTGCTTGAACAATTTTAGCAAAATGCACTCTTTAACATAGTCATAATGATACTAAAAGTCAAAATGCAACTTTATTTTTTTTATACGTACGGATTTTTTTGAAGTACATGTAAGTCAAACAGTGGCAAATACGCATCAAAGAATTGTATACGTGTTAGTTGAGTACGAATATGTGCAGTGCTCCTTTTTTATTATATTTTTTTATTCTGTTCACTCCCAATTTCAATCAGGAACATCTGAAATTGTAAACTGTAACATTCTTATTTTAACACGAATTTTTTTTTTTTTGAGAAACATGTGCATTCACCTTCTTGTTCTTCATGCCCTCATTTATAGAAGCCAACTCAGAGTCTAAAATAAAATTCAAGCCCCAGTGTACAAATTAATCACAATAAAGGGAACTTACCGCCCGGAGTTGTTTAGCAGCGTCTTCGCAGATGTGCATCCCCCTAGACTCTGTAACCTCAATGGACCCAAGATACTGCAGGGTGGAAGGAAGGGGAGAAAAGAAGAAAATATGCAATGAGAGTACAATGACCAAATACTTTACACTCCTCCCAAAGCCTCCGACATCCTCTTTGCATAATGGAAGATTTTGAGGGGTTGAGGGCCTTTGAAAATCAAGCACTTAAGGATTTTGCAGGGTTGAGGCATAACATGATTTTGCCTCTGGATGATAATGGAGGATCCAGGCCCCAGCTGATGCTGGATGAAATTGAAGGATTAAGGCTTTTGCTGGTTTTACCACAAAAAAAAAATGGATTCAGGATGTTATTTGCTTTATGCATACGTACTTGTGCAAGCATACCTTACCTGTACCACTGTTTATTGAACAGCCTTTCTAATCCAATTATTTTGGGCCTTGGCATTGCCAATCACAATACACTGGATAACAATGGAGGATTGCAATAAGTTACACAGGCTAATGAAATCATGTATACGAGCATTGAAATCCAATTATCAACATGCTAGCAAACCAACTACAGGATTTCGAAGGATCCAGGCAAAGGCCTCCATGAACAAAAAAAAAAGTGGATATATTGACAGATTCAGGTGCTACCAGTAGTGTTTTTACATCTTTGCTACTGGAGAATATTGAAGGATACACGACTTGCTGCTTCTGGCTGTAAGAGCGTTTCTAAGGCCAAAAAAAAAAAAGTCTCCGGTTTCTGGTATGCGCGCGCGTCACCGTAGCCATGCGCATCGGCAAAATGAAAAAGTTTTTTTTTCAATGAAAGATGATGTCTCAAAACCGCCAAACTCACTGGTTTGACTGGAATCCTGCTGCTGCACAACTTTAACGTGTTTTAAGATTGGGTTATGGTCGAGAATAAGCTTTACCGGTATGTGACCTCTCTGGACTCCCATATATTTGCACTTAGTTTAGTCGGGCACCATTTGCAGTCATCAGCCGACATTTGAAGCAAAAAGTCAGGTTAAAAAAAAAAAAAAAGCCGCGTCGCCGCACCACTTTTTGGGCAAGCTCCATACCAGAAACCGGAGACTTTTTCGGGGGGGGGGGGGGCCTAAAGGGAATTTATAAGGTAAAATGGACGGGTTTTGGAAGACTTAATTACTAGTACAATGTTTAATTCTTAACCCCGCCCCCTTCTGAACACCTGGCAGCATCCAACAGAATCCCACAGAAGCCATGGAGCTGATCCAACTAAATCCAACAGCTTCAATTAAAGGTCATCTGTTGTGGCTTTGATCAACAAAATCAAACAGTATCCCACAGATGCAAAGCTGCTGATACAACGGAATCAAACAGCTACAGTTAAAAGGTCATTTGTTCGGGGTTCAATCAATAAAATCCAACAGAATCCCACAGTTGCAAAGCTGCTGATCCAAACGGAATCAATCAGCTACCGGTACATGTACAATTACAGGTCATTTGCTCTGGGTCTGAACAACAAAATCAGTTTAAATTTAAATAGTTTAAATTTCCAAAATGTGATACCCGGTACATCCATTTGAAAAAGTTGGAAAACAATGCACCATCATGAAAACTTATAGAACATACCGGTACATGTACAGTACATGTACATTGTACAGTACATGTTACACACGATAATGATGAGCTGTTTCTAAACTACATTTTTCGCTTTACTGTATAACATTCTTACATGTATATATAATAACTACATGTAACCGTCTTCAAAACTGACTTTAGGCAACCTACAGTGTATTGAGGGCGGGATTCATAAATATTTTGGAAATAAACTCTTCATACATACATGTACTGTACAAGAACCGTACCGGTACATACACATGTGTTCATTGTGCCAGTGGCAATAGTGTTACAAGTACTTAGTTTGTGCAATGCAAACTGAATGAAAACATGTTATAAGAAAAAAGTCAGGACAAAAGTTTTATATTAAAGGGAAAATACAACATTTGCAAACATCAAAAAATAAAACTACCCAATCATTTTGAAATACCTTGCTGGACTGTTACAGAATGACAGTGTAAAGCATCCTGTAAAATCATGGCACCTGGTATACTGTCATTTTCAAGAAAAGTGGTATTTTTGTATCAATTTCCAACGCTGATCGGCCGACCAGCGTCGGAAAAAAACTGGCTTTTTTTCAAATACTGGCCCCAGTTTACCATCGCACTTGTTTGCAATCGATTACACACCTATGAACGAGTACAAGCCAGCTAGACTGGTTCCCTGACCTTACAATTCCCCAATGTATGTAAACTGCTCTGTTTCTTCTTAAATGGAGTCAGGGAACCAGACTACAGGAAAATGATTGTTTTTCTTGGTTTTTATAGCATTTTCGAACCCAAAACCTCAAAAAAGTCAGTGTAACTATATTTGCTATATATTCCCAACCCCCCAATTCCATCCATTTCTGAAAATTACAGCAAAAGCAAATGATGTATATTCCCTTTAAACAAGAAACTGTCTTCAAATCACAAATGGATCTTTCTCATTTACATGTGAGACCAACAGAAGATAATTACAGATTTCAGTTCATTCGCTGATTTCAACTTTTTTTCTCAAGTTGCTCGACTTACATGTATCACATAACTGGTTGAGAAAAGAACAAACATGCTCTCATGAATATCAGATACATTGTAGGGCGGCCTATGTGATATGAAAACAAAATTATCCACCAACGTCTTCATTCAAATCTGGCCTCTAACGAAGTGTCTTCAAATATTCATAATTTCATCATGGGCTGAAATCAATTATATACACACATTCCTCAGCTGGGGACCTTGGACGCTGAAGGGACGCGAGGCGGCAAGCAAACACTGCCTGAAAATCAGTGGCATGGCCCGAGCTTTTCGATTCAATTAGCGGCTAATGAACGAGCGAGGAGGGTTGAACCATGAGCCATCTTTCATTATTCAAAATGCGCATCAGTGGCGGAGGACCTGAGAATCATCAAGGGAAATTATATTTATTTTGGGAAAGAATGTAGTATCCAGACGTCACTTCAGCAGTTGTGTACGAAGTCTATGGAGAGTCTTTCCTAACAAAATTGGAAATATTTCTCAGATTCACGTCTTTATTGACGTTTATTGAGATGATATGAAAAAAAAGTGGCGTCAGGTTGCGCTTGCAGCATTCTTTCCTTATTTTTACCAAACCAGGTTCATATTAAACAAGTGTATGGATTGGCTAAAGGGTAACGAACAGCAATGAAATGATTCTGTACAGAATTTTTTTGAAATTGCAATTTTAAAGTCGCTGACTTGCAAAACAAACCACCTTTTTACGCTGCAAATTGAAGGATTCCATGTCACGGTGCAGCGGCCACAGCAGTGAACTGGCATAATGCTTTGGGATTATACTATATTTATTAAATCTTAAATTACAAGACGAAATTGAATTTTCCTACATTTGAGATGGCGTTGGGGTATGTTATTGGGAAAGACGTGAGTCAAAGAGTAGTAAACGCCTGTACAAAGTAGGCCATACAGGTTTTTTGTTTATACAAAAATGCACTAATTTTATGTGTGATTTTTTTTCTATTATTTTTTTTGGGATCATTATCTCTCAGAATATTGGTCCTGATAAGCAGAATAAAAAGCGCCACGACGACAGAACGTGATGACTGGGACAACTCTGCCATTTTGAAAGTTGCCCAGGGGCGAGTTTGAGTGGAGATGGACAATCTGATTTCGTCGTTAGACTGCCGCTGGACACCGGAAATTCAATAAAAGCGTGGAGAGATACACGGCACAGATTTGATTGCATGACACGCTCGAGCCAAACATACTCCGAGGCATGTAAAATATATTTTTTTGTGGAGTGACTTGTTAACAACAATGGTACATGTACATGTACATTACATGTATAAGTATGTAAGTGTACGTGTACCTGTATACATGTACATTGTGAAAATCAAACAGGTACATGTACGTGATACGTATCCCCCCTCCCCCCTCCCCCCCAAATGCAAGTTCAGGGGAAAAGAATGGCTGTTCCTGTTGCGGTCTACAATGTTAAAGAGGTTGTGGAATGCTCGAAGACATTTCCGTCATTCTTCGAGTATGTAGCTTAAGGTGTGATGAAATATCCCGCTATTGTGTCTGTCATGAAATGAGTACAAAAGGTACTTTTGAGAGCTGTTTTTCAGGTCCTGTTTCGACCCGAACATGCAATTTGTGTAAAAGTTGTCGTTGGGGGCAGCAAATAAAACATAATAAATCGTGACGTAATAAACAGGACTCGTTTATACTACGCTGCATCTGGAGTCCTGTTTATTACATCACAATTTACTATGTTTTGTTTGCTGCCCCCAACGACGACTTTTACACAAATTGCACGTTCGGGTCGAAACAGGACCTGAAAAACGGCTCTCAAAAGTACCTTTTGTACTCATTTCATGACAGACACAATAGTCGTTTTTATTTCATCACACCTTAGGCTACATATACCCGAAAAATGACGGAAATGTCTTCGAGCATTCCACAACCTCTTTAATAAAACACATAAATTATATAAGCTTACAGTAGTCTGTTTGGCCGGGAATTGTGATGGGTATGTACGTATTTTAATATATCCATATACTGGGCTGTGCCTACATGTAAATGGGAATGCATTTGAATTTCATGGATCACTAAACATGTACAGTGTACTGGATCATTAAAAACAGGTGTTCACATACATGTACGTGTACATGTACGTTCAGCATTATTGACGGTACCTCCCGGTACACATTAGGCTTTTTTATGTTCTTCTTTTAAAGCTATAGTCCATCATTTGCAGCCATCCGAAAAGTAACTGGCGTAATTATTGTTGAAAAACATACTTGGTTGAAAGATAGTAAGTGGACTAAACTCCCTGTGAAATTATTCTTTCTGGCAAGCTGTCATTTTGAAGTAATCAACGAAAGAAGGCCTTTCCAACGGTGCGTCTTAAGATGCACCGTAGGAAGATTTAAATTAGTAGTTCGTTTTGTTATTCGGCGAAGTGCGCGCAAGCACTGGCACGACACACACGCGCGCGCAGTTGCTATAATTCGTCGGATCAGTGCGCGACATCGCGTATAGCTGCAATCGGCTCAGTGAGAACTTGTCTCGGACGCTGAATTCAGGCCCAATTCAAAACATGATTCAGCAACTTTTGATTTGAAATTGAGATCCTAGGAATGCTGTTTTTCTCGGAATATACATTGTACAGCTGAAGCTCAGCTGAAACTTCATCAGGTTAGTTGTTCAGTATCCTTAATTAGATTTTGAACACTTTTGTTGCTTCAAACGAACAAAATGCACAAATTACAAATGATGGACTACATGTATATCTTTAACAAATTTCAAATGAGTCTAGTCAAATAATGCCTTAGGTTTTGAACTTGTAGTAGTGTGTATAGTCCAAAGTACAGTACATGTACCCGGTACATGTACATGTATGGGTGTGCATGTACATTGTACAGTGGTAGCTTTTTTCACGCACACAAAAATTTTTGTAATTGTATTGTTCATCAATACTGAAAGCCCCTGTGGAAATCACAAAACGTTGATTGACACATTAACTACCGATTGGTTATAGGTACCGGGGTACAAGTTAAATGATACACGAATATCTTGGAATGGAAGTGAAACCACACGAGAAATGGTTTAAGGATTTGTTTAATAATACAATATTTATAACACCTGAATTTCTTTTACAATGTTCAGGAACTAAAAACTGCATACACATCGGTACCGGTGGGCAAGTAAATGATGTTAAACGCTCCATTTACAATAAGGCTTATTTTTCTATAAAAAAATACATGTACTAAATGCTCGTACCATGCACAGATTCAGCACAGAATGTTGCAATTGGGAGGATCAGTTTCCAAATCATTCTAGTTGGCACATGACCATAAGGTTGCAGACCAGTAAACCGGCCAAATCACGATTTGCACGCCCTCAAAATCTTCAGTATTTGAGCATACTGTGGGCCATGAACTTGAGGGTTTGTAAAAAAATATGGGTGGAAGCCGTGCACAGGACTGTGAGCTTGTAGTTCCATTCAATTTGGATGAAATTGGGGCCCTTAAAGCGCTCTAGTTTACAATGGAGTGTAGGCATCGTTTTTCAAAATGGCGATAGGCTTCAGGACTATTTTCAGGGGTGATCATCTTCGGATGGAAATTTCTCCTAAAAGTCATCAGTTGGCCCCCCAGTAATTGAAAAGAAAATGAAAGATGATGAAATAAGCTTAATTTGATATGTGTGTCTCGAACACCTTGGCTCTGAGTTGTGAGTATTTTTCCCGAATTTCTGAAGTGGGAGCATTGACCATTGGGGTCTATAGGAAGTTTATTTACTGGTCTGTAACCATAAACATGATGAAAATGGCTGCTACACAAGCTGTATGTACATTGTACATGTATGTACCAGTATTAATGGTCACCCTACATGTATCTACATGCACCGGTACATGTATCAAACCACTTCAACAGGGTTTGACATGTGTCCTGGGTTTCTGGTACATGTAGTTGGTGACCAGCCTGTACCAAAGCTATTGAGAGAGGTACTCGGTAGGGGTTAGGTTTTTTGACAGTTTGTGAAAGGACATGTAAACTAACACTAACAAACATGAAACAAGAGAAACTTGCCCATATTAAGACCATCACAATGCACTGATACTCAGGGAAAACTTTTGCAACCGCTTTAGGCCTGCTGGGCAATCCCAAATACTAACACCCATCATCTATCAAGGAGATTACAGAGTTGGGAGCCTTGGAGCATTTTTCTGAATGATTCAATACTTACATGGTTAAAGCTATAGTCCATCATTTGCAGCCATCCTAAAAGTAACTGGCGTAATTATTGTTGAAAAACATACTTGGTTAAAAGATAGTAAGGGGACTAAACTCCCTGTGAAATTATTCTTTCTGGCAAGCTGTCATTTTGAAGTAATCAACGAAAGAAGGCCTTTCCAATGGTGCATCTTAAGACGCACCGTAGGAAAATTTAAATTAGTAGTTCATTTTGTTATTCGGCGAAGCGTGCGCAAGCATTGGCACGACGCACACGCGCATGCAGTTGCCAGTGCGCGACATCGCGTATAGTTGCAATCGGCTCAGTAAGAACGCGTCAGAAAATGTAAGAAGTCAGAAAATGTAGCCTAGGTGGGTGGTATGTCTGACTGTTTTTCAATTACGATTTCTGTCAAATGTTCCCACTGAACATGCTCTCACTCATAAATTATGAGGTTACGGCAGGAAAAAAAACCCAGCATTCACACAAAGGCATCCACATCCAAGCACAAGTAGCATCAACAAGATCAAGCCACAGCTGTCTCGCAGACAGACTGAAGTGAAGACCAAATCCAGGGAAATGTCAAGGAATTTGCCCGCTTTTCCCAAGTGCCTTTTTTGAAGACAACTGGAACTGCCTGACATTTTCAATGTTCTGGGCTACAGGGCTAATTGGTTTAGGAAAATATCAGCATGTTGTCTCACAAAGCTAGGGGAGGTCCTAGTTAAGTTTCCTTGAACATTTTGAACAGGAAAGATTGTTATTTACATGTAGTTAGTAGGAATTTGCACATCCAAGGTCTCCTTAATTGTTGAATTCAGCAACTGTCATGGCAGAATGTAAACATACCTGCAGTCTGTCAAGGGGAGCATGCACAATTTCAAAGAAGCACACGTACATGTACGTGTATGTGTGTACATGTACATGTATCTGACCCATTTGGAGTTCATGTTGTTAAATACATGTACATACACATGTACATGGGTGTACATGTACATGTGACTGTACATGGGTGTGCATGTAATGTACATGTATGTAACTTGTAAACTTGTATGCATGACAATTTTGAATGTTTTGCCAAAATGCTGATGTACCCCAGTACTATCAGGATTTTTTGCCTTTGAGAAAGAGTCCAATGGGCTGAGGTCCAGTTGTTACAGTGTTCGACCCATGTACCATGGATTCGAACAATGATTTGAACACTGGATGGGGAACATGGTGTTTGTGTCTTTGGGCAAGACACTTTACTACAATTGCCTCTCTCCACCCAGGACCTGTGACGGCAGAGACCAGATTGCGCAGATGTCAGCTGTAGAAGTGGTCTTATGGCCTGGGCCCAAATTCATAGCGCTGCTTAACAGCTGACTTTGTGCTTACCGATCTTACTATTTTCTTACCTCCATCTATTTCATAGGGACCGTTAAGCAGTAAGCACAGCAAAAGCACGCTTAACCCAAAAGAAACCTTTGCATAAATCAGTGACGTAACAATAGAAATCCCCATGCGCACGCAACCGTTAGCATGAAATAGTGCTTAAGCAGCAGCATGATTTTCTGCTATAGTAAGCACAACTTTTCTGCTTACTGTTAAGCAGTGCTATGAAATTGGGCCCTGATGAACAGGAAAATAACTGTGAAATGCTTTGAGACCTACCGGTAGCTTTGGAGTTAAGTGCTATAAATCGACACACATGTACACATACATATACCGGTACATGTATGTATCACGCAAAAAAATATCTGGCCCTAATAGCTTTTATATTTTACAGTTAAAGAGTTTCTGAACTAGCAATTCTCACAGTTTCACATGCCAGATATTTAGCCTCATGAGGTCAGCAGTGAACACTTTTTGGGTTCACTGTAGGGGGCCTTATACCTGTAGTAATACTGTTTAGCAAGGACTACCCACAGGAATGTACTGTGCACTTCCTCCATCATACAATTCACTACTATAATATAACCCACTACCCAATGCCCCATAGAGCAAGGTCAACCCTATACCATTCCACTACAACAACTGCCAACAGATGCACTCCATGAGCAGTGAACATGTTTGGGCTGTGGGAGGCCACAAAGCGCCAATTCTCTAAACAATGTTGGACAAAAAGATTTGCGTACTAAATATGTATGGACTATAAAACCTGCTCGACTTTGCAGACAAGCACGCACATGAACATGTTGCCTTGGCAACTGGTCCTTAAATTTTAATGCTTGCAAGTCGACCACTCCTCCGATTTTGATGGCTGGCACTGCCAAATTACTCAGTATAAATTTTGACAGGCAATTACGTTGTGGAATTGGCACTTTTCCAAAACAGCACAGCTGGGCTACATATCAAAATGCATCCACGCTTGCTTAATACTAAAAATAGGAAATTGTGTGTTCTAGAATTTCATGAAAATAATCTGATGCGGAATCTGTGTAATGATTATTCAGGCAGGTTAACAAAAATCAAAAAACAAAATGTTCTTTAGGCTGTTGAAGCTGATTACATGTATTCTTGAAATGGACTGTCACAGTGTAGGTAATAAATTGAAGTCCCCCCCCCAAAAAAAGGTGGGGGGCTGGCTTTTTAAATCTCATGTTTTGAATTCTTTGTCAAATATTGAAACAAAATTGAAAAAGATGTAGCTGTTCAACAACTTAAAACATTGATATACATGTACCCTAGCTTGAAATATGAAGAAAGTGGTTATTAAAAAATTCCAGAAGGCGTCACTGCAATACTGACGACAAGGACCTAATTTATGGGCGAAGGCTGAGAAGAAAGAAGAGATAAACCAAAGTTTGAAAAGAAAAGCTAGATTTGCAACAAACCTTGACGGGGAAATTACAGGAGCCAGCCCTGACCAGCTTCTCATCTTGCTGCCACTGGTGGGGCTTGCTGGCAGCCGGCACGTGGGCGTGCTCCTTCCGACGGAAGCTACTGCGCAGCTTCTTCATGCTGAGGGAGCGACGCAGACGGCTGTTGCGCTTGGGTGTACTGGCGGGAGACTGGGAGGTTGAGGACGACGGGTTGGCTTCGGCGGAGGGGCCAGGGGAGGCTGGGCCCGTGTCTGGAGGCGGGTTCTTGTTGTACTTGTGACGACCGTGGGAGGAGCCAAAGAAGAATGACCTGGGGGAGAAGAAGGGGGGGGGGGGTGGAGGAGAGTGAAAATTGGTCAGGTTTTAGTTGTGACTCTTTGAGCAAAGTTAGCAAGCCAACGTCTTGATACAGCCCATGCAATACCGCCGAGACAAAAATGACACCATGCTCTGTTTAGGCCTAATAAAAAAAAATAAACCACTTTCTCATCCCCATCTGCTTTCTTTTTCATGCCCACTTTTTTTAAAAATTCATTCATTTGCAATATATTTGCAATAATATTGTCAAAATATTGTCTTTTTATTTGTTTCCAATAAAATTTTCGCTATGTCGAAAGGGTTAGGGCTCCTTTGGCCAATTTTTTTTTATCAGCAAAAGAGTCAAGAAAACGGAAGAATCCATCTGCCATCTTGTCAAAATCTGCCATATTGGGGGGAAAAAACAGAGAAAAAAAATGCCACCCGCCTTCTTCATTTTGTTTAAAAGCTTGGACAAGAATTTTTTTTAACTCGGCCTTGCATGTGTGCTTTCTTATGAGAGCTGGTTGGGATATGTACCTCCCATAGGAAAGCACATTTAAACCAACTGTGAAATCATTTTGTCTCGAGGCTATTATTCACGCTTCACCTCGACCCCAGAGCTAAGAACCATCCTCAAGTCCCTGCATCCTCCCATGACTGTTTCAGTGTACAAGAACCCAAGGGTACCCGCACATTCTTTCTTTGCATTGAAATTTCCATTAGGCCTCGAGCTCAACTCTGGACTCTATTTTTCTGAATCCAGTTAAATCCTTCAAACTCTCCTGAATTCTAGTGGAAGTGGAAAGAACAGATCTAATGTAAATCATTTCTTGAAACTGCAATATTTGTCCCCATCAATTCAAACTACATAGTATGCTTCATATTTTGACATTTGATTCTCCAAAATTGTAATGCAAGTCACACTATAATTTAACTATTCATAACTTCAGATTTTCGGAAATCAGTGAATGGGTAGAAATCAACGAAAGTCCTTGTCCTTTGTATGTCACATGCATTTAATTCAGTGCTCAGGTGCAAATCTTTCAGTGCGTTCTTAATAATAAATTACATGCGAAATTGGCAAACAATGCATTACAGCATAATGTAAACAAGCACCCATATGCTGATTATACATAAACGTACATGTACACCTACATGTTTATGGCCAAAAAAAAATGACGCCGTTTGGTAACAAACACCCTAAAAATAAAGCCTGATAGTTCATCCCTGGCGGCATTCTTCCGCGATAAAAAGTTTCAGGTTGGCAATTTGGCCTAAAATACTCCAAGTAGGTCTGGTTACCATTAACGCACATTCTATTTGGGGGGGGGGGGCCTAATGGAGGTCCCTTTGGCTCCCAATTTGATGCTTACAATACTACAATACATGCCATTGATCAGTACATGAAGCAACCAACCCAACATTAGTAAGGGAATAAATGTGAGTTTCGGAGGTATTATAACACTCTGTTTAAAACCGGTGTGAGTCTGGATGGGTGATAATTACCTGAGGCGAAGCCAAGGGTAATTATCACCCATCCAGACTCACACTAAAACCGGTGTGAGTCTGGATGGGTAATTATCACCCATCCAGACTCACACCGGTTTTAAACAGAGTGTTTAATTCATAAATACCTTTTTGGTAAAAAAAACAAAACAAATGTTTTCAGTCCAAAATCAAAACAAGTCAAAAACTAGACGTTGTTAACCATTTATGATTTTGTTCAACAATTTTACATCATGTTTTACGAAACACCCCTCTGACTATAATATGGAATGCCCCTCCACAATTGCGTGCGCGTCGTGCATTCCACATTCATGGTCGCGCATACTGCGCGATGTCGCGCAAAACACAGCTGGGCTGGTGTAGTGTGAATATCGGACTATGAAATAATGATTCACTGATGTAGTATTGCGCATGCATACGTGGGGAATTTGAACGTTCAACCAATGAAACGTAAAAGGCACCAGATTTCATGGGAGTCCAAATTTCATGTGACACTGGGAAAGTGTTTAAGACCAGCTAGCCATATCTTTATCATCCGTTTAAGACCGGCCACGTGACGGGCTCTCGACCAATAGGAATGCGTAAACGGTCTTAGGTATTTATGAATGGTTGTTAATGTGTTTTGTTACATAAACAGTAAATTGTCTATTGATTGTACAAGTACATTCATTTTTTCTGAGTCATCCTTTGGGTTTTTTTTCGTTCATCAGTAGAATTTGGCATTATGTTACATGTGAACATTAATGCCTTCCATTCTATGAATTCATGTACATGTATGTTTACTAGTTTTATGGGTGATACATGCAATGGTTAAAAAAAAGTTAGAATCAAGAAAGGATGTTAGTCATCTTCCATACCACCAAGTAAAAAAAAAAACTTCTTCAAAGAAAACAGTTTTAAATGATGGTTAAGTTAAGCTCTGCCTGTTCAAGTATTCAGTATCTCAACTGCTTCAGAAGGCAATCTTCATACGTACAGACCTGAGCCCCAGTATTAGTGCAAATCCATCCTACTCGATGGAAGGAAGTCCGCCATTTTTAATTGCAAATGCAGATGAAAGGAATTTCATCAATCACTTTTGGCTGTGTAATGTAAATGTATGCAACACTAATTACAACGCCATCAGGCCGTCTCACCACAACAATTTACCTTATCTATTTATAAATAAAACATGTTGGCAGTTTGTCCTGCCAGGCACCAACTTACATGTATCGCATCAGGTCAGTTGAGGTGCACTCAAATTTACTATCAAGATACATATTGTAGTTGTCTGTGAAAAACCGTATGTGTCTGGTAATATTCCAATCATGCACGTGCAAATTGTGCATACTGACGACATTTTAAACTACTTGGATTAATATAATGAAATTATTTTTGCAATAGGCTCAAGTTATTCACGAGGCGGCCATATTAATTTAAAAGCAAAGTAAATTCTTCATTCTTGGAACTTGCGAATGGAAATGAAAGCAATGATATAAAGTTCATTACAAATTAATACCAGTCTGTTCTGATGGATACATGTACCGGGAACCGGTAAGTTAAAATTTGAGATTAAACATGCCCTTATCTTTTAAGCCACATTAAAACAAAATTGAAAGTGAGGCTTGGAAAGCATAAATGGTCTGGCACCATCCCATTCAACAGTTTACAATTTATAAAAGAGATTCAGGAAACACGATCAAAAATGGCTTCCTCGAGAGTAAGGTGTACTGCACCATTTTTGATGCACTTCAACATGTACATAGTACAATGCACATCTACCGATACAATGTAAAAGTATACTGGTACAACTTACAAGTACACATACGCATCATGTACAGTACCTTGTAAACATGTACATGTACATGTAAGATGTACATGTACAGACAGGTTTGTTTATGGTGTAAATCAAGGATTTTCTATTGTTCCTCTTCCCTTTTTAACTTTTTCACAACAGCTCTCATACATGTAAGTCTCATTGGTTTTGTACATGTTTTCTAATCGAGGTCGTCCTCGATTGAGTTTCTGTCCTCAATTCATCGATATTGCACGTGTGTGTCCTCGATTCAGACCATTAACACGCACCTGCACACATACATGTACACCCATACATGTACATGTATACATGTACATGTATACATGTACATGTACATGTATACATACCGCAACTGAAGGAAAACAGAGTTTAACTCTTCAAAACTTCATGTTTGTTTGTTTCTTCGTTTGTTTATTTGTTTGTGTTACAATGTCCCTGTACATTATGTAAGTTATTACAAATGACAACTGATGGCAGTTTGTAAAAACACAATTATTAGTTAGGCGAGCTGCACACACAATGGATGAAGGAATAGACATGTACGGTATACCGTACCGATACTCAAAGTTAAGCCAGGTTAACTGGGACTATTCTTTTCTAAATTGCATTATTTCCCCAAATTCAGTGCCCTCTGTTAACATCATTACAGTGCCTCCAGATAGAATGTTAAACCACAGGGCTAGTCTACTTGAAACGAACAAAGTGCACCATAAAAGAACCCTTCTAACACCATCTGGCAAAATTGTAGTTTATTTGGCATTTTCTCGGATTTTTCTTGCTGACTCTAGAATTGCAGATCTACATACACATTACAGCACTTAAAGGGAATATACAACATTTGCAAACATCGAAAAATAAAACTACTAAGTTTTTGCGAAATACCTTAATAGGATGTTGGTAAATGACAGTCTAAAGCATCCTGTAAAATTATGGCACCTGGTATACTGTCATTTTCAAGAAAAGTGGTATTTTTGTATCAATTTCCAACGCTGATTGGCCGATCAGCGTTGGAAACAACTGGCTTTTTTTTCAAATACTGGCCCCAATTGACCATTGCACTTGTTTGCAATCGATTACAAACCTATGAACGGGTAGGAGCCAGCTAGACTGGTTCCCTGACCTTACAATTCCCAAATGTATGTAAACTGCTCTGTTTCTTCTTATATGGAGTCAGGGAACCAGACTACAGGAAAATGATCGTTTTTCTTGGTTTTTATAGCATTTTCGAACCCAAAACCTCCAAAAAGTCAGTGTAACTATATTTGCTTTATATTTCCAACCCCCCAATTCCATCCATTTCTGAAAATTACAGCAAAAGCAAATGATGTATATTCCCTTTAAAGCAGAATATGCACGTGCCATAAATCCTCATAAAGGATTCTTTATACAAAGTTTAAATGCAAACCTTTTAATGTTTTGAAATTATCCTCACCAGAATAATATTAATAATTAAGTTGCAACCACCAGTAACAAACCTGTAAATATTAATATGTTGGTGATGATGAGTGTTAAAAGAAGTTAGTCGAGATTGTGTCTATTAATTATATGACGGTGAACAGGTCAATAGTTGTTTTGGATCAAATTATCCAACTGTGAAATATGTTACAACAGTAGTATGTCCTCATGCATTGCCATGATTGCAAGGCACAAAGTACTTACTTGAGGCGGCCCATGTTGGGATATTGCTACTGGAGATGAGTTCCCGAGATCCTGTTGAGTTGGCAAGCCAATCAGATTATCAGCGGACAAATATCAGAGCATAAAAATACATGATGTATACAGGACAAATATACGTATACACCCACGTACTGTGAGTTGGTGTACAGTGTTTGTAATATGTACGGTAACTTTACGCTACAATACACACAGTAAACTCTGCTCAATACTTGCAAGTTGTACCACTGCAGATTTGTGGGTTTATTTACACATACATGTACATACTACATTACATCAAAAAACCTGCGATATGGTTCACTGCATCTGAAAGTGTACTAGTTGCATCCATGTACATGTATGGTACATACACGTACATGTACATAAACTATAATTATGTACTAGCTCTATGTTCTAACCGTGTGATGCGCAAAAGTTGAATAGTACACATTCCAAACTGTGTGGGCTTGTCTGGAGAGTAGTCTGTACCACTACGTAAAATGGGGGTGCATCCTGACACCATTACAATTCTGGAAGAACTTTTGCCTTATAAAAGTAGACTAGATTTTTTCGTATGAGCGGTTTAATCCTCTTGTTGTCCAGCCCCATGAACCAAATTGGATCATTCCCATTCACAGTATCTGTGCGAGAATAACTGGCACCATGATGAACAGAAAACTGAATGGAAGTTATTTTATAACTTTTTTTGATCACCCCTCTGAAGTCCGATTAGGTAGGACCCACAACAAACAACTGAGTGAAAGTAAATCCACCCCACTGGGGGTCATCTTGTTGTGTCTCATGAGTGAAGTGTGGTCAGCTGCAGCGGGCTGATAGTAATCCTATAAGGACCCCACAGATGTACATGTACATGTACATGCACGGTATGTACATTGTACATTACATGTACATGTACATGTACATGCTTTTCTTTGGTGGTTGAGGATCATCATACCGGTACACCTTTTTCGGTATTGGGATATATGTGTACATGTATGAAAGAAAACCATGAACATGTACGTGTACGTACATGTACTGTACACATTTACATGTACATGTACACTATACATGTACATTTTTTTCATCATGTTGTACTTGTAGGCCATAAATTTGGTGAGTGATATAAAAACTGGTGTGCATTTGGATGTGTACCAGTACATGAAATACATTTTGTACATGTGTATAAATGTACCAGTACAATACATTTTGTACAATAATTCCTACAGTGCCATGCTTCTTGCAATTTAATCAATACAGCAACATAAGGTCCTTTTAGACAAGTGTACATGTATGTACCATACATGTACATACATGTACCGGTACACATGTAGTCACACCAAAGGGAAATACATGAAAATTTCTTTGAGTGACATTGAAAATCATAACAAATACGTTGCTGACATATTGAACTTTGCTTTGTTTTTGCAAGAATTACATACACATGTACAGCATGAACTTTGCTTACAGGGAATGTACAACATTTGCTTTTGCTGCAATTTTGAGAAATAAATGGATTTGGAGGATTTGTATGTTATAGCAAACATTGTTACACTGACTTGTTTCAAGTTTTGGGTTCGTAGATGCTGGAAACACCAAGAAAACCAATCATATTCTTGTAGTCTGGTTCCCTGACCCCACTTAAGATGAAATGGAGCAATTTATAGACTTTGGGGAATTGTAAGATCAGAGGATCAGTCTAGCAGGCTGCAGTAAAGAAAATGCAGACAAACTAAATATGAAAAATTGGGAGCACTTTTTGAAAAAAAAGCCAGTTTTCACCAACGCTGGTCGGCCGACCAGCATTGGAAAAATACAGTTTTTCTTGAAAATGTCAGCACACCAGGAGCTACAACTTTACCAGATGTTTTAGACTGTCATTCCCTAACAATCCAGTAAGATATTTCGTGATAATTTGATCATTTCGTTTTTTGATGTTTGCAAATGTTGTATCTTCCTTTTAAAATTGCAAGAAGTACAGGTACATGTACATGTATGTTTGTATAAACCTGCTGTAAACTTGTAATATTGTTAAAAAAAAAAATGATGTGACTTAAAATTGATGCGGAATTTAATAGGCCTACATGTATGTAAATTATGTTGTATTCAAAACTTTTTGGATCAGTTTCAATTACAATTCTCCACGCAAATAAAGTTGTCTGTATTCAACTCAAATTCATAAAAAAAAGTTTTGAATGATAAAGTATGCTTTCAATGTACATGTACTCAAATTTTCAAAAAGAACATAATTATCTGACAGAAACGTTTTCAAGTTAAAGTACTCTGTATCTTAATTAAAGATACAATGTAATGGACACCAATTTCAAGCATTCAAAGGTGAGATCACTGCGCCATAATTTCCTGGAAAAAATTGTCAATGGAAACAACATGTTTTGTGTTGAGCAATGTACCAGTGCAATATTTCAAAGACTATTCAAAATGTATAGGAGCTCAAATTTCGACAAATACGTTTTTTAATAATCTGCTTCAGATTTACAATGCATGGCAAAATGAGCAACCTAAAGTGTTGAGACATCTGCCTTCGGAGAGGAAGGGGGGCCGCGATGAATGAGGTAAAAAAAATGTCCCACTGCAGTGGTTGGAATTTCCCGTCTGTGCAATAAGGAACTTTATCCTGTCAAATTTAAATTCACTGCCACTACTGCAGCAAACCTGTAACCTGAAGTGACCCTTTTAGAGGAAACGTTGACAGTTCTATTGTCCATTTAGAATTACAAACGAGTTTGACATTTTGCAGCAGGCAACCACAGTTGACTGTGTCACTAACAGGCAGTATGAAACTATCCATGATTGTACATGTACATGTAGTTCTGAGTACTTCCTGTCCAACGCATTTGTGCATTTTGTATGAAAAGAAATTGGCAGAAATTTAATGGGTTTTTTTCGTGGCATTTTAATACTTCCTGTTTCGACCCTTGGAAAAAAATCACTAGTGTACACAAATCAAATGAGGAGGTACATTATTTATCAGGGGGCATACCCCCACCCCTCAACACAAAAGAAAAACCCTAAAGAACAAGAACAGCTACCAGTTAGGTGCAATTTATTTACAAAATGTATGAAGGTGCACAGAAACATGTACACACGTATCCATAATGTGTTCAGTATGAAACTTTAAATGCTTTCAAGAAATGTTACAGTTTTATGCAAATCAATCACATAACAAATTTTTTTTATGAAATTGACAGTGAGTGGCCAATGTATTTTTTTTTTTTTGTAAAAAAGTGCGCTAAAGCAACTGCCAAAGAAGGCATTTTAAAGTGGACAAGCATTGGCTCTTGTGCATGCAAAGAGTCTGCTTTTGTCTTCATTTGGCACATTCATTTGTTACATTTGTATACATTTGTATACATACATTGTACATGTAATACATTTGTATACAATACAGTGTACATATGTACCAGCACTGACTGAAAGTGAAAACATTTGCATGATGAATCTGACTTGATGACATGTTGCCAGCTGTTATGGATGCAGTAGCAAACACAAGCACTACAACCACAAAGGCGGATGAAACAACGGGAAATGGACCAACTGAACAATGTTTCTGTTGGATGTTGATTTTATTTTCCTGGTACTGTGGTAGCAGAGTTGGGAACTCTGACAAGCTTCACATGTTGTACCGTGTCTGATAAAATTTTAAAAAAGTGATTTTGTTTGGAAGTTGGAACCAGCAGGAAGATTATGAAATGTGGGTACACATGCTCATTTTGACACGATACTGATGCAGAAATAGGAATCTAATAATAGTACAAAAAGGGATTACATGACAGTGTCAAATACATGTACTGGTCAGTCATGTGTACTTGAAAATGTTCATTATGTACAAAACCTGTCTTGAAAATGGTTTGTACAGAAGCAATTGTAATTAACCTATCGCGGTAGAATCGCGTCAACGCAATTTGTGAAATATTGTCCAATTACATATAAATGGATGCAAAACGCACAAAATCTGAGACGTACACAATTCCATAGGGTTGTATAAGGGGCGTGGCTATAACTCACAAATAGCAATTTCATGGATGTTTCATAGTGATAAGATAGGACATTGTACATACATTTTCTGTACATGTACAATAAGTTACAAGTACGTACATGTACATGTTCACTAGTAGTGGAAGTACATGTACCGGAAGTACATGTACCGGCACATGTAAATGTACACGTGTAAAAGTTGAATAATCCTTGAAGCATGTACTTTGTTTTGCTACATGTGCATTCACATACATGTTCATGTTCAACTGTACGTATGTGTGGGTGTACATCTGTGCATACATTGTACAATGTACATGTGCAGTGTAGTAAACTACTTGAATAGGCCTACTGTTTTTGAGTATAACAGGAAGCTTCAACCATGGCAAGGAAAACCCCTTGTGCAGATGACATACATGTACTCCAACAAGAATGCACAAAATGACTCAGGGATTATTGACAATTACGACCACACACTGCATGCTCTGGGTGTTTCACTATGGTTGAGTCAGATTGTTACATAAATACTGCCAGGCTATACTGCCACAACAAGGCTGATGCATACTTAAACGGTGGTGTGATCAATACATTCACTGATTGTACGCTGCAGCGGAACGACTCCACCCTATTTGACGGAGAAAAGAGCGCAAAGTCCAAGGATGCTATCTACACACGCAATACGCAATGTCAAAAAGATTGTGTACTGCTTGGAATTATGATAATGAAACAGGCTTGAAGTTCTATAAAATTAAAACATATTGATGACACCCCGTACCAAGAGCAAAAGTGATATAAAATGTACCTGATATGACTTACATGTACACGTAAGGTGCTGTAAAAACCATTCAACACAAAGTTGAAATGATTGTGTACATGTTGTCCTGGAGAATTCTATTTAGAAAAGTGGGATTACATACATTTGTACTTGAATTACACACCTGTAATACTTATGTCATGAACTTCCCAATAAAATATTGGATCCCAATTTTCTGAGAATTGGACGATATTTCTGAGAATTAGACGATATTAAGGTAATACATGTATAGTAAGCATATTTTTGTGATTGATAGCATACATGTAATACAGATTGATGTTGCTAAAATGTATCGGCAATCGTCAGTATGGAATTCAAAACACCGGTATTCCCTCTAAAATGTGGCCAAATGTGTGCAAAAGCCCTTAAAAGGAAAATGAAAAGAGACAGAAATATCAGATAACCATTAACATTTGGTTAATGTAAATAAATTAGGATAACCCTATTTTGAAATGTCTTCAATTTCTCCCACCACTAGTCTATACTATTTAACTTATTATTTTAACTTTTCAACTATTTAACTACTAGTACTGGTCGGTATTCTTTACCCAGGGCATTGGCTAATTCAGTTTACTAATTTTGACGAAATGTAATATTTTCTTCCATCAAATAATCACAATTCTTTTAGCGGAAAGATTAAGCGGAAAGATTCCCATTTCTGGCCATCACTTGTCACCCTGGGCACAAACCCTATGAGACTGGTCTGAACATTTCTAAGTGTTTTCTCAGTAAATACTTCAACATTTTCCCAGCTAATTTTGACTCACTAGGGCATATTATCACTTTCTGATGTCTGATTGGTCACTGAAGGGAACAATTAGTGATGGCCAGATAGGGAAATCTTTCCGATTTATAGCTCTACTGCTAGTTTTCGTGAAATTTTCAGATATGTTTTGCACACGTTTGCGTATCAAAATTTGAACATGAAATTTCATGAAAATTAGACATCTGACAAAGGCAGCACTTTCTGATTAGCCTATAAAGAGGGTGAATATGGTTCTTAAGCAAAAATAAACTACAAACTAAGCTAAGGTCTAACTCTAAGCCTAAATGTGAAATCAAAATTTGACAAAGTTCAACATGTTTTTGTACATGGTGGAAGTGTGGCCTTTATTTATGGAGGTAGTCCAGTAAATTGGCCACATTTATGGGGCTAAGTAAGCTTAAGTAGGAGTAGACTGCGGTTCCATAGTCTAGTGATAGTAACGGTAATGACGGAGGGAACCGCACTTTAGCGCTCCACAGTCAGTAGAGCTAGGGCCTAAACTGGATACATTGGCAAGATTACCATGTGCGAAGTTCACTAATTTTCCTCTGTATTGACTAACAGTAACAAGCCCCCAGATAGCAATTTCATGTCATCAAAGTCAATTTGAGCAGTGAGAAAATACAAGCATTTTCTTAGAAAACACTTATAATTTTTCAGTCCAATCTCATTTTTTTTCATAGCAACATTTGTACACAGGGTGTTGAGTGAACTTCGTATACCCGTGAACGTGGCTATATACATAGCCACGCTTTAGTCTATAGTAAAAACACTCTATTGTGATCCGTGGTTACTAAAATGAAGTGACCGTTCTAGCCGAATTTCGGCTACATTTGACAGAATATTTGCATACAAAAATGAGTTGTACAGAAAATCAGCAGAATATTTTTTCGGCAGAATTATGAAGATGAAGAAAAATGAAAAAGATTGGAAAGAAATATGGCACATTTGGTTTGAAAAACCTTCATTTTTTTGAAAGATCCTTAAAACAAACCCTTGCACAAATGGAACAGCAATATAAACTGGGTGATTTGGCAGACTTTCGAAGTGGTATTTAGCAGAATTTTACATGGTATTACGGTCATCTGCAATTTAGTCAGGTACCAACTGGTGATACTCCTACCGTTTTGCGCATGCGGAAGTCAGGGTACCAGAGTATCATGCCTGGCTTTGATTTTTCGATCATTTTGAGAACATTCAGTGACAAAGTTGTGCCGTACTTTAGGTCAAATTTCTTGGCAATGACAAATCCAATACTCACGGAAATTCACAGGAAGCCCAACAAGTAAGTGATTCACCCATGGGCAAAATTATACATGGTTATATGTAGCGGATCAAAAGATAGAATGCTGTCGCTTGTATTTACCTGACGGTCGCGCGTGGCGTTGTATACAACGCCACGTTCACGGGTCTAGGAGTAACCCACATGGAAATCTTTCCGATACATTTTCTGTTAATTGGGAATCCCACATGTGCATACATCCATACAGCAAGGGTATTTAATATGATACATCACACATCACCACATATACAACTGCATACCATTCCATTGTACACATGTACACATCACTACATCATGTGCAATTTCCAAATGCTACGGACATGACGGACGTGTACCGTTCAGACAGTAGCGGTGCCATCGCAACGCTGTGTCAGCGAGAGTTCACCCGCATTTCGAAATGATACACGAATCAAACCATTACTAACCTTTTCAAATACGACTCTGTATTGAAACGTAATCCAGTATAATTTCCGTAATAATCCCTGAATCGTTACGGAGGCAGTGGAGAACGACACAGACTCGGTAAATGAGTCAAGGTGCGAGCGTGTGAGCTGTAAAATATGTGGCCAAACTACATGTATGAACGAACGTGAACTATCAACTGCTGAATTGAAGCCCGCCCACATATGGCAAAATGCTGCCAACCAAATCTTATGACGTAATGAGGTGATCCAGAGGCAGGTTTACCATGAATTTATGTGCTAAAATTTTCACTGAACAGTCTGTGTTATGAAAACGTCTTCGTGAAGTAAAACCCCAACAAAAGTCCTAAAAATATAATCATCTGCTAGTACTATATCAGAGATTGGTTTTGTATGCAAATGTATGGGCGGTCTCAGTACAAAGAGTAGCGACGCGATATCGGACACGTCATGCATGTAACGGGGGTTGAATGCATGATTCAAGGTTGTTTCATGCCATTGTAATGCGGCCTATTGTTTGTTCAAATACCAATTGCCAAGTTATCGGACGGGCAAAGTTCACATTCGACAGCAGTGAGTGTCTTGATGTGGGTTGGTAGGTCTATATTTATTTGCGAGGGGACTGTATACATTAAAAAAAAAAAGTTGGGTAAAACCCGATGATGGAATTTTGCAACAAAACTCCTTGTTATATTTTCTGCATGAGTAATATACTGAACGTACACAATGAAAGTTTCGTAATTTTTCAGTATGTGTAGGCCTAAATAACTTAAAAGTTAGTCATTGAAGGCCTTATGAGTAGCTTACTTTACAAGCGGTAAAGGTTTTGATTAACGCTGCTAGCTAGATTGTTTGTTTTTGTGTGTATCACCCTGAAAAAATTAATAGATTTCGCAAATCAGTAGCCTATTAATACACATACCCGTAAGTTTCTGACGAACTTACATCGCTCCCCGGTACGATGTAAAAGATAAATTAAAGTTCAAATTTTGTCGGCCAACAGAAGCTTCTCGATCCTAATTCCTAAACTTTTTCGGAAGACAAATAACGGTTTTTTGAATCTCCTTTTCCCCCCTTTTTTTGTCGTCAGTAATCATCCCTACTGGGCTGAAAACGGCCCCTAGGCCTATTAACCGTGTCGGGATCCCAAAATGTATCCGGTGAAGGGAAGCATTTGTTTATTTAATTAAGTCACTACTTGCATTCTGCAATTTATTGAAGTGCCTAAGGGACAATGGATACCACTGAGGTTTGTCAGAAAACTAAAAATAAATGGTAATAGTTTCAAATAATATCCTCCCAAAACAAAAACCACTTGAACTTTTAAACTTCCTTGGGGTCACATTTTAAAGTTGCGCTCCCCGGCCAGCCCGTGCTCTTTCCGAGTTTCACCCCGAAATACATATTTGTAATTGCTGTTTTTCTATACAGCATTGAAAAAGTTATCCACTTTTGAATGAGACACCGAATAGAAACATCCGCCCACGTTTATAGTTATGGAATATGGGGTTTAGCTTTTCCCATGTATATAAAACTTACCTTCTTGTGATCCGTGGACAGAACTTCAAAACGGTGGTTGTAATTCCGTAACTTGAAAAGTATACATGTACATGAGTGATTTGAATGATTCTCGTACTATAAGAAAGCTTATGAATTGGGCTTTCATATCCTAGATTTTGAAAGTGCTACATGCATAACTTCACTAAAACAATGGTCTCGACATTTGGGTTTCGCTTTTTTTTACTCACCCTGTAAAGTGCCCCGTCTGTCCGTGTGGCCTTTATCGGAAAAAAAATCTGTTGGGAAAAATTACAATTACTCTAGGCCTATCTTCGCTTCTTCTCTTTTGTTGTTGTTGAAACCAACTGTTATGAAATGTATGAAGCATACAGACAAAGTCCCCCCCCCCCGCTTGTGAAATGATAAGAGTACAGAAGTTTGCGGATATCTGTAGAGGGCGCACAATACTTTCTGCGCCAGCGGCTGTTTTGCGAACTGCTGCAGAACTCTTTGGACGAGAACGATTTCCATTTCGCTTGGTTTGTGCGAAGAATCAGCGATGGATGTGAATGTAGTAATGTTAAATATAAACAATCCTATGCTTATTTCATTGCTATATGATCCAATGACTTTTGTTGTTATTGAGCTGAGGGGTTGGGGCAGGGGTGGGGGGGGGGGCACAATCTAGCAGACGCTAAAAACATGAAACTGTGAAAACACTAATTTGTATCATTTTAATCCCGGTGGCGTAGCTCAATCCCCCCACCCCCAATACGCCACTTGTACTGGGCTCAAGACAGGCTAAACATTGACAAACTATAGGAGAGAATGTGCCATACAGTAAATACTTTATTTTATATTCACCTATATCTTAAAAAACGATAATTATATTATTAATGGAAATCGTAATTTGAAGTATTTTGAATTTGAGACCCATTGTAGTTGATTTTCCTTATAAACAAAATGAGCATGGATTAATTCTTAATTTTTTTTTATAATAATGACAGAGAAGATAAGACATTTACTCGTGAACAACTGTTTGTTAGGAAACTCCCCCCTTTTTCGGGGGGGGGGAGACCACAGTTTTAAGACGCACAACTAATTAGGAAACCCCAATGGGATGTAAATAATCGACCGTTTAATCGCCTTACGATATTGAAAGGTTGAGAATTCGGAGAAAACAATGACATACATTAACATCATCCTTGGATAGTTATCAGGTTTTTAAGCTTCTTCTTGTCGTTACATGTATTACTAATTACACATACCCTGCACAAATTATTAAAGTCTACCACATAATTATAGCAAAGCCCTTTCTTCTTGAAATTTATATCTCTTCAGTTTTACAACATACAAGACGCATATTTCTATGTTTTTCTGTACTTTTACCACAACTTTATTAATATTTCAATTCTAATTTCACTTAAAAGCCTTATAATCTATACAATAGCTTCTTTTTTTTTAGACCAAGACTGGTTTACTTCTGGACTTCGTCACCGTCCTGCATTTTTATAACTTGCTTTAAAGGGAATGTACAACATTTGCTTTTGCTGCAATTTTCAGAAATAAATGGATTTGGAGGATAAGTATGTTATAGAAAATATTGTTAAACTGACTTGTTTCACGTTTTGGGCTTGTAGATGCTGGAAAAACCAAGAAAACCAACCATGTTCTTGTAGTCTGGTTCCCTGACCCCACTTAAGATGAAACGGAGCAATTAATAAACATTGGGGAATTGCAAGGTCATAGAATCAGTCTAGCACTGGCTTGTACCCCTTCACAGCTGTGTAATCAATTGCAAAGAAAAGTCAGAATAACTAAATATAAAAAATTAGGAATAGTTTTTAAAAAAAGACAGTTTTCTCCAACGCTGGTCGGCCGACCAGCGTTGGAAAAATACAGTTTTTCTTGAAAATGTCAGCACACCAGGAGCCACGATTTTAAAGGATGCTTTAGACTGTCAGTCCCTAGCAATCCAGTAAGGTATTTCGTGATAATTTGATCATTTCGTTTTTTGATGCTTGCAAATGTTGTATCTTCCCTTTAATATCTTTAAAACTGTAAATGATGTTAAGCCTACTTCCTTTTACGATAATTAATTCTTGTCGTATAACATTCCAATTGTCCAGTTCAAAATTCAAAATGGGAAATGCAAAATTAATATTATTGCGCCATTTCCTATTTTTTTCCAATCAGATTGCTCTGAACCCACTCCACCGTGCCAGGGGCTGCATGAAACCTAGGTGGTCAGCGTCCGGAAGGAGGCCTCGAACCCGCTGCTTTGGTAGCTCTCGTCTGTTTTGAATCGGAGCGTCATCTTGTTGCCCAGGGAGACGATGGGACCACTTGGCAGGTCAGTGCCACAAACCCTGAACAAAATGAAAAATTGAAAATATCTTTTTCTTAGATATCAGTGACAATATCGTCGATTCTGAATTTGAATAAATATTATATACTCAGTTATCCAATTATGGGTACTACGTCTTTGAAGGGTCAGATGAAAGAACTTATGAGAGAATTATTGAAAGGGGCCAATATGATTTCAACAGGGCCGCAAGAAAAACAAAACTGCACCACTTTAGCTCTTCATGCGGCTGATGCGTTTGCTATGGATAGCGCCCTCTTGTTTCGTAGACATGACGGCGTCTTGAACCAAGGCTACCGGAACACTAATCAATGATTCGCAATCGGTCATGTTGGCCGAAAAAAACCCCTTTTTTTTCCTTCGTAAAACTGTCAAGACAAAACCATCAATTTGAGGAAAAGGCGAAGGGTGCTAGGGAAAGCATGTCTACATGGGTAGACCCATGTATGAAAGGAAGGGATGGTGGAGAGATGTCAACAGGCAAAACTTTTCTCATTTTCGAATAAGAGTGAAACATAATCGTTCGTACCATGCTTTTGTGTAATATGCATCCATACAAAATAATATTCAAAAATAAACAGAGACAAAGATATTTTATCCACGTACAGAATAAACAATAAAATGTATATAGCCGAATAAGGCTAATTTATGTAATATAGCCGATTGCTTTTCAGTCTGGCCGGTAAGATTCACCAACCCTCCAACCATCGGTTTCGTTAATTCAAACCGGTCAAGCCCTCAACTTACTTGAGCGATCGGACCTGTGTGGCGTCGCCACCGGTCAAGCTGATTTGCAGGGCGTCGTCCAAGCACTTCGTTCCCGGGGAGCCGACGTCCAACGCGGTGATGTCCAAAGCCACGCGAGAACCCTCGGCAACCTGGGATCATGATAGTTATAAAAGATTCGGCCCCAAATGACACAATACGAACTCTGGAACTTGAAGGGTGTGACAAAGTCACTGTGGTAGAATAATGTTCTGGACACATATTAGAGGAGGTTCTATGCATGGACAGGACATGGGACAATGGTTTATAATGTCAGTTTTGCATCCCACCTATATACCTGCACAAAAATGCATCTAATTTGGACGATTTCTTACTTCGGGGTAAACCAAAACTGTATCTGTAAATTTTTCATGGAAATGTACATGCGTATAGTTTGCGTATAGGCCTAATATTGGGCGTAACTGAGACATTACAAAATATTTTGAAGTTCAAAGCTGTCGAAAATGTGTAGCCTACAGATGTAGACACCAACAGAACTTTTCTTCAATTTGGTTGTTACCCAGACCTGTATGATTTTGCACGCATGCAGCATACCGTTTATCCAGAGAGGAACATAGTCAAATCTAGATGTTCACACGGCCAGATGGAATACCGAGCGGGTTTGTAAGGTGTTTTTATGACGTGTTTTGCCCCCCCCCCAAAAAAAATTGTTGCACGGTAATTCCCATCAATATACCTCAATTGTCCAGGTACAGTCTACGCTGTTGTCATAGTTACTGGGGTAGTTCGGTGAGGTGAGGCAGCCTGAATCCTTCAAGGTTCCGCCACAAGCTCCGCTACCTATGCGGGCAAACAAACAAAGACAATGTTGTATACTACGTGTAAAAAAAAAAACTATGCCATACATTCGATTCCAAATAACTCTGTTGTTTAGCAATGGTATAGTATTAAACCAATATTTCAGATCATGTAAACAAGGCTGGAGTGACTTTCATCAGTTTTGTGCAAGAGGGTGAGATTTAGACGCCATACGAAAAAATACTCGCTTTTAGAATGTCGATACAGCGCTGGAGACGGTGGCGGAAGGCGCGTGTTGCGAGCCGAAAGCTTCTGAAGGAATGCAGGATCACCCCTGATGCCATTGCACACCTCCTCGATCGTGTGTTGCGCCAAACGATCGTGTAGGTGTGCAATGACATCAGGGGTGATCCTGCATTCCTTCAGAAGCTATCGGTCGCACTCGCACCACGCGCCTCAAGTTCCGCCACCGTTTCCAGCGTTGTATCGACATTGGGGGACGCCAAGTCGAAAGTGGCAGATTCTGAAAGTGAGTGGTTTTTTTTTCGTATGGCATTTAAATCTCACCCTCCTGCACAAATTTGATGAAATCGCTCCATAAAATGTGTCATGCCTTGTTTACATGATCTAATTTTTTTGTTTAACTCAACTGGTAAACAACAGAGATATTTAGGATCAAAAGTAGGACATGTTTTTTTACACGTATAGTACTAAGTATCATTAGGCACATCTCATATTACGTTATGGGTAAGTTTATTGGCCATTAGGACTAAATGTTGAATCCTTAACCCCCCCCCCCCAAATTTAACTGCAATGTGGCATCTGAAAAAAGAAAAGAAAACCACATTCGTTTCACGAGAAAGAAAACATCCGTATCTCATGTTTTCGATCCACAACTAAATGAGAGCAAAGCTGAACGCACATGATGCAGAGCCCGATGGTTCGTCGATGACGTAATTGGCTGCGAAGCCCCGACAGGCGTACGACACGTCCGTTGTCAAGACGACCATCATCTCATTGGATGATGATACCTGGACGGGTGGAAGAGTCGTCCCGCAGAACCTGAGACAAAGAAGGTATAGTTAAGAAAACAGAAAAAACACGGTGAGAATATTGACTAGCAGATATTATAATGCGCTCTTTCTAAAGAGAAATTATACCAATCATAACTTTATAGAAAGAATATCTTTGCTTCAGAAACGGAGTTTAAAATTATAAATTAGAGGAAGAAAATGAGATATCTCGTTTTCCCCTAAACGAACGGTTTGTTTCTTAAGTTTACGATCGTAGTAAATTGTGATAGGAAAATTAATCAATTCAAGTCGGCAATAACTCAACTTTAATAACAAAGATGATTTATGGTCTTCGAGATAATCTCGATTCTCTCGATTGGCGAAGAATCCATTCTTATCGATTCGATTTAGTAAATGTATAGGTAACGGAAACCATTTGTAATCGTTCTAGAATGAAATACCCAGAAAATTAATAGGAAATATCGTATAATTATTGATTGTAAGTAAATAATATGATCAAGCATCCTGTGAAATAGTTTGGATTAGTATATGCTGTCATTTTCGAGAAAAGAGGAATTACCATCACTTCCTCACAACGGTTAGGATAAAACCGTCGCGAAAAAAAACCCACGTTTTTTTTAAGTTTCAAGTTTAATCGAAGATTCGAATAGAATGAAGTCAACGGTTGGATTGAGCCGAATGCAAGTCAAGTGCAATATAGCCGAACTGAAGTATAGCAAACGGTTTAGAGTAACTGCTCGAAGTGAGTCAAATTTAAATAAACGAAGTAAAATCTGTTGACTAGAGCCCAATTAAATGTCGTGTGATTTAAGGAGAACTTAGTCTTACTTCTGGTCGTCAGCGAACATGCTGGTGGTGCGAACGGCCACAGAATCCCAAGCGCATGCTACATCATCCTCAACATCCATGAATTCAAAAGTGAGCGTGATGGTGGATCCTGGCTTCCCCTGTATAGTGGTGTATAATGGTCAAGATAAGACAACACGAACTCGTCCAAGTATTGAAACGTCTGTCTTGTTTTTCGGAAAACAAAACATAGGATCATTTGCATTTATCCCAAAGTGTTTACCTACCGAATAATAAACAAAAAGCTTATTTGGATTCAAAATCGTACTGGTACTAAGGGCGGATCCGGGGGGGGGGGGGGCAACGGGGACCATGCCCCCCTCCCAAAAAACCGAACCCGATTTTTATTATTTTTTTAAGTGACGTCACAATAACGGCAGGCACTGCGTATATCACCATCTTTTCTTTTAAAAAAAAATTGTTGAAGTGGTCAGAAATTGCCTCAGATCGCACCACAGAGCATCTAGAATACCCCCAAAAATTCGCGGCCCGTAAGCAGGGTTTGGGACAGTTTTCTTCGGAGTGGTGTTATAATATTGGAAACAGACAAAATTCACAGTCGAAAATCATGATTCGAAACGCCGTTGCCCGTCTGATTTTCAGCTGTCTTTTCAGCCTTTCCAAGAAGCGTATGCAGGTTTAAGGTCCTGGGAAATGGATAATTTTTCTGAAAAGCGGGGGCCAGGGGTGGGCGGGGGGGGGGGGGGTGGTTGGAGTTTTGTGACGTACTGGCGCTTTAATTTTCTTAAAAGAAAATAAATCGCAGAACGGCTGCTCCTCGCGAACTGTGTGACACTGACAGATTGGTTTTTAACAATTAAGTCATGTACTAATAAATAATCAGTGGCAGATCGGAAGAGGGGCTGGCGACCCCCACCCCTCGCTCAGTCCGGCACTAAAGTTATGGTATTAGTAAAATGGGGCAAACATAATAAATGGAATGCTAAAGTTCTATACATTCCTAAAATACCTTAGAATACAGGAGGAATCATCGTACATTTTGAAAATTTCCTGTGGACATGCCCCGGACTGCGGGGTGTACCGAAGGCATGCCTTCACTCAACCCCTCCTTCTAGCACTTCCAACCCCCGGTTCCGTATGGCTAGATCCGCTCCTGTTAATCTGTCCCAAGGATTCATTATTATTATTTTTTTTTAAAGGGATGCAGCTTTCAAAGTCCGCATGAGCCACCTCTACACACTTCCTTCCCCCATCATACCTTGATATACCAGGCGCACGTCAGTCCATTATCGTAATTGGAGGGATAGTTGGGCGACTTGATGGAGCCGCCAGCCTCGGTCAGCTCGTAGCGACACTTGGACAGGGAGGCCGAGTTGTCTACTTCGCACTGGGCGCCGGTGTACCCTGGCGGGCAGGTGCATTTGCAGGTGCCCGCTATCATCGCCTCGAAGCCGCCGTTCTTGCAAGACAAACTATCGCTGCAGTCAACTGACGAAGTGGAAAACAAAACAAGAACGAGAACTTGGCATTTGTACTGACTTTGTCATATACACTTTAAACAAATGGTAATCAGGTGTTTTTTTTAGTATTTGAGATAGTCCGATTACGGAAAACTCATCATGCGCTTAGAACTTTTATTTTTCATTTTCCACCAAGTTGAATCCCATTAAACGTTCACCGTTGCACCCACCTTTCTGAACCCTATAATGTATGGTGGCTTTGAAGGGACATCGCAACTCGCGAATGCTGACGTCGATATTCGCGATTTGGTGCAAGTCGTGAATTTTTGTCGTGAATATTATTGACGTCAATATTCACAATTACAACGTCCCTTCGGCCACAAGTGTACTTGCAGCTGTTTTCCAGTCAACTTTCACGTTATTTTACTGAAACTGTGTGCGCTGAACGGGCGTCACCAAACCATCAGAAACGGGGGGGGGGGGGGGGGGGGGGGGGGGGGATGTTCCTACAAATTTGCAGCCAGGCTACTCCGTGCAGGAAGGTATTGCCAGAAAATTTTCCGGTTCGCGTCACCGCCCCCAAACTGAAGAGTTGGAGTGGAGGGGCCGGGTTGGGGTTGGGGGTTGGGAGGGGTGACCATCGGACAACTAACAAACACAAGAAGCCAGATACTACAAAACAACGAAATACAAACGCGCATGGGCGTCGCGAGGGGGGGGGGGGGCAAGGGGGGCACTTGGAAAGCCCCCCCCCCAAAAAAAAAAAGGAAGAAAAAGAATAGAAAACAAAAGAAAAGAAAAAGAGGCGCGAAGACAAAGTGGTGTAAATTTAATGAGTTGGGGGGGGGGGAAGGTCCCTGCCCCCCCTCTAAAACTGATAAATCGAGAATGTGTTGAGAAATACAAGCAATTTTTTGCTAAAAAAAATTGGCCCCCTCTAGAAAAAATCTTGGCGACGCCCATGCAAACGCGTGCTCGAAACGTAAACAATGTTTCTCGAAAATTAACTAAACTTCAACTACTCAAACCACGCCAACATTATCTTGCTAGACTTGACACTCACATATGCATTCGTAGATGATATTAGCAAGATAGACGTCGTAGAAGGAGAGGTAGTTGCGCTGGCCGAGGTCAAACTGATCCAGGACATTTTTCGTGGTGATTGTCGGTTGCCCGTTGGACGAGAAATACTGCAGACAGAGAAGAGAAAGTAGATTACCCCTAAATCTGAAGCCCATCGTCATTTTGATAAATGATGCCTACGCTGGCTCCATTGCAATATTAGGGCCTACTTTCATCAACATTTCACAAAAATACAAGCGGCTTCTATGCCCTTCTATATCTTTTACAAACCCTCTAGTTCTGGCCCACAAACGTTCTAATATAGCAGAAAAAAATGAAGGGCATTCAAATCGTGATTTGGCCGGCGTAGGCAATTTAGGCCTATATTTACCGGCCTGCAACCACCTAGCAAGAGGAACATACCCGTGTATTATAGTGCATAACGGAGGTCGGGTCGTACGGCAGACCGTGAGTCAAGCTTTCCGTGTCCGCCTCGTACTTGTCAAAGTTCTCCGCCAGACCCTTGCGGACGTTCTCGTACAGGATGGCCACGTAGTCATCCCTGTCCGATCGGGACTGTTCGTGGTGGAACCCCATCGCGTGCGCTATCTCGTGGGCTGCTGTGCCGAGCTGTGGAAAACAATAGACACCAAGTAAGAAAAGGTGTTTTCGAAACCCCGGCTATGTCTCAGTTCACCTTCATGTCGGGCTTCAAAATCGTTTAGAAGAAAAATCCAGGTGGAGACAATTTCAACCTTGTCCCTTTTATTATAAGATTTAATGTTCCCAATCAAAACAATGACCTGTATAAAATTTTAAATGAGGTTCACCAAATCAGTGGATAAATGTCTCTCTCTAAAACGAAATCGAGAACTAGAAATCTCCATAATACACGTGGCATATAAAGCAAAAATTAAACTGTAGAAGGCAGTGTCCCTCAATTTTATACAGTATACAGATGGACTGACTGACAGACCGACCGACCAAACGAAAGAATATTTCATGTTTCGGGTCATTGCTTTGATGTAAGAAACGTTGTTTTGGTTCTACAAACACGTCCCAGATTGTCACAAAAACACATTTTGATCCTTTTTCTCATGACTTGTGATGAGAAGCGCCCTTATTGCGCTGCTTTGGGCTTATAAGAGATCGTATTGCATGGCAGTCAGCTTTAAGGTGCGAACTTTTGTTTCACTGATAATCACATCACAATTGACCTCTTTCGCATTCAGTAATTGTTAATGAATTGAAAAACGAAAAGCACCTTGAAGAGGGCTGCTCAGCGCAAATGAAGGTTCTGGAAGCTTTTGCGTTTTTGTGTGTGATTATCGCGCCAAAGATTTGTAGAGTAGGCCTACGTTGAATGTTGATCCTCAAAAATTGAGACAGAGTGCTCTATAGTCTTGATTTCAGTCACGTTTCTTTTCGAAAACTTTCATGTGCTCTCACTGGCGTTGTATAGAAATTGATTTCCAACAATACACAGAGTTTCACAAATGATGCTTTGGCTGATAATTCGATGGCATTATTCACGGCTTAAAATTTGCAATGCATGAATTTGAATTCTCCTGACCTAGACATTTGAAAGATGTTGAGGAGGCAATAATCAAACACAAAATTTGCTATTCTCTGGACGAACGTCATCTTTAAACTTACCACGGTGCAGCCTGACCCAATGGAGATATCCTGGGCCCCAGTACCTTGCTTGCCAATATAACTCCAACATCTGAGGTATAGAGCACAATAATTCCGGCACTACTATGTTTTCCATGCATAAACTTAAAGGCATGCATATGTTTATGATCATTTGCATTTCACGCATTTTGTTCGTTTCCAATAATTTTGGAAGCCCTCTTATAGCACCCCTTGGGTACCCTCTAAATTCCAAAGAGTGAAAATTCACTCCCTTCGAGTGAAGATTCACTCCCACAGTCGGAAACTAGGGACAACACGTTTTAGAGTGAAATTCCTTCAATCGAAACGATCGAGTTTTTACTCGAGCTTCGACTTAAGCGATTCTTTTTTCAAACTTTTTCAATCTATGAGAGTGATTTTCACTTTTAAACGTCTAGTCCCTAATGTCACTCTTTGGAATGTAGAGAGTACGTCACTGTCATTTACCCAATTGTACCCACTCCAAAAGGTTAACACATCTCACTGCCATATAGGTTTCCCTCTCATCCTTACCCATCTCCCTTCATGAAGCTGATGTAGTCCTGATGTCCCAGCCCTAGGTCACTGCTGTACGGCACAAATGTGATGCATGTCTGAGACTCCCATAAGTCCATTGCATTCTCGATGGCTGAGCTATCGCCAGCTGCACAATAATAATGAATTCCAATTATTGAAGTAAATTTCATTAATTTCACCAAAATATGGAGCTCTATCTATATCTGCTCAACTTATAATTGTGGTTCAAAGTCTGGCATTCCTTGCTTTGTTAGAATTGTAACTGGTGAAGTTTTTTTAATGTGCTTAAAGACGTATGCCCCTAATGTTCTAGGACTATTTTCGAGTTTCACTCCGAAAATAGATGTTCTTGAACAAATCACTTTTATCTCCTATCGAATTTTGATCTTGGTACATGTATATATTATTTTGACGAAAAATTGTTTATTTTCAATTTTTGGTGTCCACCCCCCCCCCCCGATAAAGAGGCTTTTATTTTGTTTTTTTGGGGGGCGCACAAACAGATTTTCCCTGCGAGTAGACTGATTCCCAGTCCCCGCATTATCGATTCTAAAAGGGGCGGGAACCAGACTATCTTGCGACAAGTATTCAATTATTTTGTGAGAACGCAAAAGATTTCCAAGTTTGCAAAGTATAATAATGAATCCTTAACTAACGCCGGCTGATTCTTTTGCTCAATTTCTCATTCAAGAGTGACTGCATGAGTTTTGTATTATCATTACTTATCATTACTTATTTAAAAAACCAAATCTGTTTTAGGGATTAAACTAAAAAGACAATCTTAACTTATCGACACTGGCGCACCCAGTTCCCCCCCCCCCACCGATATCGCTCCGCATGGGGGTTGCAATATGGCGGACTGTTACTTCACTTTGAACAGCCAATGGGCTGTCCAGATGTTTTTACCTGGAGTTTAGTGATATCATACCTGAGGAATCCGTGATGACGTAAGGAATGATGCCATTAGGCCAGCGGAAGTTGGTGTTGGCCATGGCCTTACGCCTCTGTCGCCCCGTCTTGGCGTCTTGGATTCTCTCTTTGACTTCGTTTTCATACACACCAAGTTTCATGTCTGACTGGAAGGTTCCTGCGCTTACTTCAGCCTCTGCAGGTTCGCCTTTCTTGGTCGCGGCCCTGCCGTCACCGGCTGACCGCTAGGACATCAGCCAAGCGAAATAAAAAATACATTTCAATTTAAATCGCAATCGACAAAAAAGGTAACATTTGCAATGTCCTCGTGCAAACGGAATTGTTTACCTGACGTGGATGTCGACATTGTCCCATGATGCGCTGCGAGAAACTCCTCTGTTTTGGAGGATTTACCTTTGTACAGTGTGTCCCAGGAAAAAAATTCCTGGACAAGTCAGCTGCCATATTCAAACAAATGTTCCTGTGAGACTAAATTTTGTTTGTGTTTTTCATGCTGTTGAGGTTGTTTATTGCCTGTGGAAAAATAAGCTGACTGAATGGATTAACAACTTTTAAAGCCATGACTACAAACGTAAGACCTCCACAAAATCGAAATTGACACTTTTTGCGGCATTAGCTTGTGCTGGTAAATTAGTAGAGAGAGGGAGATCACGAGCCTGTATCACACACGAATACATTTCACCTTAACACAAGAAGAGACTATGTCTTTCTTTTTTTTCTTTAAATAATACATGTACTGAATCTAATAAAGACAGTCTCACCTACTTTGTTTAGATATGGCCGCTGATTTGTCCGGGCCCGCTTTTTCTGGGACAAAACACTGTATGCAAATCGCTCCTACAGAGGAATTTCAAATTCAGAGCGCTGTCTTTCGTTGAGAGGATTAAAAAAAAAGTCCTCAATTCATACAATTTCAATACTCAAATAATGTGCAGATTGCACGACTCTATGGACCCTTTTTGCGTTATCTCTATGCAGGTCGCTATGTTCTAACGGTCAGTTTGTCTCGCTCTTTCAACTCCACTATGTATAAAAGGGTTTACGGGACCGTTGTGTTGCATTCCATGCAAAGAGCGAAATGAAAGGGGAATATTGTCAGTACATCAAGAGTCCTGGAAGTAAAATGGAGGTGGCGGAACATCCAAAGGAGAAAGGTTGGAATCGTGTGGTTTTATTTTGTACCGCTGGGTGAGCTGCTGCGACAGCCAACAGCCGTAGACACAAACGACACACAGTCTAACACTATAAAATCTTATACACAAATTGCAGAACAACGTAAGTAATTTCGAACTACCCGCTAATCTTACCTTGTCCACGGCATAGCCCGAGACCCACCCAGACCAAGCCAGCAGGCAGAGCAGAGCAACCACGGAGACTCTCATTCTAGATACCCGTCCCTATCAGTCCTGCACGGTACCTTAACTTGAAACTTCTTTATTTACTGAAACCAAACAGCTATTATTACTGATCACCGCCGCTCAGAAACATCGGCGATAGAAAACTACTCTCTGTCCTTCCAAAAGCGAATCTTAAATATGTGCCCTAAAACAACGGGTGTGCTGGAAGGATGATTTTTGTTTTTAATCGCGAGTATGATATATTTCCGAGAGAAATTGTTTTTTGCTCCTCGACGAGCAATCTCGACCTTGTGTTGGAGTGTGCAGAATTCGTGATAAAGACCACTCCCTGCTGAAATTATATAGCACTAGAGCCAGGCTGACAACACTTGAGATTAATGACACTTTTACCAAGTTGACTAAGCTTTATTAAAGAAATAATCAAATTATGATAGCACTCAGCTACGGAATGATGCACTCGGAATCTGTTAATTAATTGAGATTAATTCCATCGGATTTAATTCATTTCTCGGGGTTATAATTATGATATCCGTTAGAACAGCAGGGTGGGTCGTTACAAGTGCGATTTTCAATAATTTTACGGAAGAATGGAGAGTTCATTAAAATGTCAGCCAATCAAAATCACAGCAGGGCAGATAATCAAATGGTCAACCATATTTTAATATAACATTTATTGTTTACTTTTTTTTAAATTTCTTTTTATTAAAACAAAGGATTAGGCTCAAAAGTGCGCGTCTGTGGCCATGTAGCTTAATTGCAAGCCCGAAGAAGGCCGATGAGAGAAGAAGGATAATCAATAAGGAATATTCTGGTAAATCCAATGAATAAGATTGGGATTGAAAATCCAATCAAACTGTGGACCTTGCCGCGAAACCTGGGCCATTGAGGTGGCAGGTGAGGATAGGACCACAACGCCAACCTTTGGGTTTTAAACCCCCACCCCCTTGGGCTGCACACAAAAATTATCTATCAATTCTCTAAAATATGCTCCAGTATGCTGGAAAAGGCAACTATTTCAAAATTGGAGCAATGGAGCATGCTCTCCAGGACTCCCTCAGCAGGAACGTGCCTTTGGCACACAAGTGCGCTTTCGGCACCCGTTCACTAGCTCCCCCCTCCGGCTCCTTGAGCCAAACATTGATCCGCCCCGGCAAGGGATTAGGCAGGCATGAGTGAAGTTGTCAGTGCGCTGGAAACTGTCGCACTCCTCCATTATTAACAGTACAAATAGCATTACGGTGGCTGTCACTGCACCCAAGATGAGTTCACTTTAGATTAAGGAAATTGTATGATTCACTCTCTGTTAATTTTCAAAGAGTGAAACTAGGTACCTGACGATTTCTAGTGAAAATCACTCCAAAACTCGATTGAAATACTCTGAAAAATGGGTCAATGCAGTGGAAACTTGCGTGAAAACTCGATCTATTCGATTGAGTGAATTTCATCCTAAAACGCCTGGTCCCGGTATAGTTTCAGTCAGTGGGAGTTAATTGTAGCTCGAATACAGTGAATTTTTACTCTCTGGAAATCAGAGAGTCTGAAGGAGCATTTGCTTGGCTACTTGGCACCCATCTCAAAAAGCAACTAATGGAGCAAAGATAAAAAAAGCACTGAGAAATGAAGAAGAAAAAAGTATCCGAACCAATCAGTGCCGCGGCAAGTATGGTGGTCACTCCCCATTGGTCAAAAGTTATTCACGTCACTCACTATGATTAGACACGTACCAGTGCAAAGATACAATACACATCCCACTGTTCTTAATCGAAGCGAAAATACATCTATTTCATGAAGAGGCTCATATCACAGGGAAACAATGGTTTGCCATTTACAGCTCAATTATTCAAACACAAGGCCAAGTGGCCTATGCTCCGAGACAATTTTACGCATGCTCATTTGCACATTACCCTAGTCACGTCCCCGTCGTTCACAAACTCAATTAACGTCTTAACAAAGATATGGATTATTGGTGACCACAAGATTTTGTTTTAGGGGTGGGGAGGTGACACAAATATGTTGTCCTTGTTTACTGCATAAATACGTCAACTCTCTCAGTTCAATGACATCAACAAATCCATATAAAAACGACGCCCAAACCAGTCCCCGTAATTCTTGTTTATTTGAGTATACTCGAACTCCTATTCTAAAACGCGATACCTCTCAACGTCATGGGGCGTGTTCTTGCAGTTATGCTGGCCGTCGCTTTAGCCGTCCTCACCGCAAGCTGGCCGGCCGTCTACGGTGAAAAGCCGGTGCCGGCCACACCGTACGTCCCACCGTTACATTTCAAGAGAAGCTTGGGCCTGGCGGACGACGAGGCAGTTATGGAGCGGTTGGCTCGGGCAATGGATCAGAGCCACTTAGTTTCCCGAAGTCAAGGTGATTTTTTTTCCCAATTTCGTCTGTTTTCAAACGTACACTTTTTGCAAAAATATAATCTTACTTCTTTCCCTGCGTGGCATAGTTTTCAAACTAAGGGGGAAGGAATGCGATAACAGTTATCGCTATTGATATCAATCATTGTGATAAAATCAAATTATATTTTCGTTACTTAAGTTTTATATTTGTGATATAATAGGCCTATCACATCGACGTGTTACAATATTACAACTATGAATTTAAAGTTGTTCCACCCCTGATCTTAAACATATTCGATGCTTTTTTGTTTTTTGTTTTTTGTTTACGAATTTTTAATTTGTAAGTTTTATTTAAACGGACATTTTCAACCCTCTGCAAATATTGTTTTTTTTTATTATCGCTTTTGCGCCCATAACGCACAAAAGACACGCTTGAATTTTGTCGGCCCGCAAAATAAGATGAAATATGTAAAGTAGCCTAATTATCCCATAACTCAACGCTCGAAGTCTCATTCAACGTGAATAACTTTTGTATTCCCAAAAAATGGAAATTTAAAATCACAATCTATTTTTGGGTTGAAACTCGAAAATAGCACGGGGAGAGCAATACACGAAAAATAATATTAGAAATTTGACTGCACGTTGAATTTCGATCAACCTATTTCTATCGTCCACTTTTTCGTGTTCACCCTATACCTATCTCTATACGTTCTCGTGCATGTTCAGCTCGAAGAATGATAATTAAAACAGGGGCGGATCCAGTTATTTTTGCAGGGGGAGGGGTGTCAGGCCCGTCAGAGTATGAACCAGAAAAATAAAGGTTTGGAGTACAGAAGGATTTTGACGAATTCTAAGACCAGTTTTTTCCTGGTAAGGTTTTCCCTGAAGATCAGTTAAAGCCACATAGGATCTTGTGCATTTACCTATATCAACTTTAATCAAAAAGTTTACTCGGTTTAGAGATAGTACTGGTACTAAGCAACCCATGAAATTATTCAGTCTGGCTTGCTGTCATTTAGTAGAAATCAAGAAATATAGGTGATTTCCATCGAACAGTCAATTGACAGATTTTTGGAATATAAAGCTATTGATGAAATCGTGTTTCGCGATCAAAAGGTAACCGTTTTCTGAAAAAGTGTAATATCCCTGTATGCACCGAGCTGAAACTTCAACAGCTTAATATGTTTTGAACATTCTTCTTTGGATTTTGAGTGGTGTTATTTTTGGAAACGAACAAAATGCATGAAAAGCAAATAGTGCTATATGCCTTTCAGGTCTTCCATTGTCGATGTTGTAAGGGGTCGCTAGGCAGACATGCATATTTGTTTTTCACATGTTTGTTGTGATTTTTTTCTAGCAGGTTGTGGTGGCAGCTTGAGCGGGAGTGGGGCTCTCAATTCACCGGGGTATCCGTCCGAATACCCCAATGACCTCCAGTGCGTGTGGACCATCAAGGTAAACATTTAAGGACATATAGGATCATTTGCTTTTCATGCATTTTGTTCGTTTCCAATAATATCACCACTCAAAATCCAAAGAAGAATGTTCAAAACCTAACCTGAAGTTTCAGCTCAGTGTTTGCGCGAAAACAGTGGAAAACCAGGCACAACCTTAGTGATCACGAAACACGATTTCGTCAAGTGCACTCTTTAGACCTATTTCCAAAAATCACTCAATTATTGACTGATCGTTGAACATCACCCAGGCACATTGCTTTCAAATGACAGCAAGCCAGACAGAGTAATTTCACGGGGTGATTAATACCAGTATACAATCATTAATCCAAGAAAGCTTTTTGATAATAATTCAGTAATTTACTTGTAATTATGCCAGCAAGGACTTCTGAAATTGATATGCTTATTATTATTTCACTCATAATTTTCATAAAATTATGACATATTGTGGACAGTCTGTTGGCAAAAGGAGCACATGTAATTTGGCAAGGTGGACTGATTTTCTACATAACAATGATCATTTTCAACAGTCTCTCATCAAAGCGGATCTGGAAAATCTCAAGTGATGAGGCAGAACTAATATAGCCGTCTTTTTACATGTAGGCCTGTGCGCGTTTTTTGATCCGTTACGAATTCGTTGCGATAGAAACGGACACGCAACGTATACATGAAGAGGGACGTGTGCTATATTATGAGATCGATTTTTCATGTCAGTAAAAATTAAACTCGTAATACGCAACCTCGTCCCTAGTGCTTACTTTATTTTCATCCTCGTTTTCAATAGTAAGCCCTGGATAGGAAACGTTCTTCATGTATCCTGATTCGATACCGCAATTGGCTAGTAATGGATTTATATCGTGTACTTGGTGTTGTTATTTCCAACGTGCATTACGTGTTTTCACGATCATTGTATTTATAACGTCCACGCCTTCTCAATTTGCAATTTATTAATTTGAAATGTGATACTGCATTTCGGCGGGATAAGATTGTAACATTTTAAACAATCGTGTTTTCGTAACTCACGGCGCGACAAATTGATTCTGTCTTTACCCCAGACACCGCATACAAAAACAAACGCTAATGTAACGCACAAGCAGGCACCAACCTTTTCCTCATTTGCATACGTGTTCAAAAATTTTGCGCATGCAAATGATCCAATACCAGGTAAGAGAGCAGGCATCGGTGGGAGCGTACTGCTCGACACCCTGGGGACGAGGTTGCATAATACGCAGCGGTAACGAATGGGTGACGGATAAAAAAAAAGCGCAAAAAGGCGGCTTAATGGAACAGAGTTTCACAAAGTAGAATCGGATCTAGGAAGGGGGATTGGGGATTGTACACCCCCGGCACGCCTTCACTCAACCCCAGCCCTTCATATCAAAAGCTAGATCCTTCTTGAAAGCTAGATCCGCCCCTACTAAACATGCTGCTCGTTCCAGCGAGTTGCAAAATGTTCCAAATTGTAACATAACTCCTGATCGGTTCAAGTTCCTTTACATACGTCGATGGTCCCCCGTTTTCTCCTCACAGGCACCGGTTGGTCAACACGTAAAGCTGACAATAGATGACATGGAGATTGAGAACCAATCATTTTGCGCCTGGGACCAGCTATTCATCCGAGTGGCCAATGAAATCGTACCAGCTGTGTAAGTTCAACTAATGTAATGGGTTAAACTGAGGTCCAATTTTCAAGGGGCAGGGGGAGGGGCTTCATTTATTTTACAATGAAAAGTTCATTTGTGCCTTCACCCACGGACCTCCAATGCGAGGGGGCGTCCCATATTCCCCATCTTTAGTCATGCCACCGAACTAAAATTACATCTTTCTTTTAAATAACAAAAATAGTTGTATTTATTCTTGGATAAAAAAAGGCGACTTTTTTATTTATTTTTATTTTTTTTATTTTTTTTTACCGATAATGGGTCACTAGGGGGACATTCCCATAGACTTGTGCACAATTTGTTTTCCAACTCTAATGACACCTAACCCCAATTTTACCTTATCCTCTACCCCACAAAATGTTGGTATTTCTTTTACTAATTGGACCACGAGCAATCGATCTAGCCTATTTGCGACACTAAAATTTGGCTCTAATTAGAGGGCTGAGGCATTAGGGAGACATTGAAATGTCTCCCTAATTCCACGTCTCCCAAAGGTATAACTTATGACACTAAAGTGTCCCCCAAAGGTCCTATTTGTGTTTATAATTGTAAAAATAATAAAAATTATAATCTTCGTTCAAAAGTAACATGCTTCATATCATATACCAATCATCGGAAACCATTAACCCAATTTTGTTAACAAAAATATAACGAGAACTTTTTTCACCATGCACCCTTGAGCACGGCCATGATGAATGAAGCAATCAATTTATCTGGTCCAACAATGCAATTTCCAGTTTTGTCGGGAAGATTACCTCAATTATCTTGGCCGTAATCAGTGGTGCATGAAAGGAATAAACTTAATAATTATTACTTCACACAATGCTCAGGAGGTCAGCACTCAACGCAATGAAGTAAAAAAAAAATAGTAAAAATCCCTCGTTTATATCATATTTTTCCAAAATTGTGAAAATGGGTTGTATTTGCATGTGGACATTCTGTATAGCAAAATACTTGTGCTAACCCTATAGCAAAATACCTTGGGGTTATTCCATGGCATAGACGCATTCGGCTAATGCTTGGCGTGAACGGAGAATTACAGTTGCAACACTATTTCAAACCCTGCTGGCCTACATGGTGGTTCCAAATAAAGGAAATCCACTTTAGACAGCACTTTTCACATATTACATTGTTTTTTTTTAACTTTTGATTATTAGCTATTAATATTCTGGCCTTTAAGCATAAGTAACGAAAAAAAATCGTCACTTATCGTCACAAATAAATGCATTTTATGTTTCGACGATATTGAAGTAACACAAGAAAAAGAAAAAGAAGTAAAAACTAACAATCCTTGTTTGAAGTGTGCTATTTGTCTTCATATCAAGCTCCGATATTATAGCTGAGCTCAGTCAAGCGGAAGGAATGTGTACCTCCGTGGACAAACAGGTTTCGCACATGAAATGTTCAAACTACCATAGCTCAGAGACAAAATATACAACTGCAACGATTTTCTCGTCACATATGCTGAAAGATCATCACTTTAACAATTAATAATCAAAATTTTAAAATGATTTTTAAAAATAGTTGAAAAGTGCTGCCAAAGGTGGATCTCCTTTAGCCCTGGAACCACCCTGTAGTGCTACCAGTCTGCGCAAAATAGACAGAGACTCTGTTTGCAGAAAATCGTATTAAAAGCAGCTTCTTGGCAATGCGCCCTGCTGACAATTATTCTTACTGCTAATTGCACCTTCCTCGGCATGAATACAAAAAAACGTTACCGTTCTCCCTTCCCCCACCCCCTTTCCCCAGGCTGTGTGGCTCAGGGTCTGTCTCGGGTTCTTTCATCTCTGGCGGCAACGAGATGACGGTGATCTTCCTGAGTGACGAATCGGTAGCCGAGAAAGGTTTCAGCGCGACGTATTCCGCCATAAGCCTGTAGTAAAACGAATTAGGGACGTCGGGATACCAGATAATTTGTCGATTCAAAATAAAAGACCCCCAAAAGGTCGAATGTTAAATAACAATGATGTACATTCGTTAATTAAAATAAACAATCCCTAGATTAACGACACATCAATTATACTACAAAATGTTAAAAGATGACATTTTTTTCAGGGTGCAGATAATTTTATGTTAGTATATTTTTCAAGAAAATAGTGCAAGCCGATGTTTTTTTCCATTAAAGTTGCCCGCACGATTTCGTCAAGGGTGCTTATGATAAGCCACTTTTTAGCGAATTTTTCAGCGAATTCTTTTCTTACAGATGAGGTTTTATATTTATGCTTGGTAGGTTTTCCAGCAATTACAATTCTATGACCCACAGTACGGTACTCATAAGATTTAAGTCTTTACATCCAAGAAAAAATCTGGTCAACTAAAAAAAAATAAATAACAAATTAAGCAAGTATTTGGAAACAATGAGGGTTTTGAGAAGTTTGTCATAATTTTTAGGGAGAAAGCGTACGTCATGTAGCAAAGGCTCACGTGTTTGCTTTGTCTAAAATTAATGACGCAGCATATTACATACACTCCACGCGCCCCAAGAACAAACACATTTATAGGCCTAAAACTGAGAATATTATAACAAAGAGTTATGAAGTAAATGTGCTGATGAATAAACCAGACGTCTACAAAAGAAGTTCTTCAATATGATTCAGTGTTTAAATGGTTATTTTTTGATGATAATAATAGTGAGAGAAACGATCACATTTTCTAATAGGCCTAACATAATTATGTCGGATCGAGTGGCTTCATCAAACCTATCACAACTTTTTAATATGTTCATGCTGTCTCTCTGCCATGGTGAACTTTCTATTGAAGACTGATAAGCGAGGCATGTAACGGGAAATATATCGTAGTTATTTGACCTAGCTAGTTTGTCGCTACAGATTTATACTTCCCTGACTCCCGTGTAATACCTGCAATACGACAATTCAACGAAATCAAATCGTTTTCAGGTCACAGAATACCACTGATTGTACCAAGTGTGTGGAGTTTAATAGAGGGCATTCAGCTTTGTCATATTTTTGTATGCGACTGTGACCTTCGCAATTCAATTCAGCACACACAAGGTGTTGTTATCTCGGAGAACAGCTACAAGCGCAAGGTAAACCACGATGGTGGCCTCGAGGGGACGTTACTGTAGCTCCCCCCCCCCTTCATGTACATAAATCCGGCCACGCGATCACAACTCGGCCGTAAAGGAGGGATTATGTCAGTTATTGATCAAAATAACACCTTAATTTTTATTGTGACAGCCCCTCTAATGCAATGTGGATTTGTGTATAAATGGTCCACGGTTTTGAGAGTAATGTTTCTAAAGGATTTTTGTTCACTCAGTTGGTATTTAGCGTAATATTCACCAGTTAATATACAAAGTAAAAAGTGTGGCTCTTATTTACTATCGTAAATTTAATATCTAGTTAGCTTTCTGAAAATATCTTTGTTAACTTATACCTTCTTTTACAGGATTTGAAGTAGTGTTTTCTTTACCGGATCAACTTTGTGCGCTCAAAAACACCCCTCCCACCACATACCCCCCCGACAAAAAAATCCCCGAACCATCATGTTGTTAAAACCCAAGTTATATTAGTAGAAACACGTCACCAGTAGGATAACGGGTATGCACACAAAAAATGCTGTTCTCGTTTTTGTAACACCCTGATGTCTTCTCAGGGCCGTAGTAGTCCACTGGTCCAGGAAATCGCGCAAAACACAAAGTCCCTGACCGTCGAAGTGTTATGATTATTCTCCACACCAGTCGCCATATGACAGGGAAAACACATCTGAACAAGAGCGCTCGAAAATAGACGAAGTTATCGATTCCCCGCACTTCTGTCCTTCTGCCGCTTGTCGACATCTCACTAGGCGATAGAGACCTGTACGTCCACGTCACATACGCGTACACGACCGTCACTTACAGCAGCCATGCTGAGCTGTGGCGATGATAACGTGGCAGTTGCAAAAAGCACGGTACTAAATGTGGTTTTGTCGATGATACGGTGCTGCGCGGAGTGTGCGCCCATCGGCTTGTGGTGACTGTTTTTCCGGGATTTTTTTTTCCCCACCGGGACCAGGTGAGGATGCGGTGCCTGACGCCCCGGCGCAGAAAACGGCTGATGCTGGTCGCCGGTGCCTCGTTTGTCGTCAGTGCGTTGGTCTTGATGACCATCAAACCAGACAGCACTACAGATATACTGGTAAGATTTACATTTGAAAGACTCTGACACATGCATCATTTATTTCCTATAGTATAGGGTTTGAACTTCACATACGGTACGTAACTTTAAAAGCACTGTATATATATATACCTTATGTTTATTTAAATAATCCTCCCCTTTTTGGGGGTGGGGTGATTTTTTTGGCAAATAACCAAATCGTATTTCAGCATTTCTCGCTCTGATCACTGGAAAAAATTCGTTTCCTCAAAATAATATGGACATCCATAACCATCATCAAATTGAATATGTGTTTATTATTGCCATTTTGCCATGTATCTTCATTATATCATGTACTGTTTTTGTCATCACATGTGAAGCGACATATTGTGACTATAGGATTCATATCAAATGAATATTCTGATTACAAATAGTAATTTTTTTATAGGGATCTATATTCATATAGCGAGCATTAATCAACAATGCATTTCAGCTGAACATTTTTTAAAAGAAATGCAGCGTCAGTCGTTAGCATCACAATAACCTATTTTGAGATTGGGACGTGCCTCTGGCGGATTGTAATGAACATTTTCCTTTTCCGACAGTAAACTTTGTGTGTTTTTCTGCGTACGAGCAGTAGAACTTGCGGCGACTTATGTTTTTGACCCCACCGTGTACTAATGCACTTCCGCCTCAAAATGTGCGCTGTGTGTGGGCACGCGTGAATATATTACATTTGATTAGTAGAAGCGTCATTGCCGTAAAGAAGGGGATGTATGACACTTCCTTCTTTCCACACATCTCCCCTGGATTCTGTCGCCTCCTCTCATGGGTTCCCGTACCCCATGCCCCACCCCTCATGCCTGGTTGCCCATGCATGCAGACCCCACCCTTGTTCCTTCTCTTACGCCTTGCGTCTTTCGTTTCCTTTACCCATAGGACCTCCCTCCTCCCAAGATTCGCAGGTCGTCCCTCACACACCCAACCTATACTTTTCTTCCTAAATGCCTTATCCTTGAATTCTAAATGCGAGTCCGTGTCCCCTCAACCAGACGTTTACTAGAAAGCTCCGTATAGATTAGAGTCCCCTGCCCGCACTTCCCGCGCTATTGTGCCTCAGTGGCACCCTCCTCTTGATTCGGCATGGTTAAAGGCATATTATGATCAGTTGCATTTATCCAAAAAGCATTAAACCTAACGAATTATTGTCAATTTAAAACCTTACTTGGATCAAAGGGTCCGTATCATAGGTCCGACGCCTCATACGTCCGAAATTTCGGACTTATGAGGCATGGATTCTGGCTCATAGGTCCGACGCCTCATAAGTCCGACAATGGACAAATGCTGTTTCGGACTTACGAGGTGTCGGACCTATGAGGCGTCGGACTTATGCGGCGTCGGATCTATGAGTAGGGAATAAATAAATGTTATGCCTCATAAGTCGGACGCCTCATAAGTCCGAAATTTTGTGACCTGTGAGGCGTCGGACTCATGAGCGGACCCCGGATTAAAGATCGTATACTGGTATTAAACAACCCGCGAAATAATTCCGTCTGCCTTGCTGTCTTTTAGAAGAAATCAAGAAATGTTCAGGGGTGATCAGTAAATTGACTGATTTTTGGAATCGTGTTTCATGTCAAAATGTTGTGCATGGTCTTTCACTGTTTTCGTGGAAACTGTAAAATCCACCGAGCTGAAACCTCAACTGAGCTGGCTAGGTTTTGAACATTCTTCTTTGGATTTTGAGTGGTGTTTTAATTGCATCAGAACAAAATGCATGGAAAACGAATTATTTCACCTTTAATTCATGTATTCTTGCTCTTGGTCGACCAAACAAGCCTCTGGAAAGACGATCACAAGAGGGCTGTTCGGCAGTCATATACCATTGATCTCCATACATACAGATATCAATGTCAAATGCATGCTCCCCAATCGATCCGACTTAATGCATTCCACTAATTGGTGATTGTCATCCTCTTTATCCACTGCAAAACAGACAAAATGACTCCATTACTGGCAGTTAGAAGCATGTTGTAAGACCATTCAACCATTGCCTGTGCATTACGGTCGGTGCAATATTCCGAAGTAACAGTTAGCTATCAGTAACGACCCTGTACCATAAAGTGCAAGCATTATAGCAAAAAGATGGGAAAGGCTTTTAAACCACCTCGTTCCAAAGCCTCTGAGGGAAACAAATTTTGAACATTAATAATTTCCAATTTATATTAAAGGTAGAGTATATCATTTTTGTCATTTTGTGCATTTATTTCTTTTGAATCAACAAAAGTGCTCAAAATCTAAAGAAGGGTGCTTAGCAGCTATAGTATACAGATATTGAAGTCTTCGAGTGGTGTAGTAAAACTAGCCTCCCGAGGTTATCCATGGACATTCTATTTTCCCGAGGCGAAGCCGAGGGAAAATAGAATGCTCCATGGATCACCGAGGGAGGCTTGTTTTACTTCACCACGAGATAAAACATTCAATATTTGTTTTATAACTCTTCACCCACAGATTCTGTTTGGTTGTAATATTTCAAATTATTTAAGTCTGAACACAGTTGAAATAATCTTCAATTTCAACACAAAGTTGGTGGAAAATGTTTTTCTGTCTTCTAAACTACCCCTTCACGAAATGTTTGAACCCAACTCTGCGGCGCGCTCTCTTTGGAACAAATACGCGTAACGCCGCACACCAGCATGCATTTGCACACACACAAATACCGCGCCGTTCTTTTGGCCGTGCACAGAAAGATAGCAAAAATAGAAAGTATCATGTGACTCGCTCTCGGCCAATCAAGACACAGAATCTGAGGGTGAGGTGTTATAATGAATGCTGTATATTCCGAGAATTCAATTCAAAAGTTACCGAGTCATGTTTCGAATTGCGCCCGAACTCAGCGTCCCTCCGGGAGACGTTCTCATTCAGCCGATTGCAGCTACGCGATGTTTCGCACTGAATGATAGCAACCGCGCGCGCGTGTGTGTGCGTCATGTCAACGCTCGCGTGCACCCATTCACGGCTTCACCGACTTAAAAACCAACTATACTAACGGAAATTTCAAAAAATGGAAATGACCTTCTTTTATTGTTTTTTTTATATTCAAAATGACAGCATGCCAGAAAGAATAATTCCACAGGGAGTTTAGTGCCTTTACTATCTTTAATCCAAGTATGCTTTCCAACAATAATTGTGTCCGTTATACTTTTTGGATAGCTGCAAGCCCGGTACTCTACCTTTAAAGCTCTACTCATTTCATAAACAAAAGTCAAATTGTAAAAACAAAAAAAATATCTAAACTGTTATGTGATTCTGGCAAATCTTGTATCGAAATTTGCCTTCCGGAAAGATCAGCATACCAGATAACTGAGACCGTTACACCGGATATATTTTGTAGAATTGTCAGTGAATTCTGACAATTTTACTCAAATGACCTTTGGAGATGAGATATAAAATATGGGGTTGTTTCAAGATATGCTAGAATATTTTTCAACCGACTTTTTTTTCAATCAGTGTTTTAAAATATCCGGATGGTGCTTTTCATTTGGTTAGTCACTTTTCAGGTACCGAGGGCTCAATTGTGAAATAGGCTCTGAAACACGTTTTCCCTAATGATATTAAATGTTTCACACAATGAACCTAAACAGATTGTGGTTAGTCCATGGCCGGTTATGGCTAATTCAACTAGAGTGAAATGAAAAAACAAACAAACAAAAAATTTGCCGAGGACGCCAATGACGATGATCCCCTCCCCTCTCGAAGAACTACAAACACTACACAAAATTGAATTAAGGGTTAAAGTATTAATGGTTCATAACGACGGATTAAGACTGATTTATTAATGACATATGGTGACGCTAAATGCTGGTGAAGGGAGACTGTCATGCAGGATCCATGCCTGATTTATTCCAACGTTGTTTTGATGTAGTCAGGCAGCTCAGGCCAGCTTTTGGAATGGATGTGGACATTCCGGACAAAAGCGCCAAATTTTTCATACATGCTCCTTATTGCCTTATTTTTCAATTTTTGATGGGAACCAGAGTGGCTTAGAAGATGAGATATTGGTAGATATAGGTTTTTAATGGCCGCCATCTTTAAAATCCAAGATGGCCGCCATAATGTCATTGGATAAGTTGGTTCCTATCAAAAATGGAAAGCTAAGGTATTGAGGAGCATGTATGGCAAATTTGGCGCTTTTGTCCGGAATGTCCACATCCATTCACTAAGCTGCCTGACTAATGGCATAACCGGCAACATGTTGCTTCGCCTCGGTTGCTAGGCAATTCATTCATGCTTGAGTAGCCCTCCACGTATTAGGCCTAAGGCCAACACTTAGTCGTCATATTTCCCTGGGAGATGGAAATTATCATAATTCTGCTACGAATATTACGAGATTTTGATTCGACTGTGATGTTGTCAACGTGGCTACCTGTCATTCGGTGCAATATGTAATACATTTGGTTGTAAAGAGGAATAATTATTTCAAATTAGCCTCCGGTGAATTTTTTTTTTATACTAAGGGATTAAAAATAGTCCCCATTGTCTCACCATGGATTGGCACTGAGACCCTCGACTTAATTATTAATTTGTAATTTCTCTGTTGCTTCGCTGAGATCAGTGCATAATACTCTAACCATTTACTGGTTATCTTACAACGAACACTTTGTTCATAACCGGTGTGCCGTGATGAAAGAACATTGCAATGCCGCCTATATGTGGACGCCTATCTTATAGTTGGTAGTTTAAATATAGCAACCGTTAGGTCGGATTCCACATGCAATCAACATTAGCTTGAAATACATAGGTTCACGTGGCCGTGGCGCTCAATGGAATATCTAAACAAAAAAACAATACCACAAGCGCTTTTCTTTGTTCTTTATTCTATGTTCGTTAATAATAAACCTTTTTTTGACAGTCGTATTGCAGCATAGGGGCAGTGAACCAGTCAAGTTTTAAATCATTCTTTTTTTCTTCAGTATTTTTGCAAAATTAACTGATCATCGATTCACCTATTATGATGGCACAGTATAACAAGAAAATAAATTTGTGAATAAAAATTCAGTTTGTAAACTTTAGAAATAGCAGAAGAAATAATCTTGAAATGTCTTACCAGGTATACCAGTCATCAGGCCCAGAGGAACAATCGGTCAGTGTTGGAGGCGTGAGCTTTAAATCTTGATTCTAATTGGCCAATATTGGCAGGGTCATAATATGCATATTCATAATCGAGTAATGACACTGGTATCTAAAAAGGGATTCCCCAAACTTTCTTTAATGTGATAAGCTTTAAAAAAAATAGACTGAACAAAATGTAGTTTAAATTACCGATGCAACAATCTGTAAGATGTTTATCACTAAATTCGTGATATACAATGTGGAGGAACCAAATGAATGTTTTAACTGGTTCACAGCCCCATACGTTTGTGCACAAATTCCCTGGTCTGTTTGTCATCCATACCCAAGATGCACTGTGAATATCAAAAAAGCTAGGTTTATCAGAAACGTTTGTTTGCGCATGGTTCGTCAACGGGCAAAAACGCAGGTTCTGTTGCAACATACAATGGACATTGCAGGTTGACAGTAGACACTGCGGTTTCCGTTTTCAGCAAAAGCTTAAAGGGGCATGTAATGTATTTTTTTTAATGCAATCTTTGAAAATGCACCATTGTGCCCCATTTTAATTTTGCCATTTTCAATTTTTTGGGTTCACAATTTGAACAGAAAACCCCTTACCTAAACAGTTTCTTCCTAAAACGACACCACAGCAGCATCACCCTCAGTTGTCCGGAAAAGCATGGAAATGTTTTAAATTTTTTAAAGAAGTGCACTTTTCAAAAAAATTCACCAAAATTGGATTGTCAAATAGTTTTCATACACTTAAGAGGAGCAGAAAAATGCACAAAATATGTTCCTCATTTAAATTCATGTCGTGGCCGCTTTAATATTTCAACGGTGTCAGTCACCGAGAAGCTTCTAAATTAGGCGTGGAGAGCGATGGAGAACGAGCTTTTTACGAAATTGCCAAACGCCTGCTGCAAAATATAAATGTAATGTGTTATTGGGTACAGGCCAATCAATAATTGCAAAGTTTTCAACCGTAAAACAGGGGCAAGGAAAGGAACTCATTTAGAAGAACTCTAATATGAAACACGTCTGTTATATTTGTTTTGTTTCGTGTGGTACGTGTATGAGCCGAGAACTATAAACCATAGGCCTACATGTCATTTTAGCTGACCACCTTTTTGGGAAGCATACTTTTGTACTGAACATACTGAAACTGGCTTGTTTTGTCGCCAAATACGGAATTTAGCACAGGGTATTTTAAAGTTCTTGCCAAACTATGTTCCCGTTATTTTGGTGAACTATTACGGAGACAGAAATATTACCATAAATTATCTTTTGCAGCAATGTTCAGTTACTAAACCTTTAATGTGTTTGTTAAATTGCGAAGTACGGTTCCCATCGACGACAAATGATGCCTAAAAGCGCACAATTTTCATTTTTAAATACAGAAAAGCACTGTTCTTTCATTAGACTATTAATAATCTGTACAATTTCGATGATTTGTTATTGCATCTATACAATCGAAGCGTTCGCTGATCTGCTTGTGAAAATCATAATAAAAAACCCAAATATTTCAAGGTTCTCACATTTTCATCAGATGTTCTAAACTGTTATTTCAGCTGCTACATCAACAAGGAAACGGCAATTCCGTTTCAATATCCCCTATACCAGTTTGAATGCATATAGCTAGCATTTCCACATTATCAACACGTTCACATCACATTCGTTTGTGCACATATCGATTTAATGATTTTTATCCCGCCGGCTGTAACGGCCAACGTCGCTATAATTAATAACTCCTCAGAAGGTCGTTGATCAGGCACGTGGCGCATCCCTAAAATATGTAAGTTTGTCAGCTAGCGACAGCTTTGTTGTATCATCTATTGTGGCTATTGAAGGTAATATACAACATTGCTTTTGCAGCTGTAATTTTCAAAAATGGTTGGATTTGGAGGTTAGTATTTCACAGCAAATGTTGTTACACTTGTTACACGGAGCAATTTATAGACGTCGGGGAATTGTCAGGTGAGGAAACCAGACTATTTGGCTTGCAGCCGTTCACAGATGTGTAACCTATTGCAAACAAAATGTGGACTAACTAAATTTGGTAAATTAGGGGCAGAATTTTAAAAAAAGTCAGTTTTTTTCCCAACAATGGTCGGCCGACCATCATTGGAAATTGCTACAAAAATTCTACTTTTCTTGAAAATGACCGCACACCAGGTGCCACGATTTCAGCGGATGCTTAAGACTATATTATTCACTTACAGTCAAGTAAGGTATTTCATCATAATTTGGCAGTTTTGTTTTATGATGTTTACAAATGTTGAATACTATACTACCTACAAGGATGTCTGCTGCACTAAAACTTGATAACCCGATCTGGTAACCCGTTCTTGGTAAAACCTACTGAAACGCGCGGCTTTTAGCGAAACTAAAAGATCGCTTTAGGGTGCGTTTGAGTAGCTTCCCCGTCTATAACGGGGTTTACACTCGAGGAAGCCACGAAATGAGGCTAATCGAACGATGCGGTGTATTCGCCTGGCATTCTGGGAAAATTAAGGTCAAAGGTTGTTGCGGGGCAGGACTTTGAAATGTAAACACACCAGGCATAAGGTCGTCTGCTCCACTCCTAACCAGATCGATAATTGCTGAAATGCTCCAAATTATCAAAAATATGTCTAGTATTAAACACCGTTAATAATTGGGAATATTAAGTTTGTGTCATAAGTCTCTGCTTTGTTCCCGCCATCTTCAATCTAGCTGGCCACGAAATCGTCTGGTTATGTCATTACACTCATACAGACACCAGAGACCCACTGGGTCGGTGGAGTGACACCGGGGGAAGACCCCGGTATCACGCAATGGCTAATCGAACGCTCTCGTGTACATTTTAATTGCACGTGTAAGCTACCCGAACGCACCCATAGTCAAGCATGGTAATGAAGGGTGTGCATATTGTATAGAACTTTGACTTGTAAATATAACACAACGGTAATCGAGTTGGTAACAATTCAATCACAGGTCTATCACAATGTCAAAACACAAGCAACAAGAGATTGAACATTAGACCACTGTTCGGTAGACCTAGGACATAATGACGTCACGATTTGTTTACATGTGCGCTTTCCTATGGGAGCCAGGTGGGGACGAGATCTACCAAACTCCCATAGGAAAGCGCACATGTAAACAAAGCGTGACGTCATTATGTCTTAGGTCTATTTTAATAGTTAGTCGCTTGACTTTAGACTACTGGATGACATGGTATTTGCCTTGTGATTACACAATAACCTCCGGAATATGACCGCCTCGATGACCCACAATTGGACAAGTACTTTACAGTATCTCGGAGAGCACGCAATTCGACAGAGTCTGCAGTAAACATTATATTCGTAAAAAAAACAACATGAATCTATAGTCTGCATAGCCTACATGTGACACCCGGGAGCAATAATTTAATACAATTTGAACGTTTGCGGCATATCAACCTGTTGTGTTTTTATCCGCGCCCTATAGTTCAGGCACTGAAAAAAACGGATACTTTCTTGGATTTTCGTGACGATGGGATATCTGAGTAAAGAGGACGATCATAAAAAGTATTACTATGAAATGGAACAATTAAGAGGTCGAGCCTGATTTCGCATAGTTGTTTTCTTGCTCAAAAACAGGGACCTTGGGAGCGCCACAGAGATGATGTCGTTGACCCTAACCACCAGGCACAGTCACCGGGGCTGTCCATCGGCCCACCGGTCCTCGACAAGACCTCCCTGGGGAATTACGAGCCGCGCATCCCGCGGCCGGAGCGGGAGGGACCCGGTGAGTTCGGCCGGGCGGTGAAGACGGACCTCGGGGAGGAGTCCAAGTACCGAAAGAGCATCATGGAGTTCGGATTCAACGTGGTGCTTAGCGACGAGATATCGCTGGACCGGGCCGTGCCGGACATCAGAGATCCAGAGTAGGCTATAGGGCTGAAACCCGAATGACTTGGCTACGGCCGGTGAATCATCAGCTTTCTGTTGGCGCATGTGTATATTGCCGGCCATATCCAAGTAATTCTGACGCAGCCTAAGACTGAGTCAAAATCTCTGTTTTTTTTCTTTTCTAGGTTTCGGTGAGTTACAGCTATTAAAGTAGGAACATGCTGACGATAGAAGTAGCTCTGAGAATAATAATTATGGTTCCCAGTCCAAAAGATTCTGACTATATAGGCCTTTCTCTCATTTGTAAACATTGAGCGCCATTTTGTAAGGGCTGCCACAAAAAGCAGGCATTTTGGTTAGCCTCTGTTGGTGTTTGTGGGTTATTTTGTATTTTCAACAATCCAAAGATACGTTTGGAAACATCATTAAATAACAATTTTTTGTTTTGTTTTTGCAACTTTGACCTTCCATAGTTTGTCAACCCGTGGTTGGCAAAAAGTGCCAACCAAAGAAAGGTCTATTCCAAGGCGACCTTGTTACCAAGTTGTTAGACACCATGCGTCGAAGTTAAGTCCATCACAAGTCCTCTCGTGTCCACATAAAGCTACCACAAGTCAATCACAAGCAGTTCATCCATGCAGTCACAAGTCAAGTCACAAGCTATTCACATGAACTGGGACGAATGCATTCCCATTTGGCCTTCCCCGTTATACTTGTGTCCAGACTTGTGAACTGACTTGTCACCAGACTTGTGATGGAATAAGCGCGTTCGGCCCAACTGCGCATGTGCATATCAAGATTGCCGATTTTTCTTTCGGGATAAAACATTGCATCCTATGCGTGCAAAAGCACAGCGGGGTACCAGCAAACTTGAAGAGATCATCGTGTTCTGTGTTTTTAGGTGTCTTGTGTGTCAAAACTTTTGTGCGAACGAAAGTTCCATCTCTTTTCCATTGCACGAAAAATCGCACAGAATGCAGATTTGGTTACCACGTCCCCCATAGCCTTCTGTGCATTTATCTGCCACGGTTATCCAGAAAAAGTCGTAGAATCTTGCTGTGCGCCAGACTTTTTAGGAGTACCGAACAGGCTTATTGTGATGAAGGCGACAAAAGATTGCCTGTTTACTACACTGCTTAATCTTCTCATCACAGATGCAAGTACTGGCACTACCCGGAGAAGCTGCCCAACGCTAGCGTGGTGCTGGCCTTCTCCAATGAGGGATTTTCAACCCTCATTCGGACCGTTCACAGCATCATCAATACGTCGCCTCCGGAACTGCTGGCTGACATCGTCATGGTGGATGACATGAGCGATAAAGGTATGCTGTGGCATACATGGCATTATCATTGAAAACTGTAGAATAAAATAGAGGCAGAATATTTTTTTATCGGCTGCAATAACACGTGGATTTGGTTTACCAACTATTGTGGTCGTATTTTTGGTGTTTTTGCCCATTGATATTTTCTGCAAGACCGCTACTGTGCCGAGAAGGTCGTTTGCGGGCAAAACCAGCGCATTTCTTACCAGTTAAAATCTACTGAATAAAGGCCGGTTCATACACATTTTGAGAGCAAAAATACGAACTTGTGACGTCATGGCAAGTAGTCCCGCTGCTAATTCGCAATAATTGAACACATTTCAACTCCGAAACGTGTGTGCAATATCTGAAACGTGTGGTTTTTTGACTACTCTATTCACTTTGTTTTAAAGTTATTCTTTACAATATCTGGGTTTGTTTCCGTTCCGTGCAGAGCATCTTGGCAAGGAACTGGAGGAGTACATCAAGAAAGACCGCTTTCAGGGCAAAGTTCGGCTCGTCCGCAACACCAAGCGAGAGGGCCTGGCTGGCTCGAGAACCAACGGCGCTATGGCGGCCAGAGGTCAAGTGGTCGTGTTCCTAGACGCTCACTGCGAATGTGGCGTCAACTGGTTGCCGCCCTTACTGGCTGAGATAGCGCACAGCAGGTACTTATATGTCTTGAACAGAGCTAGCGCTTGGTGACAGCAAACGTCGAATCTTTTCCAAACACCAACAAAAAAAGGAACAAAAATTTATCGTTGCTGGTTCCTGAAATCCGCAAACTTTTCGCAAGATTTGCATTCAAACTATGATTTGGTGCTTTGGTGAATTTAACAGAAGCCACCGTGTATAGGCCTATAAAGGGTGCCCCTTTGGAATATGAATGTTCATATTTCTACAGCTAACGTAAACTTTTTTGTTAGTTTTGTTTCAAGCCTTTGCCTTTTTTTTGACATACTCGCTAGCATCCACATGCAAAGGCCGCTTTTTACAAACGAACCGATTCACGAGTGATGGCGGTCTAACGTCTTGACCCAAGACTATAAACTTCAACATCACCGACTTGTTTATGATGGAACATTTTTTTCTTCAGGACTACCGTAGTCTGTCCAACCGTTGACGTCATCAAAGCAGAGGATCTATCGTATCATCCTCAAGGCGAGCTAGCACGAGGCGCGTTTGATTGGGCCTTTTGGTACAAGAGAATTCCTGTCGAGTATGGGAACACCATGAAGCGGATAGGAATGAAATATTTTAGCCAGGCTTACGAGTAAGTTACAGATAGACATGTTTGTCCGTTAATTGGTTGTACTTAAGTCATGCTGTTTCAAAAAGAACACACGTACCGCAATCATGGCTTTTCAAATGTAATATCAGTGGGAACAATTTTCTGTGGAGCTTTGTATTCCATGAATAGTGGAAATTATGTTCATTAAGCTAATGGAATATACTCTCTCTACATGACTTTGTGTATCGATGTTTGCGATGTATTTTTTTAAAAGCTGCGAAAAAGAGGAGCTTTGAGGGTTCGTTTTTTGTATGAGACACTTTGTATAAGCAATGAATAGGTTTTCCTAGATACCAGCGCTTTATAAGTTATTCTTCTTATTATTATTTTATAATAAAAGGATGTGGGTTCCTTTTGCCGATTATGTACTGCTACGCTGGAGCTGAAAGTATATATATTTCAAGGAGAAGCCCGTACACATACAAACAAGCAATAATTAAAGTGTTTCTTATAATTCTTAAAATGGTTTTAAGGACGCCAAAAACATACTATGACAGAGTAATGTTAATAGATTTCGAAGGTTTTAGTGACTCTGTCGACAAAACATTGTCAATCCTGTTAATTGCCATGTCAAACCTAAAACTGCACCCCTCGCTAAAGCTGCTGTACCTTGCCGTCTTATGTGTCTCCTTGCGTACAGTGCCCCTGCGATGGCGGGAGGGTTGTTCGCAATGGACCGGTCTTACTTCATCGAACTCGGGGCCTACGATCCCGGACTGTATATTTGGGGTGGAGAAAACTTCGAGATATCTTTTAAAGTAAGTTTCGAAGTCCAGGGCTTTTGGGAAGAGACAAGATGTTCAAACTGGAAAATGCACTTTCATTTGATGTAACGAAATATTGTTGTCACATCCCGAATGGATTATCCTAAATGATTCTAGGCCTTTAGTAGGCTATATGTTTTCCCGGCTATGTTATAAAATGTTTCGTTCGAATTCACCGATGTTTATATTCAAATTCGTCCAGCAACATTGATTTAGCGCACTTGCAATGTTTAATTTTGTCTTTTGTCAGACAATTTCAAGTTTAGTCCAAACAAATGCAAACAATGAGCACACGTATTCAACCCGGAGTATTTGATTTCGTCTCGTCTACGCCGAATCGTGTTATTCAGAAATCAAGTTCGTCTAATTGATATATATATAAGACGAATTTGATCTCTAATGACGAATATTCTCGACCCGGTGACTAAAGAGGGTGACCAAGATTTGAAATTGAATGGTAAATCACTAAATTGGTTTGGTTAAAAGCCTGTGATTTTTTTCGTGGACGAAATTGAATGATAGAGTCGGTAAATTGGAGTGAAAAAATCTTTTAAAATAGTCGGGAAAACCTATAGTAGATAATAACAAGGAAAGGCAGGAAGCACCGTCCAGAAAGACACTTGACGCAGGAAGTGAAACTAGGCAACTGATATGAGATGGAGCTTGTTGGTAAAGCTCCTGAAAGACTGTGGGTTGTAGGATGGTGGGAAGCATGATTGTGGTAGAGAGTTCCACAATTTAGATGTGCAGACAATGAAGGATGATGAGTGGGATACAGTGCGAGACCTAGGTATTGAGACTGTGAAAGGGTGAGCATTGGTGGCAGGTCTCATAGAACAAGTATGTGTTTGAGCTATGGGCATGACTGATTTCAGCTCCTGTGAACAGTGACCAAATGGTATATCGATACTGGCTTTATTAAGGGTTTACATGATAACAAGTTAAAAGTCAGTATTTCTTCTGGGAAAATGGGCCGCATGCATTCAAAATCATAGAGGGTATGCCATTAACGAAATTAGAGAAATGTTCTTGTTCTGCATTACATATGAAAATTATTGAACTTTGGGCTGCACCATTTTTTGGAGAATTTTTATACTCCAACTTTTGTGCGAAGAGTGTTTAGATCTCAAATTTGACTTGTGATCGACTTGTAAGAATTCTTGAAACGTCATAACCCAACTTTTTACACGCCTACAGATCTGGATGTGCGGAGGTCGGCTGAAGTTCGTCCCGTGTTCCAGGGTCGGTCATATCTACCGGCGTGGTGTGCCTTACAAGTACCCCTCAGTCGACGGGGACGTTAGCATTGTGGACCGGGTGAGTCCGTAATTCTAGAATTTTATTCGTTCGAGTGAGCCTACACAACCATTGAAAACTCACAGACATCACAGGCATGTTCGAGCAGGAACTATTGGTTGACAAGTGGTCGCTTCGTGACGTATATTGCGCCTGCACGCTAACTTCAAAGTTCGAACGCCTCAGTCGATTTAAAGGAACCATGACATGAATTTTACACAGGAACATATTTCGTGCAACTTTGTACTCCTCTTACATGTTAACAAACTATATGACATCCCTTTTGGGTTAATTTTATTTAAAAGTGCACTTCTTTCATTTATTTAAAATAGTCCATGCTTTTCCTGACATGTGAGGGCGCTGTCGCTGTGATGTCATTTTAGGAAGACACTGTTCGGTTTAGGGGTTTTCTGTTCAAATTGTGAATCCAAATATTTTGCTCACTGAAAAAGTTTTGCTAAAAAAGTTTGCGCATTGGCTTATAGTCATGCTGAAACAACAACGAATCGCCAAAGACTGAAAGAAAACTAACGACAGCAAAATATGCAAATTCTGGCAATTTTTGGCGCTGATATAATCGTAACATTGAGATATCTGCCTAAAATGACGTCACACTTTTGCTCATGAATATAGAAATTCACATTAGCATAAAAACCAAAAAGGCACCAAAATACGCTTGAAAAATGGCAAAATGAAAATTGAAAATAAGGTAAGTGGACGCAAAGGTACATTTTTAAGCATTGCAATAAAAACATTACATTACATGGGCCCTTTAAAGTCAAACGTCATCACAACCCTCACGGTTCTGGCTATACGCGCGCGCGGCTATTGATAACCATGTAATGCGACCAACCTGCAACCTCGATAGACTGGTACCGGATAGTCGACTAAGCTAATCAAATCATCAATTCGATGAAAGTTAGCCAAATTGTTGTTCACCATATTTTTCCATCGAAAAAAAAGCAGGCCTGTCATCATACTTGCCTTACATGGTTGGTTGGGAACAACGATTGTGTTGGGAAAAGGAAACTTAGCGAAAGGCAGTTTAACAAGGTACTTGGATTTCTTAAAACCAAAAATGGAAAACATTTCAACTAAGGATACTCCCCTTGACCTGATTGTGACAATTTGAAGCTTTGGTTATTTTATCTACCTACAGGTTTTCTTGTACTTATTGGAATGTCTTGTATCCCTTTTTAGAATTACATGCGGGTTGCCGAGGTTTGGATGGACGAATACAAGGAGCATTTCTACACATTCAAGCCACGATTACGGGGTAAATCCTTCGGTGATATCAGCCAGCAGGTGGAGTTTAGACGGAAACACTGCCCGAAATCCTTCAAATGGTTCATGGAGAATGTGGCCTTTGACTCGCTGGAACTATTCCCGACACCATCTCCAAATCGCCTCTGGGGTGAGGTAGGTCTAAATTTGAAATGGGGGCGGGGGGGGGGGGGCGGGAGGGGGTTTAATAATGAACCCTTGAGTTGGACATGTCATCAATGTAAATCACTATAACTATGAAATGAATTACAGATTCTGAACACACCAGCGGATCGAAAATCACATATTTTAGGGGAGGCGATTTGGGGTGGGGTGGGGTAGGGGTGGGGGGGGGGGGGGGGGGGGTGTGGTGTGTGTGTGTGTGGGGGGGGGGGATGGTGGGGGGGGGGGGGAGTAGTGGGGGGGGGGGAGTAAAGAAGGCAGTGGCGCACCCTCCGTCGGTTCTGAATTCGAAACCGGGGTAGAGGGGAGGGCTGGACCTCATTAACGCTAGGGTGCTCTTTTCCCCCTTTTTCTCTCTTCTTTCTTTATTATTTTACGAATCCGTTGGTCTTATTATATAAGTGTACCTTGGGGGGGGGGGGGGAAGCATGGCCCCAGCTGGTACCAAGGATCCGCCAGACTTTTATATCAATATTGAAGAGTTGTTTTATTGGGATCGTTGCGAATATGATGATATTGAAGTCAAGCTTCATTACAAGTCATTAGGTCAAAAAGCTCTATAACCAAGCGGCATGGATAACAAAAACCACCCATATTTTTTGTCATTGTCATTCCGTGATACTTGTGTCTCAGTTGTCATTGAGTTTAGATTTGATTTATGATTTCAATTTCACACTGGACAGTCGCTGGTGCGACTGTCAGCGTAAAGAAAGGAAATGACGTGTTTTTTTTCTGCAGCGCCGTCTGCGCCATAGTATCACCGATTTTAATAACAATAATTAATTGCCGTGAAATTTGGCCTTTCCCGTCTTGGTATCAGTTCCATTTGAAGGAAACCACGTTGTGCCTGGACACCATGGGCAGACAGTCGACCTCGCAGATACTCGGAGCCAGCAAGTGCCATGGTTGGGGCGGGAACCAGGAATTTCGTCTGGGCACCAATGGCCAGATTCAATTCGATGAATACTGCCTGGTCCCGTCTTGGGATAAGACCAAGGTCAGAATGACGCGGTGTCGAGACAGCAGCCGGAAGGTGCCGGATCGGGACAATTGGAGCTTTAGCGAGGTATGTTCACATCGTATGCATGGTTACCTTTTATCTGATGCCTGTTGAGTTCGGCACGCAGGCTCGGTGTTTACGTTCGCTCGTCCCCAATACAAGTTATATCCTCAAAATATTCTATATTAGAGAGTTCTGAGAGCCATACGACTGGGGAATTGAAGAGATATGGCAATGAACCTCTAGCCCGGACTTGGGGCTTCCAATTCTGAGCATTTTGGATGCATTTGGGCTCGAAAGTGGCGCTATTTTGCCATGTTGTGGAGGGATCGTTTTTCAAGATGGCTACTTTTCCGCCATGAGGAAAATGGGGTCGTCTTCTTCGGGTGAGAATATCACGAAAAGTCAGTGGTCAACCCACCAAAAAATGAAAAGAAAATGAAAGATGACATGTTAATCATAATTTTTCTGTGCAGCTTAAATACCTGTGAGAGTTCCGAGTATTTTAAAAAGAATTTTGAAGTGTGCGCACTAGTGTGGGAATTTTAATGTAGGTGTGCAACCGTAGATCTAATGACGTAGTGGCTTTTGTTTAAATATGCGCTTTCCTATGGGAGCGGAGTTGGGAAGCCAGACGAAGTCATATGTAAACCAAGCGTGACGTCTCAGCTGTCAGGCCTATTCCCCATCCAAGGCCGCTGGTCGCTAATCCGTGTCGCCATTGAAGGGGGCCTCGTGAGTGAACGGTGATCAGTGGATTCGTCTATAAAAGGACAGAGCATGAACCACGTATCCACATTTTGATTCGGGTGCTCAAATCGATTGTTAGCCGAAAAAGTGACCTCATTAATATGTTTTTTTTTGCTCGTAAAAATTGCAGGAGGGGTGTTATCTTTTCAATTATCGCATTCAAGTTACAGTATAAAATGCCCAACACAGTTTTATTTCATGGACCATTTCTCTATATTACCATTTAGTCTCGTTGCGTCATCGTCTTCAACTTGGTTTGTTGTTGTTTTCCCCTCTCTATTGATATCAACAGGAGGTAGGTCACATTCGCCTCAAAGTCACCAACTTATGCGTGGAAGTTGTGGACGAGAAAGACGTCTTTTTGCGGGACTGCAGCCCGGACAACCCGGGACAAAGCTTTGAGGTTAGGCCGGTGAAATGACGGACCTTCGCGGTGCGAACCTAATTTGTGAAAAAAAGAGCAATACGAAAACCAATTTTCGGGGAAAATGACACACAAAAATGGAACTCGTTTACCAAAAGGAGTTAAGATAGAAGCAGTGCATGGAACAGAAGCGGTGAGACGAGTGTCCAGTTGATCTTTGTGGTTACGTATTCTGCAGTGTGTTTTTGCTTCATAATGTACGTCCAGTGCAATGCCTGATCAGCATGCACCCTTGACAATACTTTTTAACCAGTGCAATTCTAAGAGAGGAGAAGGACGTTTAAGACTTCGCAAGTGGATCAGTGGAGGACCGGAACTTGCCGAGGTTTACTGCAAACAATTTAAATGAGTAGATGGAAACCCTTTTTTGTTCTACAGTGACAACTATTTTGTACGATGTCAACATTTTACAGTACTATACAACAAGCAGCAATACTGAGCCACATTTGCCTTGATTATTTAAACGAAATTTTGCCAACAGTGATTGCTTGGTCTATTGATAATGCATCATGTTAAAGGTGATGGACACCGTTTGCGAACATTAGAAAATGAACTGTCAGAATATCGTGAAATATCCTACTTGATCGTAAGTAAATAATAAGATCAAGAACCCTGTAAAATCGTTACGCCTGTAGTGGTGCTCTCATTTTCGAGGAAAGAGGAATTTACCATCAATGTCCTCTCGGAATTCGTGACAAATGACGGTACATGTTCACAGTTTTCTGAAAAAGCATGGTATCTACTGAGCTTATCTTCAACCTTTTGTTTTTGTTTAAAAATAAGTTGCTTCATATTATTGTATCGATGTCATCTCATGCAACAATTTCAGTTAGAGCTGAAAAATAAGTTACTAGGCCTAGATATATTTTGTAGCTGTTATAAATATTCTATTGTTTTTGTTTTGTTTTTATCGACATGCATTTAATGATCAAACTTTATGCACTAACTGTTACAACGTGATACTGCATACATCTCAGATGCGCATTAAAATGTAATGTGTGTGCCTCAAGTAAAGTACAGCATAGCGCCCTCAAGTGTCAGAAAGAGCTCAATAAAGATTGCCTTAGAATTTTTCCTACAGCTTCAAAGGCATGAATATTCGTTCCCCTGCATCCTCCCCTGCATCTTTCCACACCTTTCACACCTAATCCTCCTTTTGTGTTTCTTCTTTCAGCCCTGCATGTTTGTGTGCACCCCCATGTTAATGTATGTACCTCTGTCATTTCTGTTTTAGCCTCTGAAGAAGAACTTGCTAAGTTCGCAACGTCAGGCCACATTAATTTTAAGATCAAAATATGTTATGTCATAAAATTCACTCTAAGATTCCCTTTGAAAAGCAGCACAATGCCGTGGCCAAAACTGAGGTTAATATGTTGCCTTCCCAAGAGATCCCCCCCCCAAATAAGAATAAGAAGAACAGAAGGAGAAATGTAGAGGAACGTTCAAAAAAACTTCTCAAAATAATTCTCGCCTGGAAACGAAATGTGGGGAACCTTGGCCACTGTATAATATACCATGTCATCTGGGACGTTATGCCTGTTGGTTGCCCATAAGGCCAAAAAAAAAAGTCTCCGGTTTCTGGTATGAAGCTTGCCCAAAAAGTGGTGCGGCGACACGGCTTTTTTTTTTTTACCTGAATTTTTTGCTTCAAATGTCGGCTGATGACTGCAAATGGTGCCCGACTAAACTTAGTGCAAATATATGGGAGTCCAGAGAGTCCACATAAAGCTTATTCTCGACCATAACCCAATCTAAAAACATGTTAAAATTGTGCAGCAGCAGGATTCCAGTAAAACCTTTGAGTTTGGCGGTTTTGAGACATCATCTTTCATTGAAAAAAAAACTTTTTCATTTTGCCGACGCGCATGGCTACGGCGACGCGCGCGCATACCAGAAACCGGAGACTTTTTTTTTTGGGCCTAAAGTGTATTGCCCCATTTGTTATTCCTCTTAACGGCATTTGCATTTATCCCAAAAGTAACCTATCGAATTATAATTCAAAAGCTTTTCAAAGATCGTACTGGTACTAAACACTCTGTGAACTTATTCCGTCTGGCTTGCTGTCATTTAGAAGAAATCAAGAAATGTAGGTGATTTCCGACGATCAGTTTTGCATGGCTTTTAATTGTTTTCTCGAAAAGTGTAATGTACACTGAGCTGAAACTTCAACGGGTTAGGTTTTGAACAGTCTTCTTTGGATTTTGAGTGGTGTTTTTAGAAATGCATGAAAAGCAACACATTTTCACACCATCAATTTTACAACTGTTATGAAAGTCGGCGTCATGTGGCCACAACACGGAGGGAGTGTTACACGGTCCATGTTTTATACATTTCTGGCTGTCTGAACCTGTTCCGTATCGATGACTTCGTTGAATACATCGTTGATTGGCTGGATTGATTGTAGCGCCGATATCGATCATAGCTGGAATCCACCCAGTAGGGAATCCACCCAGTTGAGAATAGCCCAGTGGGGGCGCCTGCACAAATGGGAACCAACACCGTAAAGGGTGGGCTTGCTCCTAGTATTTCTTTGCAGATTTCAAGTCCCGCATCGATCTTACATCTTCCGCTGTTTTCATAGATTTTACCGCGATACGCCCATCAATACTTGCTCATTTTCATTCCCGACAACCAGTGCTGTTATAAACAGCAGTAAATGAGTTCAAACACATGTCTATATGCAAAAGGATAATTTGCTTTTCGTGTATTTTGTTCGCCTCCAATAAGAACACCACTCAAAATGCAATGAGGAATGTAAAAAACTGTCATCTCTGTCAGTGAAAATAACACTTGTCGAGAAAACTGTAAGAAAAAAGTGCACATTCTTTTGTTCTCGAAATACAATCAGTCAAAAGTTGCGATGACAGACCATTGGAAATCACTTACATTTCTTCTTTTTTTTCTAAATGAAAGCAAGCCAGACGGAATAATTTCACGGGTCAGTACTACTACTAGAACGATCGTTAATCCAAGTAAGCTTTTTTGATAATAATTTGGTATGTTACTTTTGGGATAAATGCAAATGATCCCATATGACTTTTAAGTATAGCTTTTCAATATTGCTCAAAACTGTGGGAGATATGTGACCCACTATCTACAACACTGGCTGAAATACATGTTTACAAATACATGCTTGTTTGGTTTAGGGCTTTGGTACAACTAAAAAAATTCCCAGTTATTCACACTGCCTGTGGACAATTTGTCGAAGAAGTAATTACATATAGCATTTTGGGCGTTGGCATAGCACCAGTAATGACAGATACTATATGATGTGGTGTTCTCTCCCGATTCTGTGAGTTTATATTCATTTGGAAAACCATAAGATTTGCTTCCACATGTTTATGTTCATACTCACTCGCAAAATGCATCACCATCCATTCAAGTATCCAAACAATAACGATATTAGCTTCCGAGCAAAATGGCCGGATCCATGTGAAGCACACTATGTGTAAAGCGTCATCCGTCGTCAGGAATATTACCTAATATTCGATGAAGAATATGATATGTGCGAACTAAGTATGGTTTGGTAGCAATGAATTGTCGGATTTATGGAATTTCATTGCTTGTGTGGTGTAATTTCACCAGTAAATGTCTTTTCTTGCGACTCAGTGTAATTTTAAGGGTGATTGGTTCAACAATGACTGTTTTATGACATTACAATAGAGGGATGCACATAACAAATGTGACATACTGAGGCAAAATGAGGAATGCCTGCCAAAACCTTGTTTTGAGTAATCGACGCCTGAAGTCGGATATGTTATGTATTTTTGTGTAGTCAAGGTTTCCAAGATGCACACTATGAATTTTGGTTGGAAAAAAAATTACCAAAAAAGTGGAAATACCGAAGAACTTTTTTTTTTACTGATGTTGGCGGCGCAATGTCCGTCTGTTTTTCCAAAGCCGTTTTTCTCGAAATGAGGTTAGCGAAATTCGGCAGGACACTGTTGAAGTTCCTGCGGCTTATCTTTGGAATAAATTAAGATACAGAAATAAATTTGGTATCATTTGAAAGCCAATGATTTGCGCTTTAACATGATGTACATAACGTGAAAAATCAAAGGTGGGGGTTATCTCTCATTGTGATATGGCAGGTTACAAATTATCAGGTTACTGCCCTGTTGCACACTTGCTCATCCATGCGAAACATTTCGGGGAACAATAATGGGGCATAAATGGTCGCCGGTGTTGAGTCTGCCTGCACGGCACTATTATTCAACAAACCGATGAATGACGGAGTAAACCGACTGGACATCATCCCTTAATTCTGTTGTCAGCATTCACCCAAACAATCTAAACGGCCTGTTGGCAAAATGCGAACAATCTTGGAGTAGGGTTGGAGCCCGGCCATCTTTGTCATGGAAAGAACTCACGGTCTATATAGGGTGACGTTTTTTATCTTGGATCAATCGAGCTCCAGGACTGGCGGTTAAACTTCCAAAAATAGTCACGCAATAGTCGTCGTCAAAATTTGAGACAAACAAATAGACAAATACTGCGGCCATTAGATCTGTTTTAGTCATGCACGAAATACTGAGCAGAGGTCATAAAACCGGGATATATAAAATGGGCTAACAAGCGAAAGTTAACTGGCTTTTTGTGACCAAGTGGCGTAGAAAAATTTGATAAAAGCGAGAGTAGATAAGAAGCTTAATTTGCTTCATCTTATCTATCACAAATTTGTAAGTTAAGTTAGAACAGCTTCCGGAACCATTTGACGTTTTCACTATAGCCCTGATGTGTTTGTGTATTGTATTTTCTCCCCCCCCCCACCCCCGGCCCCCCGGGGCTCTTAGTGTTTACTAGGTATTGAGGTCTTTGATCGTTTGGACAAAGTTCGGTCTTCTGCTTCACGTTGTTTCAGTTTAGCATAAATTTTAATAATAAGATTAATATCGCTGTAGGATTCGCAGATAATTAAAAACTTAATCTTGCAAAAGAACTCATTTTGACAAAAACCTCAGCAAGGTGCGTGCATGACATTTTGCCTTTCATTGAAAGTAATATCGTTGCGCGAAACTCAAAAGCCTTACTTTTGTATGATAAATACTAAACTGAAGTGATGATTTTTTTCTTTATACAGAAAAAGTAAAACATAAAATAGTGAGCGGCCGCATTATTTTCTTGTTCATTTTTTTAAATTTATTAAAACAGCATCAAATTGATTTTATACATTTTTTTTAAATAGTCACATATAATGCTATAAAATAGTATTATATACAATTCGCACTCATATTAAAGATACATTAACATGCATATAATAAACTAAATACCCTCAACATAAGTACATAATATGCACAATACAGGGTGAGTATAAAAAAAAAAGTAAACCCAAATGACAGGACCAATTTGTTAATGAAGTTCTGCATGTAGCGCTTTCAAAATCTGGGATATGAAAGCCCAATTAATAATCTTTCGTTTAGTATACAGGAATTATTCAAATCACTCATGTACTTTTCAAGTTACGGAGTTTTAAACACAAACACCGTTTTTAAAGTTCTGTCCACGGATTACAAAAAAGGTAAGTGTTCTTTCAGCAAAACGAAAACAGTGCACACTAAAAAGTACATGAGTAATTTGAATGATTCCTGTACTAAAAGAAAGCTTATTAATTGGGCTTTTATATCCTAGATTTTGAACCTGCTACATGCAGAACTTCATTAAAAAAATTGGTCCTGCCATTTGGGTTTCCTATATTTTTTTTGTACTCACCCTGTATGCATAAAATATGAGTACGTGTACCGTACATGTATCCGCAGAAGAACATAACTGACATCTAAGACGTCTCACAAGTATCCCTGTTGTGGGAAGACTATATCCCTCTACTTTTTCACCGAGAAGATGTTCCAATGATTGACTGCACTCCTAGGTTTTTGTTTGTGGTCGCTCAACATGGCGATCATGATATCCGGTTGTCAACATGACTATTACAAAGACGTTAAAGTTTCACTGGAAAACAGTGAATAAAGCACCCGAACCACATTGCTGGGTTAGTGGGGCAGACAGGGGACATTTTTGGGGGAATTATTCGTTTGATGATACATGTACAAGCATGGCATTTGATGACACACAGTCAGAGCATGTCATGAGAAAGATATTTGGCTATAGGGCCATTGCAGATTTGTCCTTTGACAAAATAAAGGTAGAATAATAAGCAATATTCAAAATGTTCAAAATAGCTGCCATTGCGTGTTATTCTACCCTATTTTTTTTCAAAGGATAAATCTTCGATGGCCCTATTGCCAAATATCTTTCTCATGACATACTTTGACAGTGTGCCAAACTCAATGCTTGTCTCATCAAATGCACAATCCCGTCACCTATCTGTCGTACTAGGTACATGTACTGTACTTAACAAGTTTCTACTTCTAAACAGCGCATCAATGGCGCCCAATCCTCCCTTCCCCTTTACCCCCTTTTTGAATTGTTTAAGTCCGGAGAATTTAGGCTACAGCATATCTTCGTTAGATTCAATCTACCTCCAAGAAGCAAAATTCCTGCTGTTGAAATTCCCTGCGCCCGTTCCCCAAATAAGATCCAAATGTACCACGATATATATACATATCCTGAGAAACTGTACATAATGACAGGGAAATGCTAAGAACATGCATGGAGAAATACAAAAAATCATAAATTTTATACAAAATGTATAAAATATAATTATGTTATCAAAAAAGAGGCCTACATCTTTTTATTTATCCATGTAATACCTAGAACCCAATTATCATCATCAGCATTCGGAGTCGAATTATGTCATTCATAATCTGTTAATGAGTTAACATTACAAATTTGGTAAAAGTTGAGTAACTGAACGGAAATACTCCAATATCATTTATAGCGCTCGAAAACACTTTACTAACAAAAATATAATAAAATTAAATTATTACGAATGTTCGTTACGCGAAATTGAAAGTTTGACCGAACACTAACGGATGCAAATTCTAAGAATGTTTAAGACTAAACCAAAGTAACGTATAATGCTCGAGTTTGTCCTCAAAACAAGCTGCCGTATTAACTGGGATTGGTGAAATTAAACGAATGAAAAGGAATCCTAATTTCGGATTGTGTTCCCTTGGATAATGTTGAACTCCCCAAATCCATTGCGGAGGTGTATTCACATATTTGTGTTCTAGAAAGACATTGGTTTCTTCTAAGCCAAGATCCAACTTGGAATTGGCAGGAGACAGCACTGTTTGAGTATAGACTCATCGATTGTAGATGACAACTGAAACCCAAAAGCGATCCTTGTGGTAATCATACCGGGCTTGCCAACATGAATGACTGCACCAGATTAACTTTTCTTTGAGAAGATAATGAGCAAATGAGAGTCTGATTATGTTAGAAGAAATAAGACGGGAGTTTTGACGGACTATTTTTGTAAAGTCAAGATTGACCTACATAACTTGACTTTTCAGTCTCAATATCAAGACAGCAGCAGCATCTGTTTGAAAAGCCGATTCCTTTCTTCCTCAATCTGCATGAGTTCTTTGGTCTTTCGCTGCTTGGTCACCTCTTGAAGGTTCCTCTTGAGTCGACCTGCCGCCGACTGTGCAAGAGCCCGGGCCTCGAGCCGCTGAGCCCCCTTGGCGCTGACGCATCGGACCGCCAGGAGCTCGCGTCTCCTGCGGGCCACCCTCTCCTGAATCTCTCGCTCTACGTCTTCTTTGATCTCGCTTTCTGTCCGCAGGAACAATGAGTAGCTCTGCTGATTGGTGGAATCAGGCATGAGTACGGCCGGGGTTGAAGCACGGCGTGGTGAGGAGCCTGCCTCCTTCCCTCCAACCGCTTCCTCCCGCTTGGGCTCTCGTTTCTCCCAGCTCCTCCGAGCTTGGTCAGCTCCGTCAGGGGCAGACGATTTGTCTACAATCTCAGCTGATTTAGTGGAATCTCCAGTCTTAGTCAGTCCTGCTGATGATGATGATATCCGCTCGTTGTAGAGCTGCAATGAGTACGGAGACAGCAGCGAATTGTGGGTCTTGATGTTGGCCACGGTCAGCGGCACGCTCTTGCTTAGTTCGTTCTTCTTAGGGTCGCTGTTGGCCAGTGCTTGTCGCTCCTGCATCATCTCTCGAGTACGGGCGATCTGTGCCGTGCTTACCGAACCTCGTCTTCGGTTCATGTACTGATGAGACGGTCCTTGTTCTGGTGGCTTGTTGTTCACAGAATCATTGTTCGTTCCACATGTTTCATCCGTAGTTTTATCCTGGAGAGTCTTTTTGACCGAACAAATCGGTCCGAGTGAAGCCTCCCTGTCTACCGGCTTCTGTGGGGATTTTGCACCGGGTAAGGACTCGTCTTTTGCATGTGCGATCTGGCCAACGCAGATAGACCCCCGCCTGCCACTGGTGTACGGCCATGGAGGGTGAGGCTGAGCGCGCTGATTCTGCGCTGCGACATCTTCGCAGCTTCGGCTTTTGAGCTGGGGTCGATGGTCGTTTAAGATCGGGGCACCTCTTGGGCTCTGACTGGGCGTCTGTCGGTTACGGAGGCCGGTAGTGCAGACGGACCCGCGCCGCTGTAAAAGTCTACCCGTACCGTTCCCAGTCAGTTTGATCTGGAAAAAGATGTTAAAATATTAATTAAATTTAGGCTGTACGAAGATGAATTTGGCTGGGTCGAAAGCAGAGCCAATTTGAGTCAACGTAACTCGTTGTCCGGCGAGAGACAAGTGTACAGCATTAACAATGAATAAGCAATCACGTCTGCATAATACATTGCACAACACTTTGGTTTACATTGTTTTCAGTCAATACGGAACTTTTTCGAGTGTCAGTATTTTTAAGGGTTGCACATATACATACAGACATACATAAAACCAAATTTGCGGCTGCCATCATCAACTTGAAATGTTTCAGCGTTGATGTTGAGGATAAGGGATTACACGTGCCCCTTTCAAGAGAGAGAAACAGTATACAGTGGATGGTACTGGATAAACTTCTCGTTTTTTAAAGTATGTTAAATATTGTTTTGAGAAATCTTTTTATGCAGAGAAAAAAAGAGGAATTAGAGAAGATTTTGATAAGGAAATCGACCACTGCAAGCAGACAAAAAAAGAAAAGAAACGACAAACATTAACATACAGACATTTAATGCAGAGTTAGACAAGCACCACTGCTTTGGAAATACCTGTTGTTGTTGGAGGAAGTCGGACAGAGTGGCAGTGGAGTCCGAGGCACGACGGCGACACAGCCGCGTCACCTTTCGCTCTCCCCCTGCCCCCGTGACTTCGTGTCCCCTGTCCAAAGTGGAGATCATCGCCGACCTCTTGTCGAAGAGCGTGGACAACTTCTCCCGGTTGTTCTGCAGGTGCGTGATGGCAGCCGTCAGGTGCGGACGGTGGGCGCTGAGGGGCGAGGAGTCCCTGGAGGCTCTCGGGGTGCCGTGCTGGGGTGAGCCGGCCGGAGATGGTTGCGGAGCACCGGTGGTCGGTAACGCGTTTAACGGCATGGAGTACCGGCGACCGAATCGGGCACGAGCCGGTCTGTTCAGGACTGGGGATATCGGGGGAGTTGGGGACGCGACTCGCGGCTTGTTGGTGGATTTCGTGTCGTTGTCACTGTCGCTGTCATCGTCGGTTTCTTTATCATCTTCTATGTTAGCTTCCACGGCGTTAGCATGGATGGGTGTCTTCGAAGCAGAGGTAGGCAGGTTCGACGGTGCGGAGTCCGTGGTCTTGTCGTTCGACTCTCCTTCCTCAGCTTTCTGGTCCTCTTCGTCTTGGGCTCCGCTCTGCTCCCGCCCCGCTTCATCGGCCAATCCGGTTTTTTCCCCCCTTTCGCGGAATGCTCGCCACTTATTGACCGCACGGGCGGTCCTGTCGTTAGTGTACAACTTGTTGGTATTCATCACTTTCGAGGCAACATCAGCAATGGAGTTTTTTGGTTGCGCCTTACTCGGCTTGGCCTTTTTGTTCTCGGTGACTCGATTGGATTCCTCTGTGCCCTCCGCGGACGATGGTGCCTCGTCCGTAGGTGCTTTCTCCGCGGGTTTTTCAGCCTCCGATTTGGTAGATTTCTTGAGGATGACCTGCCCGTTGCCGGAGACCCCCGTCATCTGCTCGATGATGGACTGAGCTTCAGAGCTCGCGAATAAAGACTCCCTTCTCTGCAGCAAATTCGGGTCCAATTTGATTATCATGCTGACGCAGGTGCACGGCGAATCTTTTGAGGTTTGGTCAGCCATCCTTTGCTAGTCTTTTGTAATCGTTGCGTTCTGCCGACCTGCCGTGTGGTCTAATTTGTTTGTGTGCGCAGGTAAATAGAAGTACAGAAGATCATGAGATCGAGAAAATTTTCACTGATTTTTCGACTCTTATTTGACTGAGTTACAATTTTGAAGGACGAAAGGTAACAGTATTCGTCTCTCCACAATTCTACTGTCTAATGCCTCTGTTGACATATTCTCCTGGTCTTATTATGAATTATATGTTAAGAGCACCAGACCTGAAAGTCAGTGCATCTTTCTTTCTACAACTAAGCTGGCCAATAAAATTGAGGCTTACGCTCCCCCACGAGGCTAATTACTGTCCATGTAGCCCGGACAGGACTGAACCAGCCAGGAGAGGGTGCACCTTTTGTTAACGGGACAGCGGCAGTAACCACAGGAGAGATTGGGGCACTGGACCGCAACTAATACCGGCAGATGAGTCTGGGGAACAACCATATAGAAATAAACTTGCCCGAGTACTTCGCCTGCATTCAAGCAGCGCCACTGAACCCGGCCCTTGAGACGCCATGCAGTCACACTTCACGATCGGTGCAGGACTAAGACAAGTCTTTCTGGAACAAACTTGCTTGGTAATCACTAGAGTTGAATGCTGCAGTCGCCTTTGGGAATAAAAGTTCGGTTTTTGTAACGTATAAATCCTCAGTGAATAGACTTTTGGTGATGTGGTCGGAGTAATTAAGGTGCACTTCGTTTACTTTGGGAAGAAAGGTGGAGGTTGCTATCTGCCACAAGCACATGTCAATCCACGTGCGTGGTGTAAATACAGATTGCAAGTTCAACTCGGTTAAAATAAAACAGCAAAATATGTGTCATATGATTCGTCACCGACACCACGAAGTAACACTCCACGTGTTAAACCATATTTTTTCGGTTTCAGTTGTTTACATTTTTAAACATTATTCATCAAGGTCTACCATTGCGCGCACTCTGCTCAAAATGCGAGCAAAAACGTTTTCACGAAGTAACACTCTCCTTGTTTGAGCGCCCGCGCGCTGACCTCCGTTTCCACGAAGTAGGCCTAACACTCTCCCAGTGTTGTAATACATTGAAGCGTGCTACTTCGTGCAAACGAAAATTTACAGGGGGTTTCGCAGCTTTTCACGAACTAATACTCACCTTTTTTCTCTTATTTCTTGTTGTTTAAATATACAAACGGGTCAAAAAACAGCAAATTTAATAACATTAATACATCAAGTGTCCACAACGAGAAACCCAACTAAAAATACTCTGCCGTTTTGACGCAAAGTGTTGCTTAAGAAGGCGTTTAACTTAAGATGCCGTTTTCTCCGATTGCTAGTTTTTTACGGGTATGTACATGAGTGTTAATTCGTGGTGTCGTCGACGGATTGTTTGAATCTTGTTTCACCTTCAGTGAGAATGGGTCACGTAGTGAAAGTCTAAACCTCCCCCTCGGCATCTTAAAAAAGCTACCCGGTACTCAATAGGGACGTGAAGTAAATAAAAAGTGTGTAGAAAAAAATTATGGAGCTGCAAATACCTTTGAAAGATCCCTAGGTTGTTCAGGGACGTCGTTTTGGTATTAACCTGTATAAGTATTGGTGTATTGTGATCAAGTGAAATCTACGTCAAATTCTCTTTCTTGGCTGTGAGATTGCAACAATTACTGTATTTTGTCAAACATTTCCTTGTCTTTTAGCGAACCAATCTCACCAGATTATCTCAGCAAGAAAAAGAAGATATTGCCTGGAACTCCAGTATTCTCGCAACATCTCGCTCCTCAGTGGTAAAGGTGCGATGTCTACTCCAAAAAGGCTTACGTGGTTGTGGCTTGTCCTATCGGTGCGGAAAAAGCGGCCATTGCTTTTACGGTGTCTTTCGATTAACAAGTACAAGAAATCGGTTAATAAAAAGTGGCTCAGGGTTCCTTGTACCATTGAGAAATTCATATTTCTATAGAATGATGAAAGTTTTGAAAATTTTAAAATCGTTTATAAGGCATGCAAACTCTAGACTTCACTTCGCCCAATGAGTGATTGTTCTTTTTTTCAGTAGAAACCTTAGTATTCGTTTGATAAATCTTGCCAGGACAAAACCCATTTTTCCCCCTGGGTAAGTACGTGGCTTAACTGTTTAAAAGATGAGGATTGTGTTAAGATGTTGTTTGTCAGCCTCCCTACGGCGAATCCGCCCTCCAGTTCTAGAGAAAACAGCATGTGACAGCGCGTTCATATCGATCACTTATAGGCCTTCAAAATGTGTGAATCAAACACGAACACTTCTTCGAGATCCGTAGCCTGCCCCTATTTGGGATGAGGGCATCATAACGGGGCATTGTTTGGGAGGATGGGTCGAGTTGTTTTGAATGTTATATCGCAGAGGAAAAGAAATGTTGTATTGCTTACATCCACTGGAAAAAAATGTACATTTTATTAATCCGGTCCCGTAGTTGAGTCAACCTGTACGAAGCTTAAACTATGTCCCCAAAAAAGTGTCCGTCTGGCTATTTTAAAAAATAACTACAACACCATGTGATACATTTTGATATTTTTTTTGGCTGTGCAGACACCCCTAAGCCTTGGCCTCAACCCCTACGAGTTTCATTTAATTTTAGTGACGCATCACTACACAATTGTCAATTGATCACACCAGCATTTCTGGACACTGTGACCAAGTTCCTTGCCTTATTCAATTTCAGTACTGTGTTTAATAAGTAAGCTTTTTGAAATCATTCATGTTGGGAAAAGGGTTGCATTTGGGATGTGCTTTTTGCCTGGCTATCAGTCATCATGGCAAGACATCAGTCTTAAGCTCAAGAGCAAATGATTCCAATCCCAAACCACATCAGCCTTTTTTTCTCAACAGGAGGATTTTACATAGCTTGTACATAAAACAGCAATGAAATTGATTAAGGTGTGGAACTTGGTCACAGTGTCAAAAAATGTTGTTGTGCTCAATTGACAATTGTGCAGTGATGCGTGACTGAAATGAAATGAACTCTAAAGGGGTTAAGGCCAAGGCTTGGAAGTATCTGCACAACTTAAAATTTTCAAAATTGACCGCATGGTTTTGTAGTTATTTTAAAAACAGTCAGATGGATACTTAATAGAGCTAGGACCTACCCACTGGTGCGTGAGCGACAGTCGGCCCAAAGACGGTACTTGGCATGTACCGGGCCTCGTGTTTATACGCCTCACCGCTCATCAATAGTTGACTGTAGTTAGGTTACCATTGCTCGCAGCACTCTGAAGAAGACCTTCTCAGAATGTGCAATTTTACAGGCATTATCTGATGTAACGCTGTTATTCTGTTTCATAGGCACAGTTAGGTTTTGTGGCGTCCGCCTGGCACCACTCTAATCCCCCTTTACGATAGTAGGATCGTTTGCTTTTTGTGATTATTTTTTGTTCGTTTGAAGCAACAAGATTGCTAACCCGTTGAAGTGGAAACTGACTATACATTTTGGGAAAATTGTTTAGGTCTAGTTGCGGGATTCTGTTGCTATAAACGCTCGTAAGAAAAAAAAAATTGTACCCACGGCTTTCTGTTTTTAAACCACCTTCCACGCCATTCAAATGACACCAATTAGTCAGACGGAATTTTTCACAGGGTATTTGATACCAGTCCCATCTTCCGTTAGAGCAAGGTTTTAAATCGGGAGGTACTTATCCGAGCAATTGCAAATGATCATAGTGGCTTTAACAACAGCACGGTCTGCGGTCTGAATTGAAACGGGCACGTGTTTTTGCACGAATGTCGTTCTCTGTTCGGTTGAACAGAGAACGACACTCGTACAAAAACACGTGCCCGTTTCAACAAAGAAACAAAGAGTGTGGCACTTATACAACCCCCATACATGGGCTTTTCTTTCAGCTAATGATCTTCAAAATGTTACCAAACTCGTTCAAAGTCATTGATTCCTTAAATCCCCTCTGATAATTAGAAAATGTGTTGTTGATGAAACCGGTTGTGTAAGAACTTCGCTAGGATCTTACACAAACCGCCTATTTTTCTGCTCTGCGTTGGGTTGGGCAGCGGGAGAGTTCGCAGAATAGAATTGTCACAAGAATCAGCTGCTGTTATCAATGACTGGGGATGCGGACGATCAATCTGCTCTCAAGCCTTATTCATTTCTCCGTGAACAGTGCAGCCCTGGGCTGACAGGGACTTCTTGTAGGCTCATCTCAAGCAGGGGCGTCGCTAGTGGGGTGGGGGCGGGGGTGTCACAACCGCATCGCTCGTTTTTCCAGCAAAATCGTATTGTCATCACAAATGATGCCGCAACGAATAGCAGGACCTTTTGTCCGAAAGTGTCCAAGATTGTCCGCTTTGAACATCGTCCCGTTAGTCAGATGGTGTCCAGCCTCCCGCTTACTGTTCCTGTTTCTATTTTGTGGTGGCCGGTAAGCTGAGAAAAAAATCCGGCTAGCATCCAGCACGGAGTGGTCTGGTCGAGAATTTGTTGTCATATTCCCCATTCGAATTGGTCTGGCGACGAACTCAAAAGCAATTCTTTTCTACGTAAGGGTCAGTAAAAAAAAAAGGACACCCAAATGACAGGACCATTTTCTTAATAATGTTCTGCATGTAGCACTTTCAAAATCTAGGATATAAAAGCCCAATATATTAGCTTTCTTTTAGTATAACAATCATTTAAATCACATATGTACTTTTCAAGTTACGGAATTTTGAACACAACCTCCGTTTTAAAGTTCTGTCCACGGGTCACAGACAAGGTGCGTGTTCTTTCAGCAAATAGAAAACCCATCACACCCACTCTATGCGGTTTTTTTGTTTTGCTGAAAAAAAAACCAGTTACCTTTTTTGGTGATCCGTGGACAAAACTTTAAAACGGTGGTTGTGTTTAAAATTCCGTAACTTGAAAAGTACATGCGTGATTTGACTGATTCTTGCACTAAAAGAAAGCTTATGAATTGGGCTTTTATATCCTAGATTTTTATAGTGCCACATGCAGAACTTCAGTAAAAACAACTGGGCCTGCCATTTGGGTTTCAGTTTTTTGACTCACCCTGTGAGTTTTTACTTCCCAAATTGTGAATTATTTGTGGTCCACAATAATAATTCTTCTGCGCCAGAGGCGCAAAAGTAACCCTCTAAAAAAACCTCTTTTTTTCAGAGGGTTGCAGACGCCACAAGTAGAAAATATTGGTATCTTTTTTTTCTTCAAAGCATACAAAGTAAAAACTCGTTAAAAGAAAACAAAATCGAATTCCTTGAAGAGCACGGAAGAGCAACTTTACTCAACTGTCTCTCTGATGTCATGTTTGTGTTTTACTTGAATCCTTGGATATTTTTGCCTTTTGAATATCTGTAAATACAATTGGAAATCTGTGATGTTTTTACTTTTTTATTGAGCAGTCGACTGTACTAATTTTCCTTTGTGGATAGGTTTTCCCAGTTATTTAAAAAAAAATCATTCAAATTCACCAACTGTAACATTCAGTTTCGACCGAGAAAAAAATCACACGCTTTTAACAAACCCAATTTAGTCATTTACCATTCAATTGCAAAGTTTGGTCACCCTCTTTAGCCACCGGGTCTAGAATATTCGTCATTACAGATCCAATTCGTCTAAGCTGTTGCTGAATGGCAGCATTCAGAGATCGAATTCGTCTTATATAAAAAAAAAATCAATTATATAGACGAATTTGATTTCTGAATAACAAGGTTTGGCATAGACGAGAGGAAATCGAGTGCTCCGTTACGAAAACGTGTGCTCATTGTTTGAATTTGCTGGAAGTGAATTTAAAATTGTCTGAGAAAAGACGAATCTAAACACTGGAAGTGCACTAAATCGATGTTGATAGACGAATTTGATTAGAAACGGTGAATTCGAATGATAAACGTTTTAAAATAGCGTAGAAAACCTATAAATAAAACAAAACAAAAGTAAAAACAATATAACATAATAATAATAACAATAATAGTAAACTGTTTTTAATCTGACTGCATTTAAAAAAAAAAGGAAAAAAAATAAGCAAATTTCTGGCCTAATATCTCTGGGGTGGACCTTGAAGGTAGGGGACAGAGGCCAACACACACCCGTCCCTCACGAAGCCATTCGTCAGGGGCAGTGGCTTGACACCGAGTAACCCCGTCCACAAAACTCCCTCGGCTTCGATTGTTCTAATAATATCGTCTTGTGAAGTGAACATCGTTTATCGTTCATTGAAAGTAAGTACCGGTGATTCTCAGTAAAGGGTAAAAACAAAGCACCGAAAACCAGTTGCTCGTCCTCATTAGTTTCTCTTGTCTTGGCAAGGCCAGGCCAGGCGTGTTAGACTTGTCCCAGTCGCTGCCATGGCTTTGTTCAATTCACAACGAGCTACACAGAAGCCACTCGTCAGGCCATATTAGTTTTGTTAGGATTTTTGTTAGTTTCAGGATGGAGCGATTCACTTCTCACGGTTCTGTCTATTTATTTAATATTGATTTGAACTTAAGTTACCTTAAAAGTGGATTGCCATGGTCTTGTAGTCTAGAGCATTGGACTCATGGTCTACCGGCCATTCTGCAGGTTGTGGGTTCGAGTCCAGCCTGGGGTTGTGATGCACGACCTTATGCAAAGCCCTTTGTCACTCATTGCTTCTCGGAGTAAATGCGCACCCGTGAGGGAAGAGGTGGTTATTATGGTTAATTTGTAGTTGTTTTGCGCTGAAATGCGTGACAGCATTAAGCTGTATACTCCCCAGGGAGCTGAGATTGTTTTTGGAATGTTTTCATTGGCCCATTGAGCAGTAATAATGATGAACAATGTAGCGCCTTGAGCACAGCACCAATAATAGTTGATACGTGCGATTTTATAAACACAAATAAAACACACTAAAAGTGCATGGACACTATAGTCTTCGGATGTTCTCAAGATTAAGTACAGTGTCTTTTTACTTGGAGGAAGACTCCAAAATCCTGCATGGCCGTAGAGGTTTTATACCACGCGCCCTCGTTATTCATCCGTCCCACGAAAGATCGAGCCAGTCTAGACTCTAACCGGAAAATGAGCAGTCACTAATCGATATAATCTATCTATTGAAGCATAATATTTATAACGGCCTCTCAATGTTCGACTAGGTTAAACCGCCTGCTACAACCCAGGAATCGATTCTTGTATAAATGAGAAACAAACATTAATCGATGACAACCTGCTGTGGTTTGGTTCGCACGTTGACCATGAAAACGCATTACTGACGGACGCACTATAGATGAAGGATTAGACCCGAGCAGTTAGTTCACACTCTATGTCGTTTTTGTAGCAATGAAATAAATGTCACACTAACACATATTTTGCGCTCAAATGCATGCTTCTGAACTGGGAGAAAAAATAGGACAACCGTCTTTCTTTTATGATTTGTTCTTAAGTGAAGTTTTTCAACCGTAGCGCTGTGGCATTTTTGAGGTTTTCTGTGTAAAGTGTTTTGAAACAATTTGTGAACAAAGTTTGATAAATAGTGATTTGTTTCCCATAAAACAAAGAATGCCACCCCAAACAAAAATTCCAAGGAAAAAATTGACATCAAACACTATTTTTTACAACCTAGCTTTCTTTCTCAAGCCTCTTATTTAAAGATGACATCACTGCTTGACCACAAAGTAATTTTCCACAATGAATATGGAAAAAAACCTGTTTTTTCATGGCTTCTTTTCAATCGTGTCGGCAACATTTCACCGTGTCGAATGATTGCGTTTATCAAGCTCTTTACTTCAATCATTAATGGTATAATAACATGTATGCTGTTCAAATTCCCCACTGCAAAAAGTTGTAGGATTTCTTATACATAAAGAATAGAGACTGATGTCGACAAAAGTGTACGGCTGTCATTACCTTCATTAAACGAGTACCGAAAATACACAATAATTACAAATGAACATAAATCATTAAAGGAGATTTTGACTTTAAAAAAATAACCTTAATTAAGGCGTATTAAAATAAACAACTTCTGGGGTAATAACCCAAAAAATAATGTTGAGAGCTGTAGTTTAATGACCCTCTAAAGCCGCTTGTTCCATTGTCTAAAAAACAACGTTACGGCTGGGTCCAACGCAAAATGACGTCACATAATGGATTTTGGTTTGATTGTTTTTGGGCCGTATTGCTGCATGTTTCAGTCGTAGCAGCAAACAGTCGTTTGATATCCGAGCCTTACCTGTGACGTCATGACTTCTTGAAGTTTGTCTTAAGGAACGGAAGACTGTTTTTTTCACTTTTGCGGGGTGCCCAGCAAAGGAAATTAGCGAAAATTAATTGTTATATCTACGGTTGATAAAGCGAGCGTATTAAACGCACACAAAATGGCACTGTGACATTGTACATATCGGTCTAATTTGCGATCGAACAAGTTTCATATAAAAATCGTTAGCAATCAACTTTATCTTTCGAGGCATATTATAACCAAAGGACCATTTGCTTTTCATGCAAGCTGTTCGTTTCCAATAATAACACCTCTCAAAACCCAAAGAAGAATGTTCAAAACCCAACCTAAAGTTTCAGCTCAGTGGATATTAAACTTTTGAGAAAACAGTGAGAAACCATGCACGACCTTTTGGTGATGAAACACGATTTCGTCCAAAGCACTGTTTATTTCCAAAAATCAGTCAGTTGAGTGATCGTTAGAAATCTACATTTCTTGATTTGTCCTAAATGACAGAAGCCAGACGGAATAACATCACGGGGTGTTTAGTACCAGTTAAATATTTAATCCAAGTAATCTGATTTAACATAATTCGGTAGGTTACGTAAATTCGGGATTAAAGCAAACGATCCTATAATTATGCCTTTGAACATTGTTAAATGGGATAACGGGGACGGGCACATGGTTTACTTTATTTTCTAAAGTAGATTCGACAAGCTTGTTTGTATCAAGACGAAACATGACCATGAGATGTTCAATCTTTTGAGCTGTGACGTGTCGCTTCCTTCTTCCAGTCCACTCTTCTCTCCAAGCCCACCATGCGGTAACTCAGCGCCCATAGACGGCGGGCCTCCTCCTCGTTCTGTGCTCCAGCGGACGGCATTCTCGGAGCACAGTCACTGGTCAGAATAAAATCAACAAGGTGAGAAGGTATCAATGCAGTTTGAGGGAACAAAATGTTTAAAGTTATCCACCGTAATGCCTAATTACCGGATGGTTGTCCTTTTTGTTTATGTATTTCTGCTCTATCTCTAAATAAACTGTAGAACCGTTTATCATTGTCTTACAAACAGAAAAATAATGGAAAGAATAACAATGTCTACCGAGTTTACATGTTCCTTTGGAAAATTGACTCAATGTTATGCAACCGGTTATTGAAAGTCTTGTACTACACTCAACCAAAAAAGAAAGTTCCCCCCTTAATACTTTTTGTCTAACTCAAAAACTACTGAACACATTTTACTCAAAGTACGACTAATCAGTACAGAAATTCCTTAGCAATCCAGCCATACTCTTTGTTGGGCCCAAAACATTGATAATGTGTACAAAATTATGCAATTTATGACAAAATGGTACCGAAAAAAGTTGCACTTTTGTATACGTGCAAGGTGAGTGTTAACCACAACCTGCACGTATACAAAAAGTGCAACCGTTTTCGGGATCATTTGTCATAAATTGCATAAATTCGTACACATTATCACTGTTTTTTGACCAAATATAGAATATGGCTGGATTGCTAAGGAATTTCTGTACTGATTAGTCGTTATTTGAAAGGAGGTGCTCAGTAGTTTTTGAGTTAGACAAAGAAGTATTGGGGGGGGGGACTTTCTGTTTTGGTTGAGTGTATGATGCTGTGTTTCACATATTCAAATAGCTTTCCACGTAATAGTTTCCTGTCGAAACTGATGTGAAACTTTAAAAAGAAAACTTTTTTCTCAGTGTTGAAAGTTGCAACCACGTGCTAACAGCAACTCACGCGAAGTACATCCCCGAAATTTCGGCCAGTTCCGGGGCCACGGCGCAGTAGATGGAGGTCTGGGCGCCCTCAACGGCACTCTTGAAGAAGAAGCCCGGGGTGAGGCTGATAAGGCGCATGGCCAGACCGATCACGCCGTCTGGTTTCTCCTCCATGATGTGACGGAAGAGCTCGGTCTGAACCACGCCCGGGTGTAGGCAGTTGGCTGTCACTCCCGTACCTGGCCGGTCAAAGTCAAAAGAGCGAAAATGTAGGGGCAGTTGAAGGAGGGTTTTTTCACTTAGGTGGTACCGCTCTACACAGCAGGGTTGTTATAAAATGAACACAACTTGACAAGTCAGTCAAACTCAAAGTCTGTCACAAGTCACAGCGCAAGTCCAGTCTCAAGTCAAGTCATTATAAATAATTAATCTCTGGAACCTCATCCCCTGTTGTCCGTGGACAAACTTGGGACTTGTGATATGACTTTTATAACCTGACTTGTGAGCACCTCTTTGCAAATAATAATATTCGATATTCACCCAACACTTGCTCCTTATTTTGTCCGGAACGATCTTGACGAGGAACGATCTTAGCCCTCCAAACATTTAGAGGGCCAACCACCAAGATATACGAAAAACTAAGTTACTGACGTGACTAGGTATACAAGGTCACTGGTCCCATTGTTTTAGCACATAAAAAACACTGTCACCAGCGGCGTAGCTGGGGGGGGGGGGGCGCCCCATAACAAAATCGTCCCCAGTCAACCCCCCCCCCCCTGGAAATTTGGTAATCGGAGAAAATCACGAAACCATGATTTGGTGGGTGTACCATGAAGTGCCTTTTTTCACAAGTTAAATTTATTTTTGACTAAAACCAGTTTTTTTCGCGATAGGCTGTTTATTGTCACGTCCCGTTGAACGTGTATAGCGAAACCTATTGTCTGACAATGACCATTCGGTTTTGAATGCGCCCCCATTGAAAAAAAACGGTGTCCAGCCCCCCCCCCCCACATTATATGGTAGGTCCAACCTTCGAGTCGTCTGCTCAGTTCCCGCGTGAAGAGCACGACGGCGAGCTTGCTCTGACCGTACGCGTCGAAGCGGTCGTACTCGGTGGTCATGTTCACGTCGTCCCAGTGAATCTTGCCGCTGCCGTGAGCCACGGAGGACACGTTGACGATGCGGGCTGGGGCTGAAGACTTGAGGAGATCCAACAGGAGGTTAGTCAGAAGGAAAGGGCCCAGATGGTTGACACCAAACTGCATCTCAAAGCCGTCTTCCGTTGACTGCCGAGGACACATCATCACGCCTAAATCGGTCATTAGGACATGGAAAAAATAATTCTTGTAATAGGAACCATAGGGACCATGGTGCGAGTATGAGAAACGTATGCGGCCTGGAAAATATTGCTGATATACTTCTGAACCGTTTTGTGGTGTCTTCAGTCACTTGCACGTATTGGCAATGTCATCTTACGTCATTTGGTAAAACGCAGATAATCTGGAACTGGTACAACCACACAACAAAGTTATGTATTTGTCAACTTTTCCCCGAGCCGGATAGTGTTCGCATCATTTCTCATTCTGCCCATTTCTCATCATACTTTTGCAAATAGAGCATGGAAGTAAAAGGTCAACACGCGGCGAGCTTCCTGGAACCTCATACAGCCCGCGTGTATATAATGGGCAGTTTAAATTCGGTTGCCCTTTCAGATCACCCTCTATCATTATTGGCAGAATAATTTCTACCCGTAACCACCCCAACAATATAACTGAGAGTTTGATCTTGGTATTCTTTAAATTAAAGTAAAATTCTAGAATTTTTACCCGTTAATTTTCCTATTAAAAGGTCACGGAAGTGCCACAAGGGGTGAATTTTCAGGTTCCATCGGGGGGCAGTGATGGTTTATGACGCACTGCATTGTGAGACTGATTGCTATGGTGCATGTTATGTAGATTTTGTGGTAGAGCTAACTGCCCCACAATATGCAACACATTTTCCTACATATTATATTTCTGGTAGGGCGGCTGTCCGTAGAAGGCCTATGGCAGTATTCCCATAATGCTTTGCGTTCCCTTGATAATATTTTGTGAAATGAGACCCAACACGTATATACGGACCTGCGTTATTGATCAGAATGTGCAGCTGGGACTCCTCCTCCTTGATCTTGTCAGCGAACGCCCTCACCGAGGCCAGAGAGGCCAGGTCTAACTTGCGAATCACCAACTGGCCTCTAGAGGTCGCCCTTCGTATGTCAGCTCTGGCTTCCGTAGCCTTGGCCACGTCTCGACATGCCAGAATCACTCGTGCACCTGTTTATCAGAAACACAAATTATTACCAACTTAAGGGTACAAATAATTAGTCAACGCTCGTCAACTTATGTTGCAAACTCTGGATGGAAATAGAGCCACTTTTTACGTGTGAGGTTTAAGTTTCATCTGTTCCTGAATTAAGAGAAATTGGTTCTGACAAAATTGTATTGATTAATTTCGTAAATTAACCTAACGTCCTAGCCATCACTTTGGGATAAAGAACTGAGTACTACAGAATACTATGAGTGTTGTGCACACTTGGATATGCTGAAGTAATTCGTACTACAGTTTAATACTATTGTAGTTTTTTGTAGCTGTAGGTGAGGTAAGTTTCTTTTCTGTTTGAAATAAGTTTCTTTCTTACGCCTTTAAAACAGAAATGCAATATATCAAACTGTTAAAACGAAAAGGTATATTACAATTATCTCTCTTTCTCGGCAAATCTTTGGTCGCTTACCTCTCCTAGCGAGATCTCTTGCCGTCTCCCTGCCTATGCCGGTGTTTGCTCCCGTGATGATGACCGCCTTACCGTCCAGACGGGCTTCGCTGTAGCACCGTCCTCCGGCTATAAACCTCCGCAGACGCCATATAGACAAGATGAACCCTGGTCGGGAAGATCATTGAATTCATCAAAACGTGCAGCAATATAGACCTTTCTTTCATTTTGTAACCATTGAGCGCCATTTTGTAAGGTTGCCACAAGAAAATAAATTGAAGCCGTGGATGTCAACAGATTTTGCCAAAAATTGCATACTAATACCCTCATTATGTAAGAAAGAGGCATTTATATTATGACTTTTGTAATGAAACATATCTTGAACACGTGTAAGAGTTGTGAGGGCTATTAATATTGGAGTCAGTGCGAATTCTGGTCTTCACCCATAACTCTATATAGAAAGTGTACCTGGTAGTTTACATGTGCGCGCAGTATCAATAGCATCCCCCGGCTGCCCCACCCAGGATCATGTGGGGACTGTCACTTTTGAAATGACGAAATGCTTACCCCTGGGGCAAACTTTAAGTGACAGTCTTCAACATGCATGGATGGGGCGCCCTAAACTAAGTTGCCAGTAGTGTGCCAACAGTATAGAAGTTTCGTGCGTGACCAAAAAGTATACCAAACCCTAGAGGGCAGTGTGTACAAGAGGAGGAACGGAGTGGACATCAATGTTATACATGGGGATGTGCGGCGGCAGATCCGGGAATGTGGACACATAGTATTCTACTTGGGGGAGGAGGTCACACCCCCTCCACACCCACTCTAGAGACACCCGCACACCGACAGTGATGGCTAATCGTGCAAAGTAACCACAAAGTGCGAGATACAAGAAACTTACCCGACAGCACTACGGCAACCACCGTCAGCCACACTGACATTTTTAGTATCCCAGCTCACTGGACGTGTGTAGTCTCTGAAATGTCTGTTTTGTCCACAAGAAAATACTCGAAGGACATGTACTTTCAGCTAAAAACGTGCACTTGCTTGTAATACACCGTCCTCTGTTGGTGGGAAGTCCTGACCTACGTGCACATGCCGCAACAAAAAGTGGTAGGCCTATCTGAAGTACACAAAATTGGGCACTGGTACGGTCACCAAATCCAGTATCAAATTGCCCGCTACTATCTACGCTGATTAAAACACACATCAGATAGTCACAAAACCTCCGGTGCACTTAGAAAATAATCAGCGAACGTATGCAAACAGAAACTGCAAAAATAGAACTCAAAGAATTTTACCGTCTGCGAAAACAACTAATCAAAGTTCAAAGTTCCATGGCAATGAACTCTGTGAGCGGAGACAAAAGACCGGTCTTCTATGCAACGAATTCAAACATGGGCAAATATTTTCCAGCGCAATTTTATATTTCACCTGGTAGTTACCCTGGCAGGTTGTTTGCTCGTTCCTTGAGCTATGTCTGGAGATTGTTGTTTCACTATATCGTTGCGCATTTTTACGACCTTTTTTGGCCTTAGGATACCTACAATTTGTACTTACCTTTTGATCACAACCTCTTGGTTTCACGACGAGGTTATGAGCCGCACGGACATCGAACTCTATTATAGAAGGGTTTTAAGTCAAGAACCTGATGAAGGACCTCCCAAAGCAACAATTTACCTCTCCAAACAGTCCTACCATTCATTCTCCAATGCATAAGGTACGGCTAGGACCCTCCTTTGTTTTCAAATTTGTCGACCCGAGTATACACAGACTGTTTATGATATGCAGAGATGCTTATATGGCAATTTCGGCCCATTATGAAATGAAGTTTCAGTTTGGTTCATTTTTATTTAAATCGAGACTTTTGTGATTGAGTTGTTATACAGAGCATTCAAACTAATCCAGGCGCATCCTTATCCAAGACATAATGTGTTCATAATGAAACATTTCTCCTTCAGTTCAATTAGGGAAATTGACCATGGGCGTCAATCGGTGGGGGACGGGGGGGGGGGGGGATATCATATCCTTTTCCGTCCCTGAATCAAAATTGTAGACTACTATAATGATTCTAAAGCTAAGAATAGCCGATTCAATGACTCCAAACCGTCGAAAACGGTGTTTAAAGATGATCTTTCGCTAAAAAGAAAATGGTTTTAGTGGACAAGAATTGCATCAGATCGCACCACAGAGCATCAAGAATCCGAATGTCAGACAAGTCGACCGTTGAGACAACTCGACTCGGGACAAGTCGACCGTTGAGACAACTCGACCGTTGAGACAGGTCGACCGTTGAGACAACTCGACTCGGGACAACTCGACCGTTGAGACTGCTCGATTTTAATGGAAATGAATACACGTTGAGCAGAAAAAGTTGCACAAATCTGTGGCAAGACCGATCACGGGTGCGGCGTGCGCGGGCATACTCGATGTCGCGTCGGACCGGTGCGCCCCGCCCGCCCGCGAGGACCGGGCCGGGCCCGGCACGCGGGCACGTCGACCGGGGCGGCAAATGGGCGCACAGGCCCGGCAAAAACGATGCCACCGTGCACGGTACAGCCACGTTGACCGGGGATGCACGCACATGGCCTTGAAAAAAATGAACGATGTGCACGGACAATCACGCTGCGCTGTATCGGCTCTGTTATATGCAACAAAAAAAAAATCATGTGTCATCACTCCCAAACGGCGATCAGCCGCCGTCAAAATCACCGGTACTATCCCCAAAACTAGGCCCAAAACATGCGAGGCGACTTGTCTCAATGGTCGACTTGTCTTTCCATTTATCGCACATACGGGCGAGTTGTCTCAACGGTCGAGTTGTCTCAACGGTCGACTTGTCCCGAGTCGAGTTGTCTCAACGGTCGACTTGTCTGACCCCCCAAGAGAATCCAACTTATTGTTAACCTCACGCCGTTAGGGCTTCGCGCTACGCGCTCGCATTAGTGCTCATCAAGCCCCTAAAATATTGTATAAAGGTGCTTAATATTATAACTACTTAAAAACGGTTGAACAAAGAAATTGACTGGAGCGAGTGCGACCTCCTGAACCGCCGTACCGGCGTTCTACAAACCCAGCTATCCAGTCGGCTCCGGTTCCTCATTTTCGTCAATATCTTTGTAGAAAACGGGGATAGGATCATCAGTCGGGAAAGCAAATGGACCGCAGGCGGGATCGGACCTGAGACTGGGATGACTTGTTATTGTTTATCATAGATTACAAAATCTTCGCTCTTCGATTGGGCTTATTCGATTTTTCATTTATCTGTGTTCTATTTAAGCGGAAAAAACTACTGTTTTTTGTTTTGAAAATGCGTTTGATTTTTTTTGGCTACTTTTGCGTCCATGGATACGCCTGAATTGTTATTTTTTTCCTTACATAGTTTATACTGCCCCTGCAGCTAGCTGTACAAGTAACACAGCGCCCTCTACAGTTCTTTGGGTATGGCGTGCATAGGCTGGTTCCAAAGTTCCAATACAACGCACCGATATTAATGTTGTCAGAGTCTGGCAATCAGACCAGTAGCAACAAGCGTAATTTTCGGCAAGAAACGAAAGACTACTTTACTTATTTTCCTTTATTTCTTCGGTTTCCTTAATCATGCCGGCGTGTGAGCAGCAGAGAGTGGATGACATAGAAGACATCATTGGTTCAAATGATGTCACTCCAGTCGAAAGATACGGCAACAAATCGGAAGTAGTGCCTAAAGTAAGGTTGAGAAAAAAGAGCAAGAGAGATGTTGATCGTCGTACACAGCCTGCTAGTGCTACAACGAACAGTTTGTCAACACAAGACTTGCAAGACGAAGTGAACTGCAATAAAAGGTGATTTGTTAACCAAGAGTTTTAGTCCCTCTTTTGATCAGTTTCGCAAAAGGTTGTTGGGAAGTAATACATATTGACATATTAAGGAGAGAATATTGGTAATCCTTATCTTTACCAGAATATTGTATCATTATCAAGACGCCACTTCTTCGGTTTTGTACTAGCTGGAGTTACCCAGCCCTAGCCCCATAAAATAAATGTGGCCAATTTACTAAGGCCACACTTCCACCATGTACAAAAACATGTCGAACTTTGTCAAATTTTGATTTTCACATTTAGGCTTAGTTTGTAGTTTATTTTTGCTCTCGCATGTCTAGAACTTAGAAGCATACTCACCCTTTTTCAGATGTCTAATTTTCGTGAAATTTCATGTTGAAATTTTGATACGCAAACATGTGCAAACGAATCTGGAAATTTCACTAAAATTAGACATCTGAAAGGCAGCACTTTCTGATTAGCCTATAAACAGGGTGAGTATGCTTCTAGAGCAAAAATAAACTACAAACTAAGTCTAAATGTGAAAATCAAAATTTGACAAAGTTCAACATGTTTTTGTACATGGTGGAAGTGTGGCCTTTATTTACGGAGGAAGTCCAGTAAATTGGCCACATTTATGGGGCTAACCCAGCCCTAAATTGTATCATTGGGTTGTCATTAAAAGCCCAACGATAAAATTTAGGGCTGGGTAACTAAAATTTAGGGCGGAGCATCATAGTTCTAGGAGTACTTTTGAGTTGTAGCCTAGGGTTATCACTCAGGTGATTTATAATTACATGAATTAATTTCAGTGATGTTGAGTCATACATAAACTTTTCGAATACAGTTTTTGCATTACTTTAATTTTGGTTTTAAAAAATTCTGATATTCAAATTAATATGGAACACTAAAGTGAGCCGGAAAAAATCCAAAAGTTTAATCACAATTTGCGATTAAGAACATCTCTACCTATATAACTGGTTATTGAATTTCTACTTTTTTCTTGGCCTAGAAGCCCCCCCCGTTCTACTAAAGTTCTTGTTCTAGAAGTATTAATGATAAATATGTGTTTTGAAACTTTATGAAAACATGTCAGATACGGATGATATAAAACTTAATCTATTATTATTTTATGGGCCTTAACTTCAAACATGATATTTAAACTGTTTGATCATGCGTTCCTTTTCTCTCTGTCTGCTGGTTAAACACTGTAGCATCATCCCTGGTACACAGAAGATCTATGTGAAGACGTGGGGCTGCTCTCACAACAATTCAGATGGGGAGTACATGGCAGGTCAGCTGGCTGCCTACGGGTACAAAATAACAGGTACTTGAATCTAGGTATTGAAACAATACCCAGAAACATTCTCCTGACAATGACTAGAGCAGGCTAGTCGAAACGTTGAGACCAAAGACAAGTTCTTTTAGAACTTAAAGCAGGACTGTTCTTATCAGAACAAAAAATGACTAAGCAAAGTTGATAATAAGCAGGACAAGTTCTTTTCAGAACTAAATATCTTCTGAGCAGTAGTTATTACCACATGGTGTTACCGCAAACCAAAACGATACCGATACTCCACCATGCAGAGCCTCAAATCTTATACCCAGAAACATTCAGGCATGCAACTTTTCCTCGGATCAGCTGATTTCCTCTTTTTTCACTTCCCATGTGTGCCATTGAAAATAGAAAAACAGTGTACAAAGTCTTGGAAAGATTTGAATTTCCTCTTTTTTTGTGACTTCCCAGTTGCATGCCTGAACATTGTTGTGCTGTTAAATGTTAAAGGCTTATAGGATCATTTGCACTTATCCAAAAGATAACCTAGCGAATTATCATCCAAGAAACTTATTTGGATTAAAGATCATACTGGTACCAAACGTTCAGTGAAATTATTCTGCCTGGTTTGCTGTCATTTAGAAGAAATCAAGAAATGTAGGTAGTTTCTAACGATCGGTCATTTATGACTGATCATTGGAAATTATTAGTAACTAATAAATGAAATTGTGTTTTGTGATCAAAGGTTGTGCGTGGTTTTTCACGGATTTTCAAAAATTCCCAAGTTTGGTAATTTGATATAGCTATGCTTTGACTGCAGAGGCGATTGATATGTCAACTGTATCTACGAGTTACATCTTTTGTCTGTACCTGGAATTTGACTAGTCACAGTGTTAACACAAATGTGATCTGACTGTATTTTACTAGCCTCTGTTGTATTTTACTAGCCTCTTTAAAATGGAGTGACAGTGGAAGTGGAAAAGATTTTTGCCTGTCTGTGAATGATCAACCAAAGGGGAGGTTTTAAACCAAGCAATTGTTTTTTTTTTCATTTCAAAACCTGGCCTTCTCACCAACCCTAATCAAGGCAATCAAGAAGAGGCGGACCTCTGGCTTCTGAACAGCTGTACAGTCAAGAACCCGGCTGAGGATCACTTCCGTAACGACGTCAAGCATGCCCAGCGGTTGGGCAAGCACCTGGTGGTGGCTGGCTGCGTGCCCCAGGGCCAACCCAAGCTGGGTTACATCGGCGGCATCAGTGTGGTCGGGGTGCAGCAAATCGACAGGGTGGTGGAGGTTGTGGAGGAAACACTGAAAGGTATGGAGGGCAATGGTGGCGTTACGCCCCAACTGCAGCAGTGGGCCCAACTATAGTCTGGACAGCCCCAACCATGGCCCAATTTCACGGCGCTGCTAAGCACACGATTTTATGCTATCAGAGTCTTTGTCTATTTCACGGAGACCGTAAGCATAAGCACAGCAAAAGGCACGCTAACCTCGGGGGGGAAAATTTGCTTAACGTAGTGATGTAACAACAGAAATCTCCATGCACGCGTGACCGTTAGCACGTCCACGCTGTGAAATAGTGCTTAAGGTTAGCAAATTTTTCTGCTATGCTAAACACAACTTTTCTGCTAACTGTTAAGCAGCGCCATGAAATTGGGCCCATGTTGGGACCACTGATCTCTATATAAAGACTGGATAGCGGATATGCATACAACATTCACACAGTAGACTTTGCATATTGACCAATTCGCCCTCGGTCTCACGAAGATGGCCGCATATATACGAACGTTCTACGCGTAAATACGCGTGCGTTGTATCAACAGTTGACGCGCATTTTGGTCACGTACACATATTATGATGTTCTAAAAAGGACACATTTCCGTAGTGATTATTATTTCAAAAACGCCGAAAAAGTGATTTGCGGCATTATAAAAGTAACCACGACGTTAGAAAAATTGTAGTAAACCTTGGTCAGTTGGTCAGTGGTGGTGGCCAAAATATAAGTCAAGTGAACCGCGACGTTACAAAAGAAATCATGCTGTCTATAAAGACGGCAACTTGTCCTTTGTAGATCACCAGCCGGTCTCACCAATATGGCGTCAAATTCGTACATTGTGCGGCTCTTTATTAGCTATCCAGTCTTTATATAGAGATCAGTGGTTGGGACCAACCCTAGTATAGTTGGTACCGTCCCAACTGAGGCCAGGATCATCCTGACTATAGTCATGACGATGCCCAACCATACTTTGGACATAAAAGTGGCCACTTCTTGAGATAAAGAAGAGAAAAACACAATTTGAAGATTTACCAGTCTAGTTATGATTAGATTTTGTAAGCAAAGTTGTTGGCACCCCTCAGTTTTGAAAATGTCATCTCCCACATCACAGCAGTCAACAATTGTTAAGTGACACTCACTGCGTCCGTAAAGACACACTGATAATCCACATTCTTACGTTGGCAGGGCACACAGTCCGACTTCTGAAGCAGAAGAAACACGAAGGCAAGAAGATCGGGGGAGCACCGCTAGATCTTCCCAAGATCAGAAAGAACCCACTCATCGAAATACTGGCCATCAACACTGGGTAAGAGTGGTTAACATTTTCACAGCATCGCCGAACATATTTCTGTTAAAGGGAAGATACAACATTTGCAAACATCAAAAACGAAATGATAAAATTATCACGAAATATCTTACTGGATTGTTAGGGAATGCAGTCTAAAGCATCCTGTAAAGTTGTGGCTCCCGGTGTGCTGACATTTTCAAGAAAAACTGTATTTTTCCAATGCTGGTCGGCCGACCAACGTTGGAGATTTTTCTTCAAAAATTGCTCCTAGTTTTTCATATTTAGTTCGTCTGCATTTTCTTTGCAATTGATTACACACCTGTGAAGACTACAAGCCTGCTAGACTGATTCTCTGATCGTACAATTCCCCAAAGTGTATAAATTGCTCCGTTTCATCTTAAGTGGGGTCTGGGAACCAGACTACAAGAATATGATTGGTTTTCTTGGTTTTTCCAGCATCTACGAACCCAAAACGTGAAACAAGTCAGTGTAACAATATTTGCTATAACATAGTAATCCTCCAAAAATTGCAGCAAAAGCAAATGTTGTACATTCCCTTTAAAAGACCTCTTCTCCAGGGCTAAAATTTAGAATCTGCTGCGTTCAGTATAGGGTTCTGCCCTTCACCAACGTATTTTTATAAACACTGTATACTCTGTGTTGTCGTGAGTAATTGTGAGAAAAAACTCACAAACTACTTGGGGTGGGACTCAAACCCACGACCTCCTGCTTACTAGTGCAGATGTCTTATACCACTCGACCACCTCACTTGTCGGGGTTGGCTGTATACAGTATGTACTATGTACAGTACACAGTACAGTTTGTTTTATATTGATAGTTTTTGTTGTACGTTAAAACTAGCTTCTCGATGTGATATGTCAGTCATTTAAAACAAATGGAATGCTTCACGGATCACAGAAGGAGGCTAGTTTTACTGTACCACGAAAATCAGTCAATATTTGGCGATTTTTTTTTATAACACATTACCAAGATATTCTGCATATTTTTTTAGAGACATCTGATTAAATGTAAACGCAATTGTACCGCTATGTCAATATTAATTGAATGATATGAATATAATAGATACAGATTAAAGCAAATCAGCATTCAAGTTCCTGACAAAAATAGGCAGTAGTTCTTCGTTAGTGGAAGTAAGAAAACAGGTAGGGATTCGAGAAACACAGAAGCGAAGATTTATTAAAAAGCTGAAATAGTTGTAAACAGCATACAAATGAGCAAGCATGTTCCTGTGAATTGGGACGATTCACAATGCAGTGCGCCATCAAGAGTTTGCCATGGAGAGTCCATTTTTCAACTTTACGGTCGACAAAACACAGGCCATTTGAATGAGTGTCAGTAGACAACTTGAGCTAATTTGTTATAGATTGGGGCATAGCGTTCTGTCGCCTTCCAAAAACACAATATTGATAAAAAGAGAAGAAAAGGGCAAACAGATACTCAAATCATACGCTTACAAAACTACTGACCGAAAACACTAACAACTTCAAATGTCCCGCGCTGCGACTTTGTCGACCATCTCCCACAATGCACTAGAAAAAAATGAACTCTCCGTGACAAACTCTTGGTGGCGCACTGCATTGTGAATCGCACAAATTCACTTTTCTCTGTTATTCACTTATTCTCTTGTAGTTGTTTGAATCAGTGTACCTACTGTAAGACCAAGCATGCTCGTGGGGAGCTTGGGAGCTATCAGCCCGAGGAGCTGGTGGAGAGGGCTAGGCAGTCTTTCCAAGGTCAGAACTCATAAGATATCTCGAAAAAGTATTTTGTTTAAATATTCGATCAAATCCCAAGTTCCAATAATAATTGAATACTAAATTATTCGAAAATGCACAGCATTAAGTTGGTCACACTGTGAGTCCAAACCTCCTTATAAAAGGTTTTGATCGTAAGACCTCAAAATATAACGTGACCATCCGGTTTCTTCGTGATCGGCCACCATCGCAGTAGACAAGCGTTTGGTTAGCAACCATGTCATGTGTTGTAAACTAGACAGTAGGGCTTATTTTCATATTAAATAAGCACAAATTCTTTATCAAATGGCATAATGGTCATTATAACACCTCACCCTACAGATTCTGTATCTTGATTGGTCTAGAGCATGGCATTTGCTATTTTTGCTATCTTGCTGTGCACTGCCAAATGTACTATACCCGTAGCAACCAAAGTACTTTACCCAGAACCGGTATTTTGTTCAAATACATATAGGTGTGCGCGTTGCGGGTATTGTGCCAAACAGAGCTAGTTCAACAGAGCTGGGTTCAAACATTTTGTGAATGGGTAGTTTTTGAAAAGTGCAAGTAAATTTTTAACTAATTTGTATTAAAATAGGAGTACATTTTACTTGTATTTAGATGAAATTAATCAGTTATCGCTGAAAATCAAGCACAATCTGTCGGACAGGTGTTATAAAACAAATATTGACTGCTTTATCTCGTGGTGTAAAACTAGCCTCCCTCAGTGATCCATGGAGCATTCTATTTTCCCTTCAACTTCAGGAAAAATAAAATGCTTCATGGATCATCTCGGGAGGCTAGTTTTAGTTTTACTACACCACTCGAAGCAGTTAATATTTGTATACTATTTTGTTGTTGGGCCTGCGTTTTCTCTCAGTTTTTGCCATTCATCACAGCTTTGAAGGCTTGCCTACTACCTACTGCGATGTGGCCTATACAATCTTTGCCTACTACAATGGTGACGCTGACTTCCCGGTTCCCCGATGTACATGTAGGCCGGGTTGTGAGACAGCCCTATAAGGAGCATCCCAATCCAACAACTTTTTCCAAATGAACAATCTAGATTAACCCTAACCGCACTGAATCCTTCAATCCTCTTTGCCAAACTGCTTCCACTTTGAGGATTAAGGTTACATGGCAAAAGTGCATTACTGATTTCGTAGGATGCACTTTGTCAAGGTGTTGGGCCGGACCTTGCGTTGTTTTTGCTCAGCCACGCATAAACATAGGCCTGGATTATGCTTGAAATCCTCCGTACTGCTCCAGGATGTCACTGGCCAAGCCTCAACATATTGACAGTCACTGCCGGAGGATTTTGCAGGATTGAGGCTACTTCCTAGCAAAAAGGCCTAGGGAGTTAGGGTTAACACACTTGACTCCAGTCTCTAGCACTCCAAAATAAACTGTTCAACCATTTGCCACTTGTGAGTCACGTTTTGATTCTTTTGGATTTTTATGATGTGCTCGTCAGAGGGTGTGTGTGAGATATGGCTGACAAGCGAAGACACTGGTGCCTATGGGAGAGACATTGGGGTCACCATCACCGAGCTGCTATGGCAACTGGTAGAGGTCATTCCGGAAGGATGCAGAATGCGGATTGGAATGACCAATCCTCCCTATATCCTGGAACACCTCGAGGTAAGAGAGCCAACAATTTTAGAAAGTTAAAGATGTATTCCCCGTTATTCCTTTTCTAAATTGCTGTTTTTCTAGCAATTCAAAATATTGTCACCGTATGGTATTGAAATATAGTCCAAGCCTACTGTTTAGCTTTTAAAACTACTTCTGAAGGGGTCTTCATAAAAGTCTGCATATTTTATACTTAAGTCTTTAGCATATTATTTTTCTCTTTAGGAAATGGCCAAGATCTTACAGCATCCCCGAGTCTACTCATTCCTCCATGTACCAGTTCAAGCCGGCTCGGATAATGTATTGCTGGACATGAAGCGGGAATACAGCATTGATGACTTCAGACACGTCGTAGACTTTCTTAGGGAGAGGTATTACGAAAAATAATTTTCTAAATTAAAATTGGGTTCTTTGTCACTGTGCGAAATAAGTACAAAAACAGGAGAGTATTTGTGATGCGATCGAGCTACATGAGTCGTTTGTCAATTTTTTTATTACAGATAGCAAAAGAGCACAATCTCAGCATTACTGCTGTGAAAACCGCATGCAGATACCATCTCTAGTCAAAAAATTATGGAGGTCAGAACACCAAGAGATGTGATGAAGTGATGTGATGAAGTGGCCCTATTTTGGCCTGAATCTCTACATAAAAATGCCCGAGAAACAACTCATTTAGCTTGATCGCATCACATTTAAGGATGAAGAAATTAGTCTGAACAAGTTAGACTGGGGAAACAGATCAGCAGACATCAGCACTAAGGATATGACATTGCATTTAATGTTGTAAACGCTTAGCAAGTATTTAAATTTTTAAGAACCTTCTAAATGTTTCAACATTTAGCCATTTCACAAAGGCTGAAGCCTGCTCATTATGCCTGCAGACCGGCAAGATTTACATTTATATATCAACAATGCTGATTGACATAATAAATAGCGAGCAGTCAATGAAAAAGAAATATACTTAAACTGCATGTACCCTGAATAATCACGTACTGCAGCGCTTCTAAGTACCCGCTAATAGGTTTGAAAACATCGTAATTATTTGTGCTATGTATGTTTAACTCTGAGGAAGATCGCGTGAGTGTAGGTCCCTGTTTTAATAATTCGGGCGTTAAAACATTTTGGAAAATCTGTCGACTTTTTTTTTTCCCCATTTAAGCGTTTAAATGTCGCATCCTTAATCAACAGCATTGTATTCATGACGAGGGTCTTTGTTTACTCTTTTATTGATAATGAATTTCAGAATATTATTTTTTGTGGATATAAATCTTAAATTGGTTTTGTTTTGAAAACGGGTTTCATACACATCATGTAGGGTTGAAGTTTTTCACTCAACTGTTCAAGTTGTCTACCACTCCTGGAAAGTCTTTCATTTATTACCTTTTTGTATAATTTTTATTTTCAGAGTTCCAGGGATTACAATAGCCACAGATATAATATGTGGATTCCCAACCGAAACTGAAGAGGTAAGAAGTTTCACAGATTTCTGAGTCGTTCTGTAAGAATTTCTAAGAAGATGTCTAAGAAGTTTCTAAGAAGTTTCTGAATTTCAGAAAAATATGATGAATTGTCTAGGCCTGACATCCCAGATTCTGCACGTAAATGTCAGAGAGAAGGTTAGGGGAAGGTGTGACGTAAGTCTAATACATGATCAAAACAAGATGGAGTAATCGGGCCTTTCATTAACTGTGTGGGCAGAGAATTATTATGCTGCTTGTCATCTGTGTCGATGCCTTCTGGATTTCATGAGAGAATAAATTCATGAATATTTCACTTCTGATAAGGCCAAAAAAAAAGGTCTCCGGTTTCTGGTATGGAGCTTGCCCAAAAAGTGGTGCGGCGACGCAGCTTTTTTTTTTTTTTACCTAATTTTTTTGCTTCAAATGTCGGCTGATGACTGCAAATGGAGCCCGACTAAACTTAGTGCAAATATATGGGAGTCCAGAGAGGCCACGTAAAGCTTATTCTCGACGATAACCCAATCTAAAAACACGTTAAAATTGTGCAGCAGCAGGATTCCAGTCAAACCAGTGAGTTTGGCGGTTTTGAGACATCATCTTTCATTGAAAAAAAACCTGTTTCATTTTGTCAACGCGCATAGCTACGGCGACGCGCGCGCATACCAGAAACCGGAGACTTTTTTTTTTTGGCCTAATGATAGCCAATGTGTTTTTCAAGCCCAACATTGCCGTTTGCTCCTTGAAAGTTATCAACATTTTCAAACTTTGTATAAGTTTGACGGTATTGATGTACCCTAACGTGGCGCGGCCCCTAACGTGGCGCACTTTGATTTTTCCCCTCTAGTGCCTTGTTAGAGCAAGTTTTACCTTAATTTCACAGTAACTGAAATTTCATCAAACCCTAAACATTTCCGTTCATAAGCCTTGAGTAAACCTACCTGTTACAAAGTTAAGACAAACTTTACTTTGATGCGATGTTCTGATTGTATTTTGAAGTGGGCACTGCGCAGTGAACTTTTTTAAGATGTGCCCAAATATAAAAAAATAATTTTTTGACAAACACGTACGTGAGTAAAGACAATATTGGTTTATCAAAGAAATTGTCAACTTTAAAGAAATTCTTAAAAGTCCACTCAGGAATTTCCAAGATTTGTTAAAGTGTGCCAAGTTAGGGAACACTCAGCAAATTTTGTGTCCAATTTCGGGACGCCACCGTTTTTGAAATTCGGACTAACAATTCATGACACTAAAAATGTTCACAAGGGTTCAACATCAAGCAATTTTAAGTAATACTACCAGTATTTAACTGAATGAATTTGAAGCTCGTCAATGTCAACAAAGAGGTTTGGCAACACTGCATGAGGAAAGTCGACCAGCATTATCAAAAGGTTATTAGCACAAGTGCCTTGGGGGTCAGGGTTAAATTATATAAATAATTTTAATAATCAATTGAACACTCTTTCCTTTGCATCATTAGGACTTTGAGGAGACCATGAGTCTAGTAGAGCACTACAAGTTCCCGTCTCTCTTCATCAACCAGTTCTTCCCTCGGCCTGGCACACCGGCCGCCAAAATGCCTCAAGTACCTGCCCAGGCGGTGAGTCCATATCGGTTTGATCGTGTCTGTGAATATAATGACGCCACATAATGTAGGATTTATAACTTACACAGTAGAGCGTGCAAGTTCACGTAATGAAAAGCAAGACTGGTGAGGATAGGGACTTCTATGTACCTGTGATGTTATACAAATATTGAGTGGCTCAGCGTGGAATGGGAGGAATATTATCGCAAGGTAAAATCTGGACTTTTCCATTTCATGAGGCGAAGCCGAGTGAACTGGAAAAGTCCAGATTTTACCGAGCGATAATATTCCTCCCATTTTCACAATTTAAAGCCACTCAATATTTGTTTTATATAACTGACATATAGATCCTTGTCATTTGATATATTTGAACTTTTATTTCAATAAATACTGGAGGAAAATGAATTTCTCTCTTCCAGACCACCCCTTAACGGAAATGTTTGAACCCAACGCTGTAGCGCTGGCTCTTTGGAACAATACGTGCTACGCGCAACGCTGGAAGTGCACACCAGCATGCATTTGCACACAAATACCGCGTCATGGAACAAGAATGATCCTAACTGTTTCCCATTCCCCATGGGCGGATAGTACTTTTTGAGCCGCGGCGTGAATGGGAGCAATAACGAATGTCACGTGATGTGAGTTCCACCAATCAAATGACAAGGATCTGTATGTCGGTTATATAAAAGCTAGTATAGATAGTACATACAGACTGTGGAGCTGCTGCTGATTTCACGAAACTTTACACAATGGCATAAGTCCACTTGCGCCACAATTTATTGCGCAAGATGCGCAACATTTCGCGCTGCGCAAAATTTCAGTTATGGCAATTTTACAAAAGTTTTGTACTGCGTAAGTCACAAATTATGGCTTAATATCAGGAGCCTGTTATTGCTCAACGTATCAAGTGCAAGTTACGCCATAATATGATACAAGACACAGCTTTGTGTTTGAAACAAAAGAATTGCTATTTTACTTGTGACAGAATGTTTAAAGTTGCTTCACAGTTCCGAAGAAAGTCGGACAAAAAGTTTTTTCAAAATGGAGGGCTGAGGTGTTTCAATGACTGTTTTGTGAAAAAAATCGAAATCATATACAAACAGCCGTTGTAAATGCTGTGATTATCTTGGTCAAAGGTGTCTGGATTATTTGAAACGTTTTGCAGCTATAGTTTTTTGCTCAATAAAGTTGTTGCGTAAGTCCTACGCAGGGCGTATGTTATGCACGGTTTCGTGAAATTGGCTGCTGATCTCATATTATCATGCAGGTATATTAAAGGCATATAGGATCATTTGCATTTATACCAAAAGTAACCTAGCGAAATATTACCAAAAAGCATACTTGGATTGGAGATCGTACTGGTACTAAACACCCCGTGAAATTATTCCATCTGGCTTGTTGTCATTTTGAGAAATCAAGAAATGTAGCTGATTTCCAATGATCAGTCAATTTACTGATAGTTGTAATGTTCTGATACACACGGAACACCTAAAAGGTGGCTGCTGAACGCAACTTATGTTTAATTTTTTTTCCCTTTTCTCAGAAAAAGGCAAGAACGAAAAAGATCTCTACTTTGTTTCAAAGCTACCGACCGTACGACCACAAACTGGGGCAAAGGCAGCAGGTCTTAGTTACGGAGGTGTCACATGACAAGCAATACTACGTAGCACACAATAAATACTACGATCAGGTAGGTTCAGTCCTAAGCAGGGTTTCCCATAGTCATGGAAACAATCTTGGAAAATCCTGGAATTTAACGCTTTGTCATTGAAAGACTTGGAATTTGTAATTCAAGAGGTGCATGGAAAGTTGCTATTCCAGGTAAAAAGTCATGGAATCCTGCTGACCCATACAAGATGATGTGTAGTATTTAGCAACCGGTATGGCAGTTTTCCAGTTTGCATTCTACTATACTTCCTCTTTCTGCATCTGTGCTCTATGCTTGTTGCATGTTCATTGAGCCATTGTGATGCTTTTGTGGTGCTCAGTGTTCTTGTGTCAAACTGGAAGGCTGAAAGGGAGTGGTGTCTTGCCTCAGTGTAAGAACCGGCCAGTCTATTTCAAATAGGCTCCTAATATGCCAAAACAGCCAGGCGCGGTTCTACGGGGGGGCTGGGGGGGGGGGGGGCTTAGGGGGGGCTGTAGCCCCCCCCCCCCCAAATTTGTCTAGCCCCCCCAAAATAAATTCCATAAAAAAAAAATTGCATTAGCAAAAAGAAGGATTGTGATGTACATGCGAACGGTCTCCCCCTAAAGAAGAAATAGCCGTGACAAGGGTGCATTAGTTAATATATTGTGAATGATTTTAGGATTTTATTGGCGCTCCCCATTGAAAATATGGCATGAGCCACCCCCCTCCAAACTATTGATTTTCGGACGCCTAAGTGTCTGGAAAAAATAACCGGTCTACACTTCAGCACGCCTCCCTGAAAAAATTCTGGATCCACCGTGCTAGCCCCCCCAAAATAAATATTGGTTCTAGAACCGCGCCTGAAAACAGCATAGGAATTTGTCATGGAAAGCCCTAATTTTGTCCTGGAAAAGTCATGGGAATAGTAATGGAATTTCATTTTTAAGGTTTCTTTGAGAATGCTATGTTTTGTTTGTGTCCATATTCTGTGTCCTTGGGCAAACCATGATACCCTGCTTGTCTCTCTCCACCCAAGATTATAAACGAGTACTGGAATTGGTCATGGAAAGCCCTAATTTTGTCCTGGAAAAGTCCTGGAAAAGTTCTTGGAATTTAATTTAAATGTTTCCTCGGGAATGCTGTGTTATGTTGTGTCTTTATGCTGAATCCCACTTGTCTCTCTGCACCCAAGATTATAAATTAGTACTGGAATTGGTCATGGAAAGCCCTAATTTTTTCCTGGAAAAGTCCTGGAATTTCATTGTAAGTTTTTTTTGGGGGGAACCCCATGTTTTGTTGTGTACATGTTTTGTTGTGTCCTTGGGCAAGCCATGATACCCAAGTTGTCTCTCTCCACCCAAGATTAGAAATGAGTACTGGTATTTGCTGCAAAGTAACCTGTGGAACATTGACATCCCTTGCAAGGGAAGCTGACGATAAACAGTGGCCTAATAAATCTATACAGGGTGGTCAAAAATGGTTGAAAAACAAACAAACACAACCTAAGGCCCCCCAAAAAGTCTTTGGTTTCTGGTATGGAGCTTGCCCAAAAAGTGGTGCGGCGACGCCGCTTTTTTTTTTTACCTGTTTTTTTTGCTTCAAATGCCGGCTGATGACTGCAAATGGTGCCCAACTAAACTTAGTGCAAATATATGGAAGTCCAGAGAGGCCACATAAAGCTTATTCTCGATCATAACCCCATCTAAAAACACGTTAAAACTGTGCAGCAGCAGGATTCCAGTCAAACCAGTGAGTTTGGCGGTTTTGAGACATCATCTTTTGAAAAAAAAAACTTTTTCATTTTGCCGACGCGCATGGCTACGGCGACGCGCGCGCATACCAGAAACCGGAGACTTTTTTTTTTTGGCCTTATACTTCCACTATTGATATACATGTATATGGTTAGGAAATTTTGTTGGAAGGAAAATGATACCAAGAACTCCCGATTCGGTCCAGTAGTCTTGACTCCAGCACCATTTTTGTGTGCCAAAGTCAGGGGCTCTAACTAGGATTAACGCACACAGTGAACAAAAGGATTATCTTAACCCCCAACTTTGGTTCACAAAAATGGTGCTGGAATTAAAACTACTGAACCGAATCAGGAGTTCTTGGTATCATTTTCCTTCTAACAACATGTCCTAGCCATACATATCAATAGTTAAGGTCTCTGGATATCGGCAGTATGAGGTTGCATTTTTTTTACCACCCTGTATTGCTTTTATTGGTTTAAAATTGATGTTACTTTTTGTTGTCTGAATTTGTGACCTAATGGCAGTATTTCTTCTTGGATATTCACAAAGTGTAACACCTTCCACTGCAAACGTTTCTTGAAGTCAGTTTTACGAAAAGGCCTAAAGTCGACTTTTTGTCCAAATTGTCTAATTTGGTTATTTCAAGATCTTTCATCTACATGCGAAATGCCAAATCGTCCCATTTGTCACTGTCCAGGTGCTGGTCCCCAAGAAGGAAGAGTACATGGGCAAAATGATGGAAGTCATCATCGTCGAGACTGGCAAACACTTCTTGAAGGGCCAACTGGTGGGGGATGAAGCAGACGTGATCACGCCGTCCATAGCGCAACCTCTTGCCCACGGACAGATATCGGGCATACCACATGTAAGCGACCAATCACGACTCGGTTTTCTATGAACTCCAGAGGAACTATAACCAGTGCCCTCTTCACAGGAACACTACCGGGTGACCCGAAAAAGTTGTGCCAGCAGATATCGTTCAATTTCTCAAAAAGTACCTAACACGAGTGTTTCATTTTGATGGAGCATATTAATAAGACTCTTGTGTATAATCAGTGGTTCGAAAGTGAAAATAAGTTAATGTACCGCGTATGGGCATACGCTATCCAGTCTTTTTTTATAGAAATCAGTGCCCAGAATCCATTTTGGCTAAGAAAAACTGAGTAAATCTGTGTGCTGTGTGCCATTAGACTCTGACATTGTGTCCAATGAAAAAAGCCCTGTCTACCTTTCAGCACGGATGAAATTTTTGGGTGCCCCTCCATCGTAATCTCAAGCCGAAGTTTTGTTTGTCTCAGATGCTGCCCGTTCCTTGTCCATTTGTATATCATGCAATTAGACAATATTTCACAAGCTCCGTTGATGTGATTCTACCGCGATTCTACCGCGATAGGTCCATTGTCGGGACTTAAGGAAATGTCAAAATATTATGAAGTATATCCTACTTGATTGTAAGTACATGTGAATAAAAGGAGCATGCACCCTGTGGAATTGTTGCGCTTAGTATGCTGCTATTTCTGAGAAAAGAGTAATTATCATCATTTCCTCACGATGTTTAGGACCAAACCATTGCCCTTTCAACATAAAGCCTATGCTTTGCGTCAAGAAATATGAAGATGCGTGTTCACAGTTTTCTTAAAACGTAGGATATCTACTGAGCTGAAATTTCCACATAATAGTTTTTGTAATAACCTGCTTCATATTTATTGTGGTGTTATTCTTTGAATCGGCAAAAACACATTTTTAGGCAAATGGTGCCCAGTACCTTTTAAATGATTATATGGCTTTATAATTCGGGCGATTCACAATGCAGTGCGCCACCAAGAAATTGCCAAGGAGAGTCCATTTTTCAAGTTTACGGTCGACAAAATTTGAACGAGTGTCAGAACACAACTTGAGCTAATTTGTTATAGATTGGGGCATAGCGTTCTGCCGCCTTACAAAAAACACCATATTGATAAAAAGAAAAAAAAAGGGCAAACATGTACTCGAATTATACACTTACGAAACTACTGACCAGAAAAAAGTAACAATCTCAAATGTCCCGCACTGTGAATTTGTCGACCATCTCCCACAATGCACTGGGAAAAATGAACTCTCCGTGGCAAACTCTTGGTGGCGCACTGCATTGTGAATGGCCCAAATTACGACGATTTTTGTCACTTTGCCAAAATTTTTGAAAGCTCACAGGCAACTGCGACAATTTAGTGGAAGGAGCTAAGATCTGATGTGAACTCTGTCTTGTTTTCTTCTTTATTTCTTCAGATTCTTCAGACTCCGGAGCCTCCCGAATCCTGGTCATGGCTGACCATCACCATGGCGATAGTTGTCGGCACTTTCTTGCTAGATCTTGCAAGAATACTTGTGTACCACTTACTGTATACCAGAACCTGATGCTTAAGACGTGCAACAGAGAACTGTACAGTTGGATTTGTATAAATGTCAGAGATTTTACGAGGAAAAATTTGAAAGCATCTTTACTTTTATTTTAAAGACGCTTAACCCTAACCCCCAACAGGTTTTCTCTAGGCACCCTGCCAAATGCAACAAAATGCAACTTGGCTGAAATGAGAACCCTGCTAAATGCAACAAATTGTAACAGTGGATTATGTTGCATCATGCAGTGAACCCAGTGCACACCAGCTTTGGCACCAAGCAGTTACCCTGCTAAATGCAACCAACTGCAACAGTGGATTCTGTTGCATTGTGCAGTGAATCCAGTGCATACCAGCCTTGGCACCAAGCAGTTACCCTGCTAAATGCAACCAACTGCAACAGTGGATTCTGTTGCATTGTGCAGTGAATCCAGTACATACCAGCCTTGGCACCAAGCAGTTACCCTGCTAAATGCAACCAACTGCAACAGTGGATTGTGTTGCATTGTGCAGTGAACCCAGTGCATACCAGCCTTGGCACCGAGCAGTTACCCTGCGAAATGCAACCAACTGCAACAGTGGATTTTGTTGCATTGTGCAGTGAATCCAGTACATATCAGCCTTGGCACCAAGCAGTTGCCCTTCTAAATGCAACCAAATGCAACAGTGGATCCTGTTGTGTCAGCCTCGGCTATATGAGCAGTTACCCTGCGAAATGCAACAAGATGCAACAAAGCACAGGGACTTGAGTTGCCTGCTAAATATGACAGTGTGCAACAACTTTGTACCTTTGTTGCTTTTTGTTGCATTTGGCGGGGTTTCGGTTTATTGCTTTTGTCATTGCACTACTTTGGACCCTGTACCATAAACTAGTTCATACTTATGTTAATGAAGTATGTTAATGAAGGGGGATTGTGTATTAAAGGTTGCTTCCATCACTTGTAATTTGTGCATTTTGTCATTTGAGGCAACAAAAATACTCAACATCTAAAGAAGGGTGCTTAACAACTAACCTGATGAAGTTTCGCCTCAGTAAATGCTGTATATTTCGAGATCTCGATTTCAAATCAAAAGTTGCCGAGTCATGTTTGGAATTGGGCCTGAATTCAGAGTCCCAGACATGTTCTCACTGAGCCGATTGCAGCTACGCGATGTGGCTCAGTGAACCGACGAATTATAGCAACCGTGCGTGTGTGCGTCGTGTCAACGCTTGCGCGCACTTTGCTGAATAAAAAAAAGGAACTACTAATGGAAATTTCCAAAGATGTTGGAAGCCTTCTTTCGTTGATTTCTTCAAAATGACGGCTTGCCAGAAAGAATAATTTCACAGGGAGTTATTTTCATTACCATCTTTAAACCAATTAAGCTTTTCAACAATAATTACGTAAGTTACTTTTTGGATAGCTGCAAATGATGGACTGTACCTTTAAAGACTATCTGAACTTCAATAAATAATTTTTTTTCTCTTCCTTAAGAATTTGCAAACGTGCATGTTTCAATTTGATTAAAAAACCCTTTTAAATTTTATTTAGGCTTTGGCAACTCTCTGAAGAAGGCTTTATTTTTTGGCTGCTTTTGGGCACAAATAAACACCACATAAAATCACACATTCTAAAATTTGTATCCTTGTGGAGACAATTCTTTGTTCTCATGTAGTAAAGTGTTCAATTTTGAAAGTGAAGTTTCAAAATGCTCTTATTTTAACCAGAATTAGTTTCCTTGGCTGAAATTTGGAATTAATATCCCTTTTTTAAAACTCTTCCATTTGCGACGGATCAACCCACCTTGGAAATTCCTAGTTTTTGAGTAAAACCCATATATCTATTTCGTGAAAGCCTTGTGGAGACCTATTCATCTATAGAAATTGCCCTGTGGAGACATTTACAATGTTTTGTTCCCTATTGTGTGTGTGTCTCCACAAGGATACGAATTTGTGGTCACCCTGTCTTAGATTTCTGTCACAAGTCATTGATTGCGGTACATGCTGACCCCAGTAAGCTTGATAGTCTAACCCCTTCATCTTTCATTTTGAGAATTGCATACACGTACTTTACTTTTAAAACCCAAACTTAATTGTATCACATCGTACTATCGTTTTTCTTGAGCTATGTTGTAAGCTGTGGCATAAATAGGGCCCATTTTGACAGGAGATTGGGTGGGGGCGGGATTTTGGGGTTCTATAATGGGGGAATTTGTGGGGTTTCAAACAATCAAGAGCTTTTATTGCCTTCTCCAGCCGAGAGTGGAGGGACAAGGTGTGGGGTGGATCGACCAGCGTTGGAAAAAACTGGCTTTTTCAGCGTTGGAGAAAACTGATTTTTGTTTGTTTAAATGCTCCTACTTTTTCATATTAAGTTATTCCGCATTTTCTTTGCAATTGATGGCATGTACACACCTGTGAAGGGGCACAAGCCTGCTAGGCTGATTCTCTGACCTTACAATTCCCCAAAGTCTATAAATTGCTTCGTTTCATCTTGGGGTCAGGGAACGAGACGACATGAACATGATTGTTTTTTTGTTTGTTTTTCCAGCATCTACCAGCCCAAAACGTGAAACAAGTCCGTTTAACAATATTTTGCTATAACATACTAATCCTCCAAATCCATTTATTACTGAAAATTACATCAGAAGCAAATGTAGTTGTACATGTTAAGCAGTAAGATCAAACACCTTCGTAATATTGCTCTTTGATAGACAGACCTAACTTCTGTGGTTTTGGGTTGTATTCATATTACACGTTTATCAAAGAGCAAAATTGATCTGAATGCGGCATGCCTTATTTCCATGGTATAATAAAGAGCATATTGCGAAAGGTCTTCCTGATTCTAATGTTTAATTGTGAAACACTGAAGAAAAGAATATTCGAAACTTACAGCTAACTACTTTTATTTGTACAATATATTTATAAGGAAATGTTTGCATAAGCTTTTGCTTTTTAGGTTTTGCCTCCTCTTTTTAACTTGACCATGAAGAGGAAACATGTTACCGAATGAAATGAATGAAATATATGTTGAAATTATAATTTTTGTTAAACTGGGCACAATTCTTCAAATAAGTCCAAATATTGGGCACATTTTCTAATCATAACGTTTAAGTCACCAGAAACGAAATGTATTGACAAAAATGACAAAAAAACAAAAAAAACAAACACGAATTGCTTTTTCAATTCACCGCCGATTTTTAGTGCTACACGAGACGAATTTTTGCAAATTTTAGTACGAATCGGTATGCTAGAAAAATTGAGTGAATCTTCAATAAAATCTAGTGCTTTCTGTGAAATTCAAATTGAGAACTGATCGAGCTTGGCGATGTTCGGGGACGAAATTAAAGTATCGATAAAGGGAATTCTTGTGATACAAAATAACCGGGAAAAGGGATTATTTGACGTCTCTCTTTGGTTTTTTTTATTCAAAAGTGCACTTCTTGAAACATTTAGAATTTTCTTTTGCTTTTTGGGACAACTGAGGGCGCTGTTGCCGTGATGTCGTCTCAGGGAGACACGTTCAGTTTAGGGGGTTTGTGTACAAATTTGAACCAAAAAATCTGCTCATTGACAAATATATGAGAAATGTTTGCTTATTGGCTTAATACACTAACAACGAATCACCGAAGAAGAAAAAATTCTGGCAACTTTTTGTGCACAAACCTATTGCAACTCGGTCTCTGCCTAACACGTCACGTTTTTGCTCATGAATATGGAAATTGACATTAGCATAAAAACCAAAAGGGCACCAAAATACCTTTGAAAACGGCAAAATGAAAATTGGAAATAAGGTTGTCCAGCTTTCTCCTAAAGATGATCAGAGCATTCTGCGCAACTTTGAGTTTCACAAGCAACCGGTTCTTTTCAGAACCAAATCAAAAGAGACTCTTCCATGCATGGCGTTATACCCAAACACCTCACTAGCTAATAGTGGCATAAGACCTGCGCAACAAAATGTAGTGCAAGCAAAGTTATGAAATTGCGGAAAGACAAGCGCTGCTGCAGATGTTGCTTTCCTACTACTCCCCCCCCCCCCCCCAAAAAAAAAAAAATAAATGTGATTTCAACATGACGTCCCGCTATTGTTTCCAATAATTGTAATTATTTCGAAATTTCACATTTTGTTTACTCTGTTATGGCGTCGTTTTCGTAAATAGGGAAATAACCTCCAATTCCTCACGATTTTTTTTGTAGAATCATCGCGCGTTCAACGGACACCTATATGCTTTTCGTCGAGAAAACTGAAGGTGCATTTTCAGTTTTCCAAAAAGTATGAGACTGAGCTGAAATTTCGACAAGTTAGTTTTTTAATAACCTGCTTCAGATCGTGGTTTTTTTTGCAAATGGTGTTATATATATTTTTCAAAACATGACGAGTTTGTTTACAAATTTGGTGTGTTTTTTGGCAATTAAGCCGTGCATGTATGGTATTACACATAGTGACACACACGTTTGTATGGAGACTGACGTGCGTGGACTTCGCGCCTCAATGACTGTGATAGGTTTGCCTTGTTACACGCAGACATGGTTTAATGTCACCTGCCTCGGTCCTACATTTTGACGTCACCCACTCTCTTTTTCACATAGTGATATTCTTTTTCAAAACACGACTGGAGTTTGTTTACAATTTCGGTATTTTTGGGGAAAACCACTTCCGTCTCTGTGCAGATCAGTGGCGTTGCTAGGATTTTTTTTAGTGGGGTACAGGGTGGGGGGGGGAGGGGGGAATCAAAATATCATGGGGGGCACATAATTATCGCAAACATCCTTTGACAGTTTTTCCCAGTTGGGCCCTATAATGCTATATCCATTGACATAAGAAATTGTAAACAGTAAGCCTTTGGCTAACAGAAAAAATACAACTTACAAAAACCATTTTTGGTTGCCGGGAAGGAAAAGGGGTATTTATCAGTATTTTTTTTTTGGGGGGGGGGCACGGACAATTTGTCGGGGGTACGTTCCCCCAGCCCCAGCCCCCCCCTCCCCCCCCCCCCGTACGTGGCTATATACGCCACTGGTGGAGATCTGCACACGCCAATTATTTCAGATGGATAAACTTCGCCCTTCTGCCTTTGAATTTGTGTTATTAAGGGTTCAGTTGCTTTGTTTTCTATGAATGTCAACCAGATCTGATGTCAACATCGTGTAGGTTGGGAAATCTGTCCAGTACATTTCGTAACAGTTTGAAACACCAAGTTTTCAAACTGAT